GAACAAGGGATGGGCGGACAAACGTCCATTGATCGACCATGTCATTGCCCTTGATAGAACTTCAGCCATAAGCCATCGCCCACTAGCCGTTCGGTGTGGTCACCTGCGTCAATCAAGATTCCGCGCAGTCAATATTCAACCGACACTTTTCGATAGTGGGATTTTTTTTTTCTTTTCTTTTTTTTTTTCTATTCAACCTTGTCTTCGCTGATGGCGCGGGCTAAACTATTAATATCTTGGAAACGCGAAATGTGGTCCGACTGCCCAAATCCCAATTGGACGGGTGCTTCGATAGGCTTCTTCCCCGGTCGCAAAAGCACCAACAAATGGACCACTCTCCGGCTTCAGGATGAATTCGCTTCTTTGCAAGACCGAATCCCCCCGAAGCAATTCCGCACAGACTTTGGAAACGTGAGATAATCAACGACTGCGTCGAGTGGTTTTGCGAATTCTTCCGCCCCGTGAATGGGTGGGGATTTGAATCCATACGAAAGTGCACCCTACGGGGCCTAGGGCCGTTGCGACGTCAATGATGAGTGGCGCGGAGGATACAATCATAATTTTGTAAGCCGTCTGATTGCACTCTGGAACAGTCGAATCCTTCGCTCGTCAAGCGAGAACCGGGCTGGCTGTCTGAGAACTTTCTCAGATGCGCAAGAGGAGCTCCTCTGGTGGAGTGGGGCGAGCCAGAAACAAAGGGCAGGCGAAGTACGAAGCACCAGAGTCGAGCTTCCTTCAACCGGTCTCCTCTGCCCTTCCCCCCCCCCTTTTTTTTTCTTTGCTTCTTTGCCACGACGGTTCTATACGGCAGCGTCTGTCGGGACCATTGCTCCGTAAACCTTTCCTTCTCAATGGTGTTGTATACCCTATCTTGAAACTATGTGCCGAGGTGAAGCTAGTCTAAAGCCCACACCGAAGCCCGTACATACTTCGTTGGTTTAGGGCCAAGATCTCTAGGGACTATAGTGTAAGACCGATCCCACCGTGACCAGGATGGTCGAGTTAACCACGCATGGAACAGCCCCTTCTTTCAGCTTAGCCAGGTTCATGTCTATAACACGCTCTTAATGCATACAAAAGTCCAGCTACTTCCAGAGTCCAGGCATCAAGTCTTATTCAGAAGTGGATTCGATTTTCAGCAGTGAGAGGAGCAGACATGCTTCCTCTCCTGCCATCAAGCGCAGCCATCGAACTGATACCCAAGAACCTCAAAACACAGACCCCAAAACGAGCTCCTCCCATTTCCGTCCCCAAAGGGAATGATGCGCGGCCGGTCGCCCGTGAGATCACGGAGAGTAACATGGTAGCCATTCCTCCCATGCCTTTCATTAAGGCCTGCTGAGAACTGCTACCGTCGCATCGCACCCCCTGCTAGACCCCGCTATTTCCGGCTCTTCCTTACCCACGGATCCTATCTTTTGGGTGCTTGAATGGGCTGCAACCTCAGTTGGTATGGCCCTTTCTCTCACTTCGTTGTGTCGCGTGTAGCCGCCCCAAACTTTCCTTTTTGTCCTTGAGGATGTATCTTGACTGCTCCTTCACATCGGGATGCAAGGAGGATCCTAGCGTGATGCCACCAGTACCAAAGAAACAGTGAAGCAGATACCAGGACATCGAGAAGTTTGAAAAGCAAAAAGCCAAGTCGTCCCACTGCCGGGAAAATCATCCGATTCCCAGGAAATCCTCTTCTTGTTTACCTGAGAAAGCTCTAGTGTACACTGTGGAAGATTCCAATGCCGAGAAGAAGCTTGTAAAAAAAAAAAAAAAAAACCGTTCGAACCAACACGAAAGGAGGCCGAATCGTTCGTTATGGGCTTATATTCACTCTCTTAAGATACTCCATTTCGCCTGTTTCGGGTTGCTCAGCAGTTTGGGGAAATTTAGACGTAATGGCCGGACTAGAGTTACAGCGAAGGGAAAACGAAAATCTATAAAATGAAAGCCTGGTTCGCGAAATGCTGTATAGGAGACCACATTTTAGCCTCCAGCCGAAGCCGCCCAGAGTCCCCTGAAGAAGGGATCTTTGGTAGATGAGGACGGGAAGCCAGACCGGGGAGGGACTCAAGCCGTCTTGAGGTCCGAAGCTGCGTACATGGATTCAAGAGTCAACCTAGAGAAACACTCGTGTTTATCCAAGTTTGACCCTTGGTGAATGGCACCTCCCTTGAGCAATGCCTCCAGGTTCTGCCCTCGCAGTCCTTGATGAGGAAAGGGAAGAGGGAAAAAGAAACCTCCTTGAGGGGAACGAGCTCCTTCTTGAGCCGGCGTAGCTCGGTCGTACATACGCTGCCGCCTCCAAGCTTGATGACTAGCTCGCGGCAACGTATGAATCCTCCGATATGGGAGGTCTGTTCGCTTCACAGTTTCGGTCCTTATTATTTACCATGGCTAAAATAACACTGTGGAGTGGTTGGAAATCAAAAGAGCAAGGAGCTTTCTACTCGAAGTCTGTTCGATATTGAGGAGAGCACCAGGCTGGGGACATCTTCATACAAAAACGTGGCCTTAAATTGACTAGGTTATATACAGCCATCACAAACATTCCCGATTAGGGAGCTCCAATGCAAGATGGTTATTGCTCCCTGCCGGTAATCCCTCCAGTTCCGGTTCTAGCAAGGAGTCCTTCCCTCTTCAGGATGATCACTTTACCAGTATGCTCCGGGAGAGATGTTAAGATGTTAGAGGTATGCATGCCTATTTCTTCTTCTGACCCGTGTGTGCATGTGGAGACGAGACCAAAGAAATAAAAGAATTTGTTGGTAAGAAGAAGCAGCAGAGAAAGATCGACGAAAAACGAAGAACCTCCCTGCATTCCTTCTGTGTCAGATGAGGAAACGTTGTCTGCGAGAAACAACTCGGGATGAGCTGATGCGCCGTGTCCGACTTAGGTGTACGAAATACTGCGCACTGAAGTCTCGGTACCATAAAGGGCGTATAACCGAAAGTGAGCACACGACGAACACGGCGCAGGTCTGTCCTTTCGTCTCTGAGTTGATACTTCGCCGTTGAAGCGTGAGGACCGTGATGTCTCTCCAGCTGAAGCTAAGGATGTTTTGTGGCGTGCTGACAAGACGGAGATTCCAGATTCCTTGCATCCAACTAACCTGCTCTGAGCCTAGTCTCTTGACCGCCCAGCCCAGAGGCCCCGGTTCGAGGCCGGATATTCTTTTTTCTCGCGAACCTCTAAGACCCATAGGGTTGGGCAGACTCGAGAAAATCGAAGACACCACGTTGCAATGGTGTGCATCGAGTCAGAACTTCCCTGGTTTTGGTTGATCTTTCACGGAAGGGTTGCCGGTGGAGCACGTTTCCAGTGCGCTCAGCCTTTTGCTCACATGTTCAATGTTTGAACCAGTTCTCGGATAAAAGAACGAACCGAAACAAGCTTGTCTGCATCTCACTACAAGTAAATCGAGGATTGTCAAGCAAATTAACGCTCGGGCACGAATATAGGTACCTTAATTTTGTCGGTGACTTCCGACTGCCCTCTCCATTTCTTCTCTCACTGGATCTAGTGTTTCTCCGCCTTTAGCCAAGAGCTTCTTGGTCCCCCACGAAATCTTGCTCATCTGGGATCGTTTGGTCCCCAGTTTGCCACGAAAGGCACTAAAAGAATGAGGCACAATCTCTCAAATGTAGGTCATCGAACAAGATTGGCTGGGCAGTCATGGGTAATTGAGCCATCTCGCGTCGTCAGCGATGCCAATTGGGAAAATCATCTGTCGGGACACGCATCCATTGGCTGGTGAGAAAGCCTTTAATTCATCCTCTGCGAGTCTGCGCGGAATCCTGGCCCTGGTTCATCTGCTTCGATGTCCGCGACTTCGCGAACTTTGGTTACCCCGCCCTATCGCGTCTGACGCGTGTAGGGAAGAGCTGGGACAAGGGTTGCGTGATATTCTCCGCGACTCTGCTTCCTTATTCGTCCGGGGTTCGCGCTCCGCAACGGGCTCTTGTCTGCATAGCGTAGTATTGGCAATCATCCATTTTTTGCTGCCCTGTCCCGGGGTTTCAGAAGTGAGATTCTTCATATTTGCAGCAGAAAGGGGGAAAAGAGACGGTAAAAAAAAAAGTAAGAAAAAAATGGAGGGATAAGGGTGGGAGGAGGAAGGACCAGCAAAACGTGAGGAACTCTCCCATAATGTCACAGTCATTGGGTGCCCATGCGTTGGCCCATATTCAACATTTGCTTTTTTTTGTTTTTTTTTCCCATTCACAAGGCTTAGCCAAGTCAAGTCCCCTGCTCCGAGTCTTACCCACCTGTGACGCTGGGCGCTTCCTTGCATCTCTCCCTGTTTTCCAAGACTTCCAGGCTGGCTTCGAATGCAATAGCTACAAGTAGCGAACGTAACAAGACGCTGAAAGGGGTGCTGGAAGAGCCATTTTCCAGGGACGATCCCAGGAAATAGGTAGCGATTAGTCGGTACATCTTCGTGATACGGTGTCGCAGTACAGTAGTGTAGTGGATAGGACGATTGTCGTGGGATGGAGAACAGCTCCAGGTTCATCCATGGAGAGAATGCTCCATTTTTCTGAGGGCAGTTTCCGCCTTCGTTACACTGTACGGAGGAGCTGTACTCCGAATTTCCGGCCCCACCTCTGTACGGAGTACATTAGCCGTCCGGCAGCTTGGTCCGTGCAAGGATGGAAATATTGAGGGACCCAAAATCTGGCCTCAGGAACCAGGGGCGGTGGCGACAATTGGTTTGTCACGTGATTTATGTCAACGACAGTGCCCCGCCACTGCCAAAAGATTCTCGCGGGGTTCTGAAGGTGGTGAATTCACTACAATTGTGTCTGTTTGATGCTTGAGGGCTAGATATTAGGCTTGGTTTGTTGAAATCTAACGGCCGGAAAGTGAGGATAAAACGGAAACGAGCCATTTCTTCCTCCATTGTTGTCGATTCGCTACGCCAAACGTTGCGAGTTGTGGCAAGTTGTGTCTAGGCCAAATTATCTATTTTCAACCAAGAACGATTTGATATATCCCTTTGCTCATCATGGAGGCAGAAATCAGAACCATCTTGCCCAATATCGATCCTATTATCTCGGAATACTCCGTGGGGTTCCTTACCCATGCATCGACTGTTTGGTCTGAGGAGGATGAAGCTGCCAACTCTTCGCCTCTAGCGGATGCAGCTGAGGCAGTCACCGAAATCCTCATCTCCGCCTCCGGGCAGCCGGGTTCACCCCTGGAGAAGAAGATCAAGGCCCTTGTGGATAAGTGGGTGGACAAGTATGCTGCGGCGAATGGCGGCGAGCGCCGAGGACCGTCCGTCGTTAGGCGACTGGACCAAACCATCCAAGTAAGCTCGCAGAGAAACATGTCCTCTACCCTGGCTGTTTCTACTGGTGGCGTGGATCTAGAGTCTGCCAATGCTCGAAAGGTAGAGTCCAAGGTCGACCGAAAGAAGTTGGAGAAGGCGGAGAGGAAGATTGCGGCCAAACAGCAGAAGAAAACCTTCAAGACTGTCGAGTACGAGGCCTCACGTCTACTCAACCAGCCCGAAAGCGCGCAATCCTACGAAGAGTTCTACATGGCTGTCAACCCCTTGCAACTGGGTTCCGGTCAGGGTCAGAACAAATCGAAGGACATCAAGCTCGACAATATCGATGTATCTATTGGCGGGAACAGGATCCTCACGGACACGAACCTTACACTCGCCCACGGACACCGGTATGGTCTCGTTGGTCACAATGGTGTTGGTAAATCTACGTTGCTCCGTGCTCTTTCGAAGCGAGAGCTGCCTATTCCTACCCACATTTCTATCCTTCACGTTGAACAAGAGGTATGTTATAATTCGGACTCACCCTCCTAGGGATTCGGCAGTAAATTTTGCTAACGTTTGTCAGATAACTGGAGATGATACGCCAGCGTTGCAAGCTGTGCTTGATGCTGATGTCTGGAGAAAGGTCCTGCTTCGAGAGCAGAGTGTAAGTGCCATCATTCCGGCTCGCTCTTTTAATCTTTCCCTATGCTTACTGTGTATTTCGTAGGAACTCACCGAGCGCCTGGCGGACATTGAAAAGCAACGTGCGTCCATGGCGGATACGTCTACCGATGCCTCAAAACTTGACCAGGACCGTGATACTCTCGATCAGAAGTTGGGAGATATCCAGTCCAAGCTAGCTGAAATGGAATCGGACAAAGCGGAACCCAGAGCTGCAAGCATTCTTGCTGGTCTCGGCTTCTCCCCTGAGCGTCAACAGTATGCCACAAAGACCTTCTCCGGTGGTTGGAGGATGCGTCTTGCTCTTGCGAGAGCACTTTTCTGCGAACCTGATCTCCTCCTGCTCGACGAACCGTCGAACATGTTGGACGTTCCTTCCATTACTTTCCTCTCCAACTACCTACAAGGTTACCCCAACACTGTCTTGGTAGTCAGTCATGACAGAGCGTTCCTCAACGAGGTGGCGACAGATATCGTTCACCAACACTCTCAGCGACTCGACTACTACAGGGGAGCCAACTTCGACTCTTTCTACGCCACAAAGGAGGAGCGGAAGAAGACTGCCAAGCGGGAATACGAGAAGCAGATGGCGGAGCGGGCGCATATCCAGGCCTTCATCGACAAGTTCAGGTACAACGCTGCCAAGTCGCAGGAAGCGCAATCCCGTATCAAGAAGCTGGAGCGCATGCCGGTGCTGGAACCTCCGGAGACGGAATACAGCGTCCACTTCAAATTCCCCGATGTGGAAAAGCTGTCGCCACCTATCGTGCAGATGACCAATGTTACCTTCGGCTACACCAAGGACAAGATCTTGCTGAGAAACGTCGATCTCGACGTTCAGCTAGATTCCCGAATTGGTATTGTCGGTCCCAACGGTGCGGGTAAGACGACGGTTCTAAAGCTTCTCATCGGAAAACTTTCGCCACTGTCTGGTCTCATGTCCCAAAACCCTCGCCTTAGGATAGGATTCTTCGCCCAGCACCACGTAGATGCCCTCGATCTCTCCATGAGTGCCGTTTCTTTCATGGCGAAGACCTATCCCGGCAAGACGGACGAGGAATACCGTCGCCAGCTCGGTGCGTTTGGTATTACAGGAACAACGGGCCTCCAGAAGATGGCTTTGCTTTCCGGAGGTCAAAAGTCGCGTGTTGCTTTCGCCTGCCTCGCCCTCACCAACCCCCATATCTTGGTTCTTGACGAACCTTCCAACCACTTGGATATCGAAGCTATGGATGCCTTGGCGGAAGCTCTGCAGAACTTCCAGGGTGGCGTGGTGATGGTTTCTCACGACGTGACGCTGCTACAGAATGTCTGCACGTCGCTGTGGGTTTGCGATAACGGAACGGTCGAACAGTTCCCTGGAGATGTTAACGAGTACAAGAAGAGGATTTCGGCCCAAGCAGACGCCGCGGGTGTGGTGAAGAGGCACTGATAGACTGATACGGAGCACAGGAAGGTTTAGCCCGTATCATCGAGATGATTTCACCCTATTAGACGAAGGCACCGGGTGGGCCGAGCTATTATCGGGTCTGCTTAGATAGCATCTCATTTGGCACATGGCACACGGATATGAAGCTCTTAATTCCCGTGAGAATAAAACCTTGTGTCGTGAACATCATCATAATAATTCCTTGAATGAACTTTCTTGTGATAGTACCCGTCGAGTACCAGGGGAGTACCTCGTGTGTTTGTGTGTGGGTGGCTCGTATCCGCGAACAGGTGGTAACAACTGTTCGCCGGTTCCTCGCCACTCATTCCCCCACACTTCGAGGTCTCGGGGTCAGGGATCCGGGATGACCAGCCAATAGTGGAACCAAAAAAGAGCGCTAAATATTCTGATAGGCAGTGATCTTTCGAGAATTAAGATTGGTCGTAATTCCAAAGGTCCCCAATGAACGACTGGCCCAAATCAGCTCAGTACACCCGGATCGCTCTGTCCTGACACCTGAGCCGGTACGTATTTTAATGCTTCCAACTATATGCCGAGCTTTCTATCCCCCTTTATTCTTCGTCCTCGTCCCATGAATGCCTTTTCTCAGACTCCGATGCGTTTGGGTGTCGTCAGATAGGATTGGCTGCCGCTGATTTGATACGATGCTCTGATTTTTCTTGGCTCTCCGAGCACCGAAAGTCAAACCCGTTGGCCTGAATTGTTGGCAGGCAAGGGTTTAACACAGGGGACCCGTCATCAGTGAATCTGGGCAGGTGCCTGGCGCAAGGGTTCAAGCTACTCTTGCCAATTACAGACGCGATAGCGTGGGGCACGGGCCACGGATGGTAAACAAGCGGGGTACTGGTGGGTACGACCTGCACGGAGAGCTCAGTGAGTTGACATTTGGTGAGGTGGTCTGGCCAGAGTACTTGGAGGGTTCTTCTCTGGTTCTTATGCGATGATGGTACCATGGTTGTATTTCGAACGTTAGTGATCGGGTTATTAGGACCGGGAAGGTCCCTTCTTTAGGCAGTAGCACCTGAGCAAGACCAGTCTCGTTGCGGGAAAGGGGCACTGTTTTGGTGGAGTTGGCGGACGATGGCTCCTGCCAACTTCTCCTGACGCCGACAGACGCCTAAAGAGGGGTACTAGACCAGTACCTGAAGCCAGAGCCCAGGGTGCTCCTGATGTTGTGTAAATTACTCCAACGTTGGGTTCGGTACAGCTCAGTCGCCCCCCTAGACTAGGCCCAAAATCTCAGTGATCCATCATCCAGTGTGGCCACACACCATCTTTTGATTTGCTCCAGGTACCTTACATAGCGTACCGCCACCCACAGCCAGCAAAGCCAGAGCAACCTCAGGTCTCCCCTTCCCCCCCCGGTGGCGGTGAACAATTTCATCTTCAACCCCAAACAAAAAAATCAACAAATTTCTACCCTCGACTCGGAACCTCCTGAAGCCAAACTCACTCCTAAACCATCCTCTCTTCTTCTCCCCAAACGACCGCCTCCCCGCCTTTCCAACCCTCCCAGGCGACATATCTACGCGAGCTGCATAGTATCAGCTCGTCGTTTCTTTATTTCTAATCTTCCATCAAGGAAAGCTTTTTCTCTTCTTCAATACCGTCGAAAGACATTCAGAACCGCCACCATGCGCGAGATCGTAAGTCGCCTCACCCTCTATCTCCCGAACTCTTCAAACCGAGGACCTCCTTGTTTTCCACCCCCCTCCCATTCCAAGCTCGCGATATATCCCATCTCATGATTCATCTCGACCTCTATCATCGTCACTCGGTGCTCTTTGGGGTCATCGTCTGGCGGTGTAGCTGTCATCGGGCAATATTGCGACGCGTTCAAGCTTGCCTCCTTTAACGGCGGTGCACTTGGTGACCCCGCCCACAGGACGAGACATAGCTTGAAGAGATGCAGCCTCGTCCAATAAACCATCCAATGGGTTAAGTTTCGAATGCTAACGTATATTTTCTTTTTCCTCGTGTACAGGTTCATCTGCAGACAGGCCAGTGCGTAAGTAAATTCTCGAGGACCCTATGTCCTTTTTCCCCCCTGCTTCCATTTCCCTTCTGGGCCATGATCTTGTCTGCGGGGCTAACGTTCATTTTTGCCCCCCTTTCTAGGGAAACCAAATTGGTGCTGCCTTCTGGTGCGTACATTTTTCCCGACGACGCGCGATCGAGAAACGGATGCGAATATAATTCTTCTGTTCGAGATATTTCTATTTGATGGACAGAGTACTTATCGTATTTTTAGGCAAACCATTTCTGGCGAGCACGGTCTTGATAGCAACGGAGTGTACGGAACCACCCCCCCATCCCTTCCCCCCCAATGCCAGTCACATCGACTGGTGCTGCTCTCACATTCACGGCAGACACTGATTGTCCCTTATACGTCAAAGTTACAATGGCACTTCTGAACTCCAGCTTGAGCGCATGAGCGTCTACTTCAACGAGGTAAGTTTTTGGCTAAAGCCACGGGCCGGTTGGTGTGGTGTCATCCGGCCTCCGTTGTTGCAGAAAATGCTAACGTATTGGTTACTTCCACATTATAGGCTTCGGGCAACAAATATGTTCCTCGCGCTGTCCTTGTAGATCTCGAGCCCGGTACCATGGACGCCGTCCGTGCTGGTCCCTTCGGCCAACTTTTCCGTCCCGACAACTTCGTCTTTGGCCAGTCCGGTGCCGGCAACAACTGGGCCAAGGGTCACTACACAGAGGGTGCTGAGCTCGTCGACCAGGTCCTCGACGTCGTCCGTCGTGAGGCTGAGGGCTGCGACTGCCTTCAAGGTTTCCAGATTACGCACTCTCTCGGTGGTGGTACCGGTGCCGGTATGGGTACTCTCTTGATCTCCAAGATCCGTGAGGAATTCCCCGACAGGATGATGGCCACCTTCTCCGTCGTCCCCTCCCCCAAGGTCTCTGACACCGTTGTCGAGCCCTACAACGCCACCCTCTCCGTCCACCAGCTCGTTGAGAACTCGGATGAGACGTTCTGCATTGACAACGAGGCTCTCTACGACATCTGCATGCGCACTCTCAAGCTGTCTCACCCCTCGTACGGTGACCTCAACCACTTGGTCTCTGCCGTCATGTCCGGCGTTACCACCTGTCTCCGTTTCCCCGGCCAGCTCAACTCTGATCTCCGAAAGATTGCCGTCAACATGGTTCCTTTCCCTCGTCTTCACTTCTTCATGGTCGGCTTTGCCCCGCTTACTAGCCGTGGTGCTCACTCTTTCCGTGCTGTCACCGTGCCCGAGTTGACCCAGCAGATGTTCGATCCCAAGAACATGATGGCCGCTTCTGACTTCCGCAACGGCCGATACCTCACCTGCTCTGCCATCTTGTAAGTTTTATTTCACCCCAGACCCTACGCTCTCACAGAGAGTTTCTCTCTTGCGGGGAATCTCTGCTAACAAAGGGGGTTTTCTCTTTTCACAGCCGTGGTAAGCTTGCCATGAAGGAGGTCGAGGACCAGATGCGCAACGTCCAGAGCAAGAACTCGTCGTACTTCGTCGAGTGGATCCCCAACAACGTTCAGACCGCACTTTGCTCTATTCCTCCCCGTGGCCTTAAGATGTCGTCGACCTTCCTTGGTAACTCGACGGCGATCCAGGAGCTCTTCAAGCGTATCGGCGAGCAGTTCACTCTCATGTTCCGTCGCAAGGCTTTCTTGCATTGGTACACTGGTGAGGGCATGGACGAGATGGAGTTCACTGAGGCCGAGTCCAACATGAACGATCTCGTCTCCGAGTACCAGCAATACCAGGATGCCGGTATTGACGAGGAAGATCTGGAGTACGAGGAAGAGCTCCCTCTTGAGGAGGAGGAGTAATCGAAACGTCACACGCCCTACCTTATTCTAACGCACTGTACCTGTCGAGTCCGGAAGAAAAAAGTCCTACCCGTTATTTTGCCCTATTGTGGACTTGCGAGTTTTGCGTTGTCCTTTTTTTCCCTTTTTCTCTTTTTTCGTTTTTTAGGGGTTGTGGTAATTCGCCGGAAAAAGGGGGCTTCTAGATACCTCGTGCGGTAGTGTCGTCTCGTCGTCGGCTTAACGAATTTTACTGCGTGATGCCTTTCAATACAAACAATTCATCCCTGTAATTAGCAAGTCCATAGATTGGCCGACTTTCCATTCGTTTTACGCAAGGACTAGTACAATTTTAATTCTTTTGATTCCCAAACTCCTTTGCAGGGCTCTTCTTAAACTCGCTGTGAGGCATTGATTGTGATAAGACGACTCTAATTATCCTCAACTGTTCGTCCTTGCTCGGTCAGGAGCATGGGAGTGGGGTCGCGATAACGGTTGCGCCTGACCCGTCAAGTCAAAGTCTCGAGCCACTCTCTCGGTGCCTCTGGAATATTTATCGCACGTGATTACATGACTAAGCAGAAATCCAATGCGTCCATCCACTGATCGCTGGAAGAGCTCCGTCCATTGAAATTTTCGAAGAGCTTTTGGGGGAGCGAAGCTACATCACACTGAACACGCGACGCCGCCTCGATCCCTCAATCGGAAAATATAAGGGGAAAACCAAGGCCTTCATCGAACAATTCCGCGGAACGGGGTGGAACCTGAGCATTTTTCTCGAGAGAAAACGACTTCCCCAACGATGTCGGTCTTTCTCCCCAGCCGGACGGCGGTGTTTGGGACTTGCGTCGCGGGAGCGAGGGCGGCGGCGGCGGCGAGGCAGTTTTCGGGGACGACGGCGCTAAGGTCGAAGCTCGGAAGGACTCCTATTTCGGTACCGCCGGGGGTGGAGGTCAAGGTTGGGGAGCCGTGGGTGAAGAGGGATTTGACGACTTATTTGAAGACTGTGAGGAAGACTGTTACCATTGAGGGACCGTTGGGTGAGTTTTTAAGAGTTCCTTTGGGTCCGCGGAGGAGGTCCGTGGATGGGGATAGGGAAATGAGGACTGTGAAGTTGGCTAACGTGGGTGGTATGACTGCAGGAAAAATCGAGTATGATGTGCCGGATTTCGTCAAGATTACGATTGACCCCGTGGAGAGGCAAGCATCGCTGAGCGTGGAGGATTCGACTATCAAGCAACAACGCGAGATGTGGGGTGAGTCTTTTCCCCCCTTCCCAAGGCGGATTTTCTACTACGACTTCTTTCGTGACTAGCTTGCTAACTCTTGCGATCCTCCCTCTAGGCACGACATGGGCCTACCTCAACCGCCACATCATGGGCGTATCCGAAGGCCACACAGCCGTCCTCCGCCTCGTAGGCATCGGCTACCGAGCCGCCGTCGAAGACCGGCCCAAGCAAGCCGAATACCCGGGCCAAAAGACCCTGACGATGAAGCTCGGCTACACGCACCCCGTGGACCTACTCGTGCCCAAGGGCGTGCAGGCGTCGACGCCGAACCCGACGAGGATCCTGCTCGAGGGGATTAACCGGGAGGAGGTGATGTCGTTTGCGGGCAGGATAAGAGAGTGGAGGAAGCCGGAGCCGTACAAGGGGAAGGGAGTGTTTATTAATGATGAGACGATTAAGTTGAAGCAGAAGAAGATCAAATAAGTTTTTGGGCGAAGCGAGCGAAAATTTGGGGCTCTTGTATTATTTTTTTGGGGTGGTGGAGGGAGGATTTGTACGTTTAGGGATTGGATTTTGTTGTATAAATCTGTAGAACTCTGCATAGAGGGATGAACCGCCATTGCGTAGAAGCAATAAACTTTTTCATCTTGATCATTTCTGTGTTAGAATCATGGAATTTAAAACAATTGATCTGTTTAGATGACGCTGGTGAAGGTATCTTGAAGTGTTGTCTTGGCGTCTTCTGCACCTTTGTCCTCCTGTGGAGTCTCAATGCAAGGCTGAACCTGAACTTTTAGAGCTTCGCGAAAATAATATTTTTGCGACAACACTTCCTCTTCTAACTTCCACCCCAAACAAAAACAACTGCCTACAGCTCGGAATTCTCCCAGAGCCGACGTATATAACCAAGCGATCCTCCTTCCTAGGTCATCGCAATCCCATAATTTTCACCAAAAAATTAAGGCCCTCCCGAACCATCGACCGTGAAGCTCCTCCAACCTTTCAAACCCCCGACGCCCAAACTTCCTCCCACCAGCCGCGAACGGAAAAAAGGCTTCGGAAGCTAAAAGAAAGAACCACCCATTTCTCGAAAATCATCGGAAAACCACGCACATATCTCTCTCCAACAACCCACCAAAGATGCCCAACCTCCGCACCCTCTACCGCACCCTCCTTCGCGAACTGCCCCCCCGCCCCCTCCTCACAACCCCCCGGTCCCCCCTGCACCAGCGCCTCCGCGACTCCTTCTCCTCCCAGAAGAACGAACTCAGCCCGCACCTCGCCGAACAGCTGGCGACATACCTCCGCTCGCAGAGGACCTACGGCGCGCTGCTCGAGCGGTATAATCCGGGGATGAACATGGAGCAGGATGAGAGGGTGAGGCTTACAGCTAGGAAGGTGGGGATGGATTTGCCGGTTGAGTTTGGGGAGGGGGAGAAGAAATGATTTGGGGTCTTTTGAGTTGAGGAGGAGGGAGGAGGTAGACAGGCGAATGAGGCCGGTTCGTTTGGGCTTGGGGTGGAACGTTTGAGTGTCGGCTGGGGCCCACGATCTAGCTTCCAAGGCTTCGGATATGGATTGGGAGCCAAGCCTTCAGCCTCACAATGGATCGGAATAAGCTTCGCCGAAGGGACGCCGTGGCTATCACCATGAAGGACGACAATGTACGACATCTGTATCAACAATAAAAGTGTATACATAAGGGAAACATATCCCGTGCTGTTATATATCCAAAATATATACGCCTCTAGGGGCAACACCACCCCTCAAGATCCAATGCCTCCTCTCCTCCCTCTGTCTTTCCCCCCACACCACGTTATATTCTTCATTCTGTGCGCTCTATTGCATTTCCCATACCGCGTAAGTGTAGATAGTATCTGTAGATGGCCGTCTTCCTCTTGACAGAGAACTCAGGACGGAAAAGGTGAAGAAAATGAAAGGGAAATTTTGAATGAATATATCCAAAGAAGATTGAGTAAAATGTGCTTCGTGATAACTGACAGAACTTGTCAGGGTGTTGATGAGGAGAAATGTAAGGAAAAAAGAAGGGAAAAAAAGTAGAATGTGTATAGGGTATCAGGCATCTTGCAAAAGCCCAGCCAGCTTCTTAATATCAACTCCAGACCAATAATAAGCAAACGAGAGAGAAAAAAAAGGTTTGGCAGAAATATGTGATTTCTCTTCCCCCCCCCCCCCCCCCCCCCCCAAATTAAGCGACGCCCACACCGCCATCCTCAAGCTGCTCATCCCAACCACCAGTCTCCAGGAGCCAGCCACCAACCCTCTCCTTAACATGCCGAATGGCCTCGCCGAGGGACTCGTTCCACTGGTCCTGAACGATGCGCACTTTCTCCTTCAAATCGTCCGTCAGCCTCTGGCCCTCGCTCTCCTTCATCTGCCTCGCGCGGCCCTCCCTGTCGGCGCTCGGCAGAGGATTGCCGTCCTCGTCGACCTCGGCCTCGATGACCTTGATCTTCGCGTGTGTCACGGCCTCGCGCACCTCGTGGAGGAGACAGAGGAGGTTCGTCTGCGACTCGATGAACTGGTAGGTGCTCTTCTCGGCGTGCAGCACGAGGCTGAAGAGGTACTGGAGAGGGTGCTCGTGGTAGGACGGGTTCTCGTCAAATTCGTCGGCGGGGATCTGCACACGGAATCCCGAAAGGTTGTTGGGGATGCGGTCGAGGAGTCGGCTGATGTTGGGCGCGATATCCCAGAAAGCGGATAGCTGAACCTCGACGCCGCGGGACACATTCTCCGATATCACCTTCTCGAACTCCTCCATCCGCGTGAGTACCTCGGTTGCGAAGACGTACGCTCTCTTCGCCGCGTCTTCCTTGAAAAACGCCTCGGCAGAACGCAGCTTCTCCACGTTGCCCGAAAGCCGGTAGGGGGTCGTGATTACGGCCTTATATCGGTCGTTACGGTCACTGAGCAAATCATAAATCGCCTTGTGAAGCGTTTCCCGCGCTTCGAAAATCCACTTCAGTAGCGTCAGCTTTTCGAGAAGTTCGGGCTTGTCGTCTCCTTCCTCCTGTGGCATATCCGCGGCATTCTCGATATTATTGAATAGCCCACCGGAGAGATCGTCGAGGAGCTGGGTAGAGCGCGCAATTCTCGTGGTGAGGAGCTCGTTGATCGGCGCGACGACCTGCTTCTGGAACTTCTCAAAATCGACCTTCTCCAGCTCTTTCGTCCGGCCCTTCTCGGCCTCCGTGGCATCGGCATCGATGGCGGCCGCTTCCGCATATGACATATTTCCGGAGTTGATCTCTTCCTGCAAGTTGATTCGGAGGGCCTGTCGATGCTCCGCCGCTTGCTTCTTAAGCTCCTGCCGACGCCGGTCGCTCTCTTTTAAAAACCTTTCCTTGGTAGATTTGACTTCCTCGAGGTCACTGAGAGTCCGAACCACGGCCCGAATCTCTTGTAGGTCTGGATGATTATTGTTGACTGCGGGGTGGTGCCTAGGATATGGCGGGGGTAGTGTTACCAGTCTCGATATATCGAGGTGCGACGGGTTCGGAGTGCTCGGTTGTGAGGATGCTGTTGCGATGCTAAGTGCGGAGTGGCGGAAGTTCTGCGGGGTTCGGACCTGCTCTTGGTCGATCAAGCCTGCCTTCTCTGGAGGGTAATCGTTTGGAGATCCCGAATCGTTTGGCGGGTACTGGTCAGCACGTCTAGGGCTGTCCACCCACTGCAAAGCCTCGCGAGCTTCCTTCGGGACGCCCATATACTTGGATTCCCTCTTCGACCTTTCTAGGCGTTGGTTGGCCTCGCCTGAAGAATCTGCTTCCCACCATCGACTTGCCGGCCGCCCTCTAGAATCCGATTCGTCCACATTGCTCATGCTGAGGATGGGCGACAGCGAAGGCATGTATCCATTAGTGCCCCAGTTCGCATTCGTAGGTGTGCCCCCGGGCGCTGGGGATTGTGGGAGCGTAGCCGACGGAGGCGCCGAGTTAGTCGCACCTTCGGGTTGATTGGGATGTATCAACATGCGCTGCGCTGAATTAGGTGCCGCGGATTGGGGTGTCGAATCCCCGCACCACGACGTCCCCGACTCTCTCCGCGCCGTCATGGGGCGGAAGAGGTCTCTCGTGAGATCGAAAATTTCGGAGCCCATAGCAGCGATCGCTCCGCCATACCTCTCACGACGTATCCGCGACTCGCTGACGATGAAGTCCGCAAAAAGCCGTACTCGTTCCGCATCCGTTTCGGCAGAAGCCTCCCGCATGGCGAATAGCTTGAATCGATCAATGGTCTCCCTGGTAAACTGGTCTGAAGACTGCATCACAATCGCTTGCCTCGTGGGCGGGAGCGACGCGCCCGATGGAGGCGGGCGCAGACTCTCTGCTGGTGTGGCGAGACGGGCATCGGAGGACGTAGATCTTGTCCGCGGCGGTGGTGTCGGATGAGTTTTCGGCGCATTGGAAGGAGACGCTTCGGCAGTGGCGGGAGTCGCTTTGAGACCTCGTGGTGAGAACGGCGGAGTGCCGGTGTCAGTTTGAGATATTTGAGATGACCCCAGAGGCCGTGGAGTCAAGTTTGTTCGCGGAGCATGGCTGGAGCTTTCCCCGGCTTCAAAATTTGCCCTACCAGCACTTCTTGGAGTAGATTTGTTAATTGTCAGTCGACAGGAGAGGGTTGTCGAAGAAGGGACTACAATATCAGAAACCGAAAGCGAGGTGTCATCTGGATTTATGGAATTCCTCCTAGTCCTGCTCTCGGCGCGTCTTTGGATGATGGTCTTGTCATGCCTGACGGCACCAGTTCTTGTCAGGTTACCTCCTGAGCTTGTGCACGACGCAACCGACTCCTCTGGTTGGTTCGAGCTATGGACACTGGAAGCGTCGACGGCCTGTGGAGGGGACTGGAGGCGCGATGGGTCATTCGCTTGATTTGGGGTGCTCTCCTCGTCGACCCAGTTGGCGGGTGTAGGCGGCACGGGGCCCAAGGCCGTCACTCCGTTTGGCGGCGGCCGTCTCGTTGGCGGAGAGGCAACGGGCACGCTACTCCTGTCAGAGGGCTGGAGACTCTGTGACCTTGACTGCGACGGCGGGGGCCCGGGTGGAGGAGGAGGAAGGGGCATGCCCGGTTCCCACCGCGAATTCGGTCGGGACCGGGCGGATGTCGGCGTTTCGATTGCGCCAGCAGAGGCGGCTCGGCGGGCACTTGGAGGAGCGATATGGGGATGGGTGGCATTGATCCTCTGCTGTTCTTGCTGAGAAGGAATTTGAATTGAGAGACCCCACATGGAGTGTCTCGCAGACGGATCCTGAGCATGCTGATCGCGTTCTTGGTCTCGTCGGCGAGTGAGAGATGGCAGACCGAACCTCCGCTCCCTTGACCCACCCCGGCCAGAGGAATTAGGTGGAGGCGGAAAGTTTGTGGTGGGTGCTGGAGGGTCAGGAGAAGGTCTGTGGGCATTGAGGCTCGACGGAGGAATGCGCGCGGCCGAGGTGTTGGCGGTAACAGGCTCGAAAGGCTGGGTTACAGGTTGCTGGCTTCTTGGAGGACTGTAAGGTGGCGGAGGGGGAGGCGAAACTATTGCGGATTCGGCCAAAAGGTTAGCAAATTTAAACTACTATCTAGGGAGGGTTGATCGGATGAAGACAAGCTGGACGTACCGGGTTGTTGATCATGACCGAAGGTATGGCTCCGCTCTGGGCCTGCCATGGGAGACGCAACCCATTCCTGCGGGTTGTATGGTTGAATTGCGCTCACCGGGGTCTGCAGAGGGTATTGCACATTGGAGCTCAACGAGATGGCCGAGAGCGGGGCGGGTTGAGGGTAAGCAGGCGCAATAGAGGTTGTAAGTAGTGGGTTCAGGCCCAGGCGAAGCCTAGACGGGTCGCGAACGTTGTTCATCATTGCTGCGATGTCGAGCTTGAGATAAGCCTTGTAACGGGGCGGTCCTAGTGGGCTGAGGCTTGCTTTGGTGGGCGGGATGAAAGACAATCCAGCCTAGCGATGAGGTGAGGGGATCGTATTGGGCGATGTGAGAGCTGGTAAACGGGATTCGTCAAGAAGCGCCAAACGAATATGGTTGGAAGAGTCCCGCCAGTCACACCTACACCTTCTCCAGCTCTTGAACTCTCGGTGGACAGCCTATCGCGGGGCGTCTTCACCAGTCCATCTACTTCACTGTCTATCATCAAGAGACGTGGAGCATATCCAGGAGGGCAAGCGCCAGCGCAAGACAGGTTCGCGGGAGGATGAGAGGAACCGGCGACCCGAAGAGAAGAAGGCGAAGGCGAGGTGGAGCTACACCACCACCGAGGGTGGAAAAGGGAAGAAGAGCAAGGTATGAGGTGAGAGGAAGGTGAGGGAACTAGGCGAGGAGGAGAGAAGGATGTGCGGCTAGACCAGGGTGGGGTGGTATAGTTGGAAGGGACCCAGACGAGGGTGCAGAAGTAGTGCAGACTGGCTACCGTCAACCGTCGAAGTCTACCATCAACTGTGGACCGACGCTCTCGAGCTTTGGGATGTTGTCTGGAGTTTAGGCGGGCGTTGGTGTCTGTGGGTAGTGAGCTGCATGCACTCTGCACACTTCAGTCTGGAACCGTTTTGACGCCAACAAGGCTTTGGCTTTCCCTTCTGGCCCCTACGATCTTCTTGTCTCTCTGTTCGATGGCGGTCGCGGTCACAGTCGCAGTCGCGGGGTTGGGGTGTTCAAACGGATCTGACAAGGGTATGGGTGGTGGTTTGTGGCGTCTCGTCCCTCGGTCTCTGCAAGGTTAATGTCCAAGTACAGAAGCTCGGTCGAGGTTGATAAAATCAGGAACTGAAGCGACGATACAGGTTCAAAAAGACAACTTCGAGTCCAAAATCGGAGGCAGCCCTTTCCAAGGGAGTGAGCCGTAATTATTGCCCCGGAAGATAATTCCAGAGCGCAGGTTTAATACTAGAGGCGGCGAGAGCAATGGGAATCAAATAGAATGACACGAAAAATGGAGCCTGGATCGGAAGAGTCGTGTACTTGTGACAATAATGAGAGACGAAGTATTTCATGCAATTAATTGTACTGGTGTTGGGGTACGAAGACTTGCTTGCAATGATGGGACGGGGAGGTTGATGCCAGCGTATTGCTTTTCGGCTCTGGCTGGCCCGATCAAGCACAGAGCATCACTCGTACCCTCAGGCTTCGTATTCTGTACAGAGAATAGGAGAGAGTGTGTCTGTAATACACGCGAAGGGCGAAGTATAATAGAGAAAGGAATGAATCGACTAATTTTGGTTGAAGGACCGACTGAGTGAGGAGGAATCACATTGCGACTGCGGGCGGATCATGTCGAAGCATCTCGGATGCTCCATGCATTCTCAAAGTACTGAGGTACTGAGGTACTGAGGTATGAGGTACGAAGTACGTACCATTAGGCACGACAAGTCTAAATAGTGTCGCGGGAAGGAGGGAGCGAGGGACCCAGTCTAAAGTGGTACTTCGTACTTTGCGGAAGACTCTTCTGGGATCAAACGAGCCTATTTCGGACAGACTCCTTGGAGACTCTATACTAAGGCAAGCTGGCCAATCGTTGCAGGGATCGAGAATGCAAGTCTTGGAAGTACGAAGTACTTGCGAGAAAATGCGAATATCTTTGCAGCATCATCGTCCAGGGCTCAAAGAATTCGACTCTTGCACCTTGCAGTTCCACCAGGTACTGACAGGGGCTGGGATTTCGATCAGGCAAGATCAATGGCAAGTAAACTGCGTGAGAAGTACTTCGTACACCACTGAGATGGAATATGTTGTACCTCACTAACTTCTCTCCAAAATTTTGCCCATCGATACCATCACCAAGCTGCAAGTCTAGAACGTCGACGTCGACACAGATGTCTGCAAAGTACTTCGTACCAAGTGTTGCGAAGTACTTCCTCTTCAGCAATATCCAACAAATTCCAACAAAATGAACTTCCGACTTGATGAAGGAGGAGTGGGGGGTGACAACAGACCTACCGCTTCCGTTCTGCTCTGTTCTGGTGGTTGGTCTTAATCGCGTCTTCATTGGCTGGTCTTTAGGTGGGAGCTCAATCTATTCTTGGACTGCATTAAAACATGACAGGGGTACGATTGGCTGCATGTCTGTGAACAAGGTGTGAAAGACGAGAGTTACCGGCGCTTAAATGCCTGGGCTTTCTCCAAGTTGCCCCAAGCACACAGGTAAACCAGATATTAACAACGAGCCGAGTCACATCGTCACCTTTTCCACTTCCATGCTCGAAGCAAAAGGGCGCTTGGCAGAGCATGGCATCCGTGGCATCCATGGCAGCAGGGGCCACTTTGCATGGAGACGGATGCATTCGCTCTTACGAAGTACTGCTATCGCGACTCCGATTTGATGATATTGGCAGCCATCGTGAAACCGCAACCGTGGGTGCCTGCAGCTCCAAAAGTCTCAAGGAAATCCCCATCAGAGCACACACTCTCTAAGTATCCTGAGTATTCACGGCCAATTATATGCTATGTGAGAAGAGCACATGCGCCTTAGTCCTCTCTTTCACTAGCAACTGGGAAGACGAGAGACGGCGCACCTCAGACCTCATCTACGTTACTTCGTGCACATGTCTAGATATTTAGACAAGGAGAATCCACACGCACCTCTCGACATGAATCTAGGTCGCCAATTATAGTTGGACGCATTATCAAGCCCAAAGAGGCTAGGTTTCCGTTCTCGGGGGAAACTATAGTAAACTACATGAGTCCTCTAAAAATGGCTGCTCTCAGTCTCCGCGACCTTCCAGCATTTCTTCGCCTATCTAATACTACTTCGTATGGTTCATTTCCAAGCCCGTTCGTCCGGATAAAAATAACAAATTCCCGATGCTTCCATGACTGTAGACTGTAAGTGTTTAAACGCCGGTGCAATATCTAAAGTATTTGCTTTAAAGACGAGTATGCATTGGAATGGACTATTTTCGAATCGTCATATTCCTTTGCCGACAGATCCACCCAAGCGGATTACAAGGCAGTCTCTCTTCTTATCCCGCCGCTACCTTTTATAAACCCACAAAATTGAATCCGATCCTCCCTCATACTTGGCAGTTATTATGATCCCTGCCATGACCAGAGTCCAAAATTAAGGAGCTCGAAGATACCTGTGTGGTGCCGATCTCGATCGCCGGTCTCAGTACCTCCCCACCTGCAGGCTACCACACGGAGCATTTCACTCAAGAGTCAGGATAAGCAAAGGGAAAAGTGGGAGTGCACGGCAGCGATATTTATAGAACTACGAAGTACTGCGCTTGTCGCCTATCTCGTCTTCCCTGCACCATGTCCGTAAGATGCCCCATATCGAATGTATGCACACACCTCACCTATTGGCTCAGAGGGCATTGAGATGCAGCTCATCATTGGATTGGATGATGGTATGATAGTAGGTTCCCGTGACGCGACCAAAGACCATATGGTGCTTTGGCTATTCTTAAAGCCCATCACGCTCGCCTGCGATGATGCTTCTGAGCGGGTTAGATAGAAGCGGTATAATCAGAACGATCATCTCATCCTTGAGCGATAGCTAGGAGAAGTTGTACGTCGATGTTGATTCGAACCACACATTTGGTCCATTGTCATTTCGAAAGTGGTTGACATAAGCCAGAGAATCACCAAATACCTTCAATTGTTTCATCGGGTCTGTGCATTGAAGAGAATCGTGTATGTGAGAGGCAAGCAGAAAGCTCCTCAGTAAAAGAAAAAAAAAAAAAAAAAAAATGGTTACGCCTTGTTGGCCACTCTCCCCACTCTTGTGCCCAATCCTCGCCGCGGCCTTCCACCTTGTCTTTACTTGAGTTAGGGAGCCACTGAGCAACTCGGGCCTCCGTATCGAGTTAGCAACTTCCCGGACAAAAGGTTTCTTGTGCCGAAAAGTATAGACGGAGTTCATTCCAAAGGATATCCCCCAGACCTTCGTCAGCATTCGATAAGTGTTCGATCGTGGGCCGCATGGAAGACGGCCAGGCCCATAAGTCGGCCACTCCACGTGTCGGGAGCATTAATTGATCAATGAAGCGACGGATCTCCATGCACAATCCCACACTCCGTGGACTGGCTGCCGCACCCTGTCAGCGAGGCTGCTTCGCCTCTGGAAGCTCAAACTGCAATTCGGCAATCTGGGTTCGGTGTTTGCTAGACAAATTGCGGGGTGTTTTTTTGCGACCTGAACTTGGAGGCGGGGCCGAGTAAGGCTGCGATCCGAACTTTTACCGGAAGAGTGAGAATTTCGCTATTCTAGAGCTTTCTGTGAGAGCTTGGATTCTCTCCTCTCCTTTCCACAACTCTATTCCTTTTCTCGCCCTGCCTTCCTCTCTCCCTTCCCTCCCTTCTTCCCTTCTTCCCCTCTTTCTCTTCTTCTCAATTACTACCTCTACTACCTTCAAAAACTCGTTTGGCCCCTGACAATTGTCGCGTAGCCCCTCATAGGTAAGAGCACGATCCCCCAATTCCCAATGACCATCATCGTTTCTCCCAAACGGCCATATGATGAGCTTTCAGCTGGCACCAGTCTGAGGATGACTTGTACTCCCCTCATTGATGACAAACGCTGCGGTCTTTTGACCAATTCTGACTCGAGAGAAACGAATCTTCTTTCATCTGCTTTGCTTCTGGCGAATATCGTGGTCGAGGTCTTTTCTAACGTACCTTTCGCACAATAGGTAATCATTCTTTCTCGTAAACCAAAACACTAGGAACTCCTGCCACAATGGTTCTCCATAACCCAAACAACTGGCACTGGGTCAACAAGGATGCCTCGGAATGGACCAGGACCTGGTTAAAGGACACATTGACCAAGATTGAGGCGACAGAAGGCGATGTTTCTGCAAAGATAACAAACGTGATCAGCATGGACGGGGATGTGGATGTCAGCCAGAGGAAGGGCAAGGTTATTACTATTTATGATATTAAATTGACTCTAGAGTATTCAGGTACGTAGTATCTACCCCTGCCTGCGTTCTTTTCTCTCCTTTCGTAAAATTTGTGACTCATGTCGATTGTATTGTAGGATCCGCTCCTGATGCTGAGGATGTTGCTGGAACGATTACCATCCCCGAGGTTGCCCACGACACCGAGGAGGATGAGTTCGTGGTATGTCAATTGTATTCTCCCCATGATGAAGCGCCGCATTTTTCTCAACCCTTTGAGCATAAATTAATGGTATGATTTTTTGTGTGTTTTTAGTTCGACGTCGACATCTACTCCGAGTCGAAGGAGAAGCAGCCGGTCAAAGATCTAGTCAGGTCCAAGATCGTTCCCAAGCTTCGAGAGGAATTCCTGAAGCTCCCATCCGCCCTGATCGCCGAACACGGAAAGGATATCCAGCACGCGCCCGGCTCAAACCCTTCGAGCGGCTTCAACACCCCCAAGTACCACCCCCAGACCACCTCCAAGCCTTCCCCTGCGGCGGCGGCGAAGCCCACCACTTCGAGCGGACTTGTAAATACCGTGACCGTGACCGACACCGACGAGTTCCGAACTACCGCCGACGAGCTATACCAAACCTTCACCGACGTTAACCGCATCAGCGCCTTTACGCGAGGTGCTCCCAAGCTCTTCGAAGGCGCCAAGAAGGGCGGCAAGTTCCAGCTCTTCGACGGCAACGTAGCCGGCGAATACCTCGAACTAGAGCCCCCAACCAAGATTGTTCAGAGCTGGCGTCTGAACCAGTGGCCCGGAGACCACCACTCTCGTCTCCAGATCGAGTTTAACCAGAATGACGTTGACCACGTCACTGTTATGAGGGTAACCTGGGAGGGTGTTCCCGTTGGTCAGGAGGAGGTTACGAAGAGGAACTGGCGGGAATACTACGTCAAGAGCATCAAGCAGACCTTTGGGTGAGTAGAAACGTTTCTCGCCGAGAGTCTTCGTTTTCGATGGAGACTGGTACTGACTGCGGAAATAGATTCGGCACGATCTTGTAGACGGCGGCGGGGGAAGGTTTCATAATGGCGTTGATGGGGATACATAAACTGAGGAAACAATGGAAATCTAGGGATATGCATTACATGGCTAATTTAGAGGGCGGCCGGCCACTAAACGAACAAGCTTGGTATGAGAGTAGGATTCGAAAGAGAACTCCTACAATTGGAAACAGCGAAGAGGAGCGCCAGACTTTGGTGTTCACCAGCGCTAGATAGGTATCTTGGACGAGACAAATAGCATGATTAACGCTACTATGAAGATTACATGCCTTGAACATGAAAACACGACGTAAAATTATACATACACAGGCACTTTCCGCCCCAGTTCCTCCTCGCTCCGTCTTAGTTTATAAGGTATCTCTTGTATATCATCGATAGACGTACCCCACGTAAAAGACACAGTAATTAAAACGCCGGACACTCCGACTAAACCTAGGTCTAAACTATAGTGGTGACGCCTTCGGCGGCTTCTGTCTCCTCAGCCGACCACCTCCAGAAGGCAGCCTCCCCCTGCGGAAATCATAATCCAAGAAGAAAACGTCTCGCAGATTATCCCACAGCCCCAGATCGTACATGTTGACAATATCTTTCAACCTCCACACGCGCTCCCAGGGCCCCTCGCCAGGAAGCGGCGCATCTTCTGGCGGGGGATGACCGTTCTCGCAGCTCGTGAGGACCTGCTCGGTCTCGACGGGCCACCTCGTCCAAGCGGGTTCTATCGTCGTGAACTTCTGTCGATTGGGAGACATGCGGCGGCGGAAGGCGAAGCCGTCATCCATGTCCACTTTCCAGTCGGACCACTTGAGGGTCTCGTTGGTGGTGGTGCCGCAGTAGACGAGGAACATGGTGTAAGCGAGGAGGCTCCAGATCATGGGGGCCAGCATGCCAGTGAGGAGGGTGATGGCGCCGATACCGAGATTCTCCTGGAGGCCCCAGCCCCAGGCGAAGAAGTACTGGCTCCAGTCGACGTCCTTGGCGGGCCAGATGGACCAGAAGGGGTACTTGTCCCTGATCTGGTCGGCCATGATGGACACGCCCATGAGGGCACCGTAGGAGGCCAGGACCGCCGTGGAGAGGAGGAGAAGCACGAACCAGCGGTGGTTGCGGTAGCCGACGCACTTGTTGATGAAGATGCAGTGGTGGTCGTTGCGGCTGACGCACTTTTTGCAGATGTTGCAGTGCTTGGAGCGCGCGGGCTTGAGGAAGCGGCAGGTGCGGCATTCGTGGCCCGGCTGGAAGATGGAGAAGTCGTAGGGGTAGAGCTGCATGTGGTAGGCGTGGTTGGTGTGGGTGATGTAGCCCGGGTCGGTGAATGCGGCTAGGTAGAGGAAGACGTAGGGGAGGATGATGGCGATCGTTCCGGCGACGCGGTGGAAGGTTGATAGGTATTGCCAGGCTTCCGGGAGGAAGAGGTATTCCGAGCCTACGAGGAGGGCAATGTAGAATATCTGGCGGGGGTGTGTTAGCGCGATTGGCCTCTACCTTTCCGTTGCCTCTGCAGAGAGCATGGGCTGCATGGGGCTTACCAGGACTGTGGGATGCCTATCATTCATCAGGTAGCGGCCGAAGCGAAGCAAACCAGTGGTAAGCCGGCCACCGGTGAGCTTCTTATCCACGGCCAGGATTCCATTTGGGACATGGACAAGAATGAGCCTATTTAACGTGGCTATAGGAGTGTTTCTGTGGGGGGTTGTTTAGTATGAGAAAATGATGAGCGGTTGTGAGAGAGGATGAGATGGACTTATGTGTTACCTTAATGCAGGGATCCGACCAAAGAAAATGACGAATACCACGAAGGATATGCTCAGTATAGTGAGGATGAGGGTCGTGAAAGAGACCATCTTGACAATAAAAACCAAACCTCTATATAAACCGTAGGCAAAGAATCATGGCGTATAAGAGTTTGGAGTGGAAAAGAAGAGGAAAGGTGGGAAATAGACCCCAACCGTGCTAGCCTTCTAGGCGCAGGATAAGACGCTGGAACCGAAACGAGCGGATAGGAGTTCTAAACCAGGCGCTGAGACGAATACGGACAGGGAAGGGCGTCCTCCGCTTCAGAACCAGGCACGAGAATACAACAGAGGCTACGACGATATAAAGGAGCTCATCTCAGCATCGACGTCGCTCGTCCGGATATGACGGTGGCCTCAATAAGATCTGGATATACGAAGTACTTGGATGTCGAAGGATTGAGGCGGTTGCGTGGCTATAAATATCCCCTAAAGAGATTTCTCCCGCTAGTTGCATAAGCCAGGCGAGTAGCGGCCGGGACTGGAGCTGTCGCTGTCACAGTAACTGGTACAAGTACGTCCCAAAACACGTGATTTCGTGAAGCCACCCCCACCAACTCGACTCGGTTCGTTGCTCGAAGTCTCAATTTAGCATGTGTGGATGGCACGAGCTTCGACGCGTCCTTAGGCCCGAAGCACCTCATCAATAGAGACAAGCCAAGCTCATTCACTACCTTTGGGTTTCCTCAAGGCATGACTTGCAGCATTGCTCTCCAAGTGTTCACCATCAAAACCCATCAAAAATTAGCTATGCCAGATCAACCAGCGCAAGGGTTATGAAATAAGCGGTTTTGAGTTCACCAACACACATACTTCGAACTCTTTTGTTTGATCGAGCCTCAGGTCTTGGGTATTCATGGTCGAACATTCTCCTCCAGCATAGCACCTTCCACCCGACTCTTTCTTTCATCTTGCCCGCCACCTATTTTCAAGCTTTACACAAAGCCTGTGCTACAAGCCTCGATTTCAGAACACTACAAAGCCATCCATGCGCCACCTAACACAAACCCTGGGTCTCCAACTCAGCACATCTGAGATCCCACGTTAAAATACTCTGCAGTGGAACACTCCTGTCGTTATCAGAGCTTTGCATTTAATTCTACTTATTTCACAGACATTGTGATGGCAGGCTCTGAAGGAGGAATTTTTGAAGGTATCAAGTTCTGGCTTGCCCAACGCCTCCCCACACGCCAGCACTTCAAAGACCTAATTGAGGTATGGTCATATACATTTATCCTGCTCTCAAACACTGTTTGCAGATTTTCTAACATCTAGTAGGAGAATGGCGGAACTGTTGTGGCTTTGGATAAAAAGGCAGACATCCTGATTGCCGATCATTTGAGAAAAGACTGTCCTCCAAATTCATACTCATGGCGTCTCATTGAGCAGTCGGTCAAGGAAGGCCGTCTTCTCGACAAGGAAGATTATCCTGCTGGGCGTCTGGCTAGAGTACCGCGCCCTATCGCGTCGAGTCAAGTAACGAAGGGACATCGCTCTGCCTTTACCACGGCTGATGATATGATCCTAGCGTCCTGGGCTACCAAAAGTGACCACCCCTCAGGCAACAAGCTATATATGGAGTTAGAAGCCAGTGTAGGTTTGCCCCATTATATCTTCATATGCCGTCGCGCCGCTTTCGCGATGATACCTCTCATGATGCTAACGGCTCACGTACTAGTATCCCCACCATACGTGGCAGTCATGGCGTACTAGATGGGCCAAGGTGTTGCGCTATCTTTCTCCCGAAGTACTAGAACGGATGGCCGCGGCTGCCCCGGCCTCTGGCAATAGAGTACCTACGTCTACCCCAGCTGCCACACGCCCTAGCCAGCGAGCGCAGCCAGACCAGCCAGCGCCATCCCCCTCTCCTGGGCCATCTAGTCCGCCCAAACAGGCATCACAGCCCGTCCGTCAACGAGAAGAACCTACCCGTCAACGAGCGCCATCGCCTCCTTATACCTCTACCGACGATGATGTGCTCGAGCGACATGTGCGGGCCATGGTTGAAAAGGGGAAACTATGGAATAGCAGGTCCGTCTACGAAGAACTTGCCAAGAAAGTAGGTGCATTGACATTCCACTCCGATATCATCCTGCCTAGGCTTCCAGGAACTAACAGTAACAGCACTCCCACCACTCTGCCACCTCGTGGCAGAACCGGTTCGCAGAAAGATGGCGAGACAAGGATGTTGATATGAGGGATTGGAACTCGAACCAGCCTCCTCATAGCCTCCGGTCTCGGCCCACAGAAGACGGCGCTGTGGGCCAGAGAACCCTCCAGAATGGTGAAGCTAATGCAGATGATTCGGCATCACCTCGCGGCTCGCCAGAGGCAGAGCCCGAGAAGGCCCGATTCTACAAAGACCTTGCCATATTCATCGAGACAGAAGAAGACGGTGGAAGAAATCTGAAAATGAAAAGGCGGCATCGCTTCCAAGGTGTCACCTTTGACCTCTGGGACTTGTATCAAACTGTCCTCAGGCAGAACTGTCCCGTTGACGATGTGGACTGGGAGCTTGTCGCGGAAGATATGGACCTCGACTGGGTCGCGGGTCCCGAAGTGGCCGAGTTGTTGGAAGGTTGCTGGGATAAATACCTAGGCAAGTTCCACGAGCTCACGGCCGGCTTCGCATATGAGACGCAGGAGATGGACACGGTAGAAGTTGCCACGTCAGAACTTGAAGAGGAGGTTGAAGAGGTCGTCGAGGAGGTGGGAGAGGAAGAAGAGGTAGAGGTGGAGGCTGAGGAAGAGGTTGAGGAGGGTGTTGAGGAACAGATCGAGGAACCAGGTGACGAGGACATCGCAGCCGAAGAGGTCGAAGAGGAATCGGAAGAAGAGGATGTCTTTGAGAAGCCAAGCGTTCGTGCTCGACAAGACCAACACAGGAGGCATACTATGCCTGCCCTGCGCGAAAGAGATTCTCTTTTACCTTCGTCTCCACCCGTACGCGGACTTCCAAGACCCGCTCATCTCGGGCAGTCCTCGCCAACCTTGACAGATCGCCACCACCCAACTACAACTACATTGCTTCCGAGTAGGAAACGGTCTCGCTTCAGCCTCCATTCCGAAATCCCGTCAACTCCCGATTCGCAGCTCCAGCCCAGGGCAGCGCGCCATGACGCTGAGACGCCAAGGAAGCGGCGGAAACTTCGGCACGCCGAGGATATTAATACTATGGAGCCCGAGCCGGAGGAAGAAGAGGAGGAGGAATACATCACACCCTCCCGGAAGCCACCCCTGTCAAGTGCCAACAAGCGCGCTTCTTCTTCTGTCGCCCATCGTAGGGTGGAAACTGGTAGAGCCGCGAGCAGCGCTGTTCGTAGGAAGACGGCAACGACAGGCGTAACGAAGGAAACTAGGCCTGCGCCCTCCCCTCACACACCCCGACGTCGAGGTGTTAGGAAGACAGCTCAACCCCGGGCTGTGCCACAACCGGAGAGGGACTCGTCAGCGCCGCCTAGGGAGGAACCAGAACAAGAAGGCGAAGAGGATAACAGTGATGAGGTATTTGCTGCCGTGGAGCGCTTCGAAGCGCAAGGCTACTCGCGCGAGACCGTCATCGAGGGTCTATACCGCACGTCAATGGAGCCTACCAGAGCAGAGCTGGTTATGGAGAGCTTGAAGACCGGAAACGGCGTGCCTAAGAATCAGAGAGGCGTGTGGACCGTCCGTGACGATGAGAGGTTAAAGGCCGTTGATTCGGGTGGGCGTGGAATCGCGAAGATGCGGGATACGTTGCTTAAGAAGCATGGGGCTGCGACGGTTGATGCGCGGAGACGGTTCCTGGCTGATGCTGAGGCGATTGGGTTTTCACTGTGATTGACAGCTTTATACTCGTTCTTCGCTCATGTTCAGGCTTGGTCGAAGTCGAAGGGATGGACACAGTCTTACGTTTCAACCTGCAGTTACTTTAGATACCAAGATAATGATGAATGACACGGCGACAATGATAATTTCCTAATCTAACGTGGACTGTGTGATGGTGATTTCTACTGCATACTAGACGCAAGAACGATAATGCCAGTCTTCCTTACTCAAATCCTCCCGCACCTTATACGTCCTCTCCGCGACATCCAACACGCCCATGTCAACTTCTTGAATCGACATGCCCTCCACTTGCCCAAGCTTCCCCAGAGCACCCAGAATCGGCATGCCCAGCTGACTCAAGCCAGCATACTCCCTCTTCCTACCCCCATTAGCTTTGATATCCTCCTCCTCGTCCTTAGGGGTCGAAGGCCCGCCGGCATTCACAAAGGCCACAGCGCAGGTATTTTCAAACGCACGACAAACAACCATGCTCTCCAAAAATACCCTTTCACAATCGGGATTAAGCTCAGCTCCTTCTTCGCCGGCGTCACTCAAGAGCCACCAAGCAGGCACGATGACCAACTTGGCCCCCTTGGCGACTAACTCCCTCATGGCCTCAGGAAAAGCAAGATCCCAACAAACGAGCAATCCCACAGGACCGAACTCGGTCTCGAACACATCATGGGGTTCACGTCCGGGTTCCACGACACCGCGCTCAGGATGCCAGAGGTTCCGCTTCACATACCTCCCGACGACATCGCCGGTCGACGAAATAAAATAACACACATTAACGAGGGCGCCGTCGGGGCGCTTCTCGACGAGCGTGCCGGGTACGATGGCGATGGAGAGGGAGGCGGCTAGACGTTGCAAGGAGGGGAGGAGGTGCCGGGAGGATTCGGCGCAGGTGGCAGAAAAGGAAGGGGAAGACGGGTACCAGGACGTGAAGGCGTATTCTGGGAGGACGGCGAGGTGGGCGCCTGAGGAGGCGGCGAGGCGGATCTGGGATTCGGCTTTGGAGAGGTTGTGGGTTGGCGAGAGCGGCTGGGGGAGGGGGCCGGGAGGGGCTGGTTATTAGGAATTCATTGTTTTTACTATACGGGCTGTTTCATGGCTGCTTGTGTCTTTCTTCTGGGGAGGGAGGCAGGGAGTGAGGGAGGAGGGGTAAATGGGAATTTGATAGAGCTCTTTGGGGGATTTGGGAGGATAAATCAGGGGTCTACTATAGGTGGGTTGATGGATTGTATGAAGCACGGAGTGACGTTTCAATATTTCAATAAGATCTGAGATAGCGACAATATTTGAATAATAAATGGTAAATGTGCGAGCGAGGAGTTCGTGAGAGTGAGCAAGGAAGGGGTGAGATGATGCCACAGTTCAGCAAAGTTGAGGTTGATTGAGAGAGCATCACAACACAACGGTTGCTGGGACGGACGGGCCACTCCTCCGTACTAACCTTGGGGTACAGCTGAATCAGGGCAATCTTGATCTTGGATGGCGGCATTTTGGGGAAGCAAGCTGGGTCACATTCACATTGAAAGTTCTCGTGCTTTGCGAATCCCCTTCGACTGACATAATGGGAATGTCGTCCTACTGATGAAATGTTGAGCTGGTCGGTCGTTAGATCACTTGATCGAACATGATGAGGAGTTGAGGAACACTGAAGGACTCCGGACTTGAACGGGAAGTTTCGTCGGTAGGCATCATTGGTTGGACTTGGTAGCTCAAGCCCATTTGCTGCATCAGTTCATCAATTCTGAGAGGGACTCTCTTTGTACTACTTCGGTACATCGGAGATATAAGATAGATCAATTGATTATCATCGAAGCAATTCGGAAATTCGCAATAATCTGATCATCGTGAGCCTAATTGGCGACAATGTTGACCGAGCGTATAATTGGGTGGTTGACTCGTGGCTCTAATTTAACGCAGAGGCGATGCATTGAACACTTGTTGGAGATCCCCGGCATATTGACCAACGGGTGCTTAACAGAGCTGTCCAGTAGGACAGCTCAATGTCCCTTCGTCTTCCAAGCCGTTGAGTATTATTCGATTCTGGTTGGTTGAGGCCGTCAGCGTGTGAGTGTGAGTGCGAGTGTGAGAGCTGCGACGTTCGAAGCGAAGTGCGACCTTCCGCTTTAATACCGCGACATGCCACCCTCCCATCGTTCATCGTCGACGTTCGGCCACCCTTTGGTTTGAGGAGGCTGAGGCTCATTCTCTCCTTCGCCATACCTTCGTACTCGAGGAAGGAAAGTCGATTTCGACTCGGATTTCGATCTCAACCAAGCAGCAGAGAAAAGACGAAAAGAGATACATTTAGTTCACCATGGGACTGTTCAGTTTACTTAACTTCTCCGAGAACGGGCTCTTTACCAATGCGGCCATCGCGCTCGTCACCGTCCTCTTTGTGTACCGCTATGCTGCGAGGAAGATTCATCCAAAGGAACCCTCTGTAGTCGCCCCCAGGGTTCCATTTGTCGGCCATCTCATTGGCATGGCGATGCATGGAGGTAAATATGTCAAGAACCTGGGGTAAGTTCACCAGCGCATGTATAAACGAACTGGATGAACTGAGCCGCTAACGGGGGATAAAACAACCAAAGGCTCGCTCACAAGCACATGCCCATCTTCACTTTACCCGTACCAATGTCGCGGATCTACATCGTGACGGATCCGTCTCTGGCGGCTGTGGTGCAGCGCGCGTCAAAGTCGCTATCGTTCACTCCGCTCGTCCCCGACATTACCGAACGTGTACTTGGCCTCGACAAGAGAACCGTGGAGATCGTGAAACAAAATCTCGACCCTCTGCCGGGCGAAGAGCGTGGTTTCCTCGCCGATATCCACGATATGCTCTACAACTACCTCGGACCTGGTGAGGCCCTCAATGACATGAGCTGCGAGGCTACCCAGGAGCTCTATGATCAGTTGGCCGGATATGTGAACGCTATTCGGGAGAAGAAAGGCCGGTCCGAAGTGGTCGACCTTCTTGACTGGGTGCGACACTTCGTGGCGGCGGGCACGGCGAACTTCTTGTACGGGCCTAATAATCCCTTCGCTGTGGACCCCAAGCTAGAGAAGGCGTTCTGGGATTTCGACCACGGTCTCGGCGGGCTGCTGATGGGTATATTTCCTTCTTTGACAGCGGCTAAAGCGTATAATGGAAGAGAGAAGTTGTCCAAGGCCCTCAAGGACTATCTCGAGGCGGGGCACCACAAGGAAGCGTCCCGGATCGTCCAGAGTAGGATACGAATCGCCGAAGAATACGACTGGACCGTGGACATGACCGCTCGCTCCGAGCTCTCGTTCCTCTTCGCCGGCATTGTCAACACGTCCACCACGCTCTTCTGGATCCTCCTTCAAGTATCCGCCCGTCCGAAGCTGCTCGCTCAGATCCGTGCCGAACTAAAGGACGCGATGGTAAGCAGCGTGGAAACTTCCGGAGAAGACACTCTTAGCATGAATGCCGTGAGAGAAAAGTGCCCAACGCTTAACGCGGTCTTCCGAGAATGCCTACGAGTCGGATCCGAAAACTACTCCACACGGCTAGTGAAGGAGGATACCATGCTCGCAGACAAGTACTTCCTGCGCAAGGATTCTGTTGTGCAGATTGCCGGCAGCGTCATACACTCCGACGAGGAGATATGGGGCGACGACGTGGCCGAGTTTAACCCGGATAGGTTCCTCCAGAATTCGCGTGAAAACAAGTCCAACGTTCACCCGGCCGCCTTCCGGGCCTTTGGTGGAGGAAAGACGCTTTGTCCGGGCCGTCACTTTGCGACGAATGAGATCCTCATGCTCGCCGCGCTGATGATCCTCAGCTTTGATTTCAGTGCCCCTGGTGGAGGGGAGATCTCTGTTCCCAAGAAGAACGACGCCATCATGCCCGTGCACATCTTGGAGCCGCTTACACGGGAACCGATCAAGGTTGATGTTAAGCTGAGGGAGGAGGCAGATGAAGCTATCAAGCTGAAGGTGGCGCTTTAGACTGCGGATTGGGGGGGCCCGTTTCGGGGCGGTGGTTGGCGTGTGCTTATACGAGTTTCCTAGGCCTTACAATATCTCTGGTAGACCAATATACCCTTTCTAGGTGCCATCTGATACCGAAGTATGGTCAATATCCTGTTCAAGCAACGAGCTCCTCCATGCTTATTAAACAACTGAGGTTCATGGGGTTTCTTCGCTCCTTCCTGATATAATACAATCCAACCTGAGCACTTCGGGTGTTGCCTTCCGCCTCAACTACTACCATCGAGGGTGTGTGATGCTCCTTCCTCAGCTCGCCACCGCTCCGATGTCACTACTTTCTCCAATTTTATCTCGCACCTACCCCCTCTCCTCCTTCTCACCCACCTCGCTTCTCAAAGGCCCTGACCATACCTAATCTCCCACCGCTCTCTGCTTCGATTCTCAATCTCATCGGCCGAGCGACACTGCTCCTTTCGATAGATATCGGAACTTCGGAAATATCAACCAAAAAGAGATTTATACTAAACTTCTGAAAGTGCCTATCCTCGCCTTTTCTCTCTAAGTTGTTCTACAAAGTCTAAGCGTATTCGGACCGCATTTGCCGCGATACTAGGTTGGTGTTCCGGGCACCTAGATCCCTAAACGACGTATACCGGAGCCTTCTCGTAGTGGACCAGGTTTCTGGAGATCGAGATCGGATTTACGGACATTTCCCCTCTCTAGATCAGCTCAATTCCGTAAGAGCTTCTCGTGATGAGGTTGGCACCGGCCCTTCTCTTGGCCATGCACGCGCATGCATGGATGTGGGAGCCGAAGAAGGGATCGAAAGAAGATGCTTTGGCTTCCTCAATTGCAGAAGTGAAGGAGACTGTGCCAGACAACCGTCTTTCGCCTCGCCCATCTCGCCCACTAAGCGATCCGTTTGAGGCTTTCGATATCAATTCCCGGCTACCTAACATATACGCCGTTGCGATCAAGGAGTTAGAAGAGCTTCAGTCCGAACCACTCTGCCATCGCATCGCCGCCAAGCTTCTAGTAAATGACTGTCAAATGCTCGATGGCAAAGATGAAGCTACGGTCCTGACAGACAGCGGAAGACAAGTACGGGACTTTGTTGACTTTTACGCTGCGAGCCTGGCCATATGCGACTTGGAGCGCGGTGGGTTTTTCATTCCGACAGGATGTGCCAAGTTCAGAGAGGAGGCACTTTCTGCGGTCCCGGTGCCACGGAAGCCGGGACTCCATGTGTCTTCGAAAGAGATTGATGTCTGCTTAAACGGCCTTGCGAAATCGGATTCAGCGTGGAATACATGGATTAGTTATCGTCACAAGGCACTCCGGTTTTGCGAGGCTGCGAGGGCAGACAATGAAAAGGGTGAGAGCTACTTCGTTTAAAGAGCCTCCTATTACTGACTCGAGTCGCTGATATGCAAGCAGCGCAAAACATCTACCTCTACCAACGAATAACAAAGGTACTCGAAAAATTGGCCAATGAAGTTGATACCGAAATGGACAAGAGATTCCAGTCTTTTGACGCCAAAATCCGCGAAACGGGTAAAGATATCGAGAACCTCACGCCCGTAGTTGATAGCCTGAGAAACGGGCTTGCCTACCTCAGGGAGACTCTGTTTGAAGAATTGGAGCGGAGCGTTGAGGTATGAGCCACTTGGTTGGATAGTGAGAGTGAGTGCTTCTGACGAATGTCAAGGATTCAACCCAATCGATGAGGGACAATTTCAAGGAGGCAGCAAATCTAAAGCAAATTCTGGCTGTTCTACTATCATCCGTCCTCCAGACCAATGCTGAGGTCTCCGCTGCTCATGAAACAGCTATCGAGAGCATAACGCATAGGACAAATGAAAAGACTGAGATGCTTCTTGATGCAGTTACTGCCGCTGCCAGCTCAATGGCGGCATTGGGCAGTCACATGGTATTTACAAATTTCCTTGGATTTACTTGGGATTTGAGGGGGTGTTAATCAACCTTGACTCGACAGGAGCAATTCCAGATGAGAGTCGAGGAGTTACAGACCCGACAGGGTGCGATTGAAGAGGTTCGTAGACCCCCTTTCCAGCAATCGAGTGCCCTGGACAGACTAACAATCGGATAGGGTCTAAGTGCGCTTTGGTATCTCACCCAAGCCATATCTGCTCAACATCATACTCACAACGCGCAACTGAATATTGCGAGCGAGAGGGTGGAAAAACTGGTTGACGAGCTTGGCACCGCTATGTCAATGACGACCAGAATACAAAATTCAGTGGTCAGATCTGGATTTGTGCTTGGATGGTGGCCATATCTCGTCTGCCCCGCCGTCTCGCTCGTGATGGGTTCATACGGACTACCGCCGTCCGGCTACAGAAATATCATGCTTATACTGGCCGGTGAGAACATGAATCTTCGGACGCTGAATATGAGTTCTCGGACTGACACGGAGGCTGACATTCATTTAGGCGAGGGGTTTGGGTTTCTGATCTCCACGGGCAGTCGGTTTATGCCACGCGACATTCTATCTTTTGATCACCCTCCATTGGGAACGGGCAATTTATCCTCGAATATCACAGTAGATCTTCTGCTGAGTGAGAAAATGGGATTGTGAGCGGGATGAGTCGAGGACACATAGAAAGAAGACTTTCGCGGTTCATACATAGAACGGGTTCGGTATTTCGTTCGGACCTAATACCCGTCACTTAGGGTCTTGTCACTTCGTTCTATCATTAGTATCGAGATTCAGCAAAGCATCTCTTGGGAGGGGGTTACATCATTTGAACGGTATAGAAGAAATCTTGGGCGGCGATCGGTGTAAGTTGCGTTTGGGGCAGGATCGTCATTGTGCGGTTACCCCGGCCCCATAAGAAAAGACGCCATGGAATCTGGAATCACGTTCTTAATCAGATTAATCCAACGTTGCTACAAAATTAAACTCGATCTCCTTTGAACGCCGCATCTGTAAGTGTTATGAGTAGTCGATTTTGAACCTGCTTCTTAACATGACGAGCATTAGCTTTGTAAAGGAGGGGGTTGGCATTAAAACATCCTCCACCCCCAAACTTCGTACGTCTTATCTTGGGCTGGGAATTTGTGGGGAAGCGAAGCACGCAACGAATGAAGGGCCACTTTTCTGGCTTCGCAGTATCTCGACGAGACATTGACCAAAGTGGCTAGGAAGCCGTTAGAGAGAAGCAAGTAATAAGTCGCAACGTTGGAACGTTGGAACTAAAGAGGGTTCCCGCATTGCAGCTCTTTTGCCACCCTGTTGCTTGTTGGCCGTGCTGTTTGGATGGGCGAGACTGTGTCTCACGAGACAATTGAACTTGTGAGAAGGTTTCCGTTTCGAGATAAACGTGCTCCGTAGTGAGCTCCCCCTTTGGTACTTTCCAGAGTTGAGGTTCACTCGCGGCGGCTATTATTACGATTACGATTACGATGCGCTGTGAGCGCCACACCCGAAGCCCCAACCTATGAGGTACGGGTGATGACTCTCTTTTGTCCATTCCTCGGAGAAAAGAGAGTATGTTTGAAAGACACTCTTTAATAGGTGTGTTAAGAGTCAGGTGCACGCAAGTTGACAGGGCGCCAGACACTCGGGCTTCGGCCACGATGTTGTTAGGTGGTGCCCAAGCACAGGGCAGGGAATGGCGGAGCATGAGCTCGTTACGGCGGACGAAAAGTGTGGCGATTCTGTGGCGAGGGAGAAAGAAAGAAGTCCTAATCCGGAAGGGAGAGGGCACTTGAGGGGGGATTAAAGGCGCGAAGGTTTTGGAGGGTGGTGAGGTTTTGGGTGATGAAGGGTGGTTTGAGATACGATTATTGACGAGGGCTCGTTTTGGGATTTGGAGTTGAGGTTTCATGGAGACGAGAGGAGAAAGGATTGACCATTGATGGAAGATACGAAGGATCAATGATTGAGGAAATTAGATCCACGGGGTTGGGTAGTGTAGGCCACTATTGATCCTGATGGGACTGTACTCAGTAATAGTGGTGTTGATGCCCCGAGTTGGCTTTCTCATCCAAAGCTAACCACCTCAAGCTGCCTTAGAACTTGTAACAACTACCGAGTGCTTCGTACACTACAACCTCTCAGTCCGACAAGGCTGAGAAAGGTTCAGACGGGCTGTTCCGTCCAAACGTCCAAACGCCCAGGGTTCACTAACTGCACCGACCAATGAAGATTCACGCAAGGGTAAGTCTTGGCAAGAAATTGGCCCATTTCTATTGTGCAGCCTCGCGCATCATACGATTGCGTTCAAGATTTGGCGCGGTTTATTTTTCCACTCCTCCTCCAATTGACTCTCTGCTCTCTCCTCCCTCCTTGCTCCTGCCCTCCTCTTGGTTCTCCTCCCCCCTCCCTCACAGTTCACACCCACACCCCCTCCGATATTAGATACCTGTAACGTCCCCCCCCCCTTGGGCCTTCTTGAACCAGAGCACGGCACCCCGCCCCCCCTGATCCGCTGACGGGGTTTGTCAGTTCGGGAAGTCAGGCCATATCAACGGTCTGTACTCAATCAATTTGGGTTGATCCAATCGGAGCCGAGAGGTTAATATTTTTTTTTCTTACCTTTTTTTACTTTTGGTCCTCATCGACGATCTTGTGCATACTGTAACTGGAGTAAGTGTGTAGTACACTAGGAAAGAGTGGAGGCTGGCATCTACACTTCGACACTACCATGGAAGCCATGTACACAGCAGTTTAGTTTGCAGTCTTGGGTTGTGCCATCCTGCCTCTAGCGAGTCTGTCAGGAAGGAGACCAGCCTACTGCACGCTTTTTCTCTGTTGGCTTAGCGCCTGCCTTGCTGTGGACTTTCGACAGCGCAGTCTTGAGGCTTGTGACCATTTAGTTAGATCCTCCGAAGCCTTTTAGTTCCCAGGTGATGGGGAGGACAGGAGGATAGGATACGAAATATCAGATCTCGGGAACCTCAGCAGTACAAATGTTGGTATTTGCACGCTTGGGCCTTTGCAAAATCCTCCCTCTGGTGGGTATTCTCCGCCATTCAAGTCCAATGTTCTCGAGTCTTACCCCCTTACAAAGTAAATGCCAGACCCCGTCCCGATGCCACCTGTTTCCGAGGACAAAGTGCTCTGCTCGTAAAACAAAGCAAAAGCCGAGGCGGTCACAGCAGTACTTGTACGGTCGTACATATATATAGTGCTTGTAATGCTGGCTGTTGTCGCGTAAGAACAATGCAACGGGAAGTGGGCGGATGAGAGGAGCTTTAGTGAAATATTGCCCACCGACACAGAAATAAGTAAGTGTCTTGGGGCAATTGGGAGGGGGGGAAGAGCATTATTATTCCTCATCCTTCCTGGACCCTTTTTTTGCGGCGTTGTCCGAGCTAATGCGCAGCTACTGGATCCGGATTGTGGGATCCTTTTGCTTGGATGTATTTTTTCTTTTCGATTTACCAGCCACAGCACCGATCCTCGAAACGATTGCCGGCATCAAGACGCAACGGACAGCGCAGAGGTTCATCTATCTGTACTTCGTGTGAAGTATGTTACACTTCCTTGTACTTCGTACCTTCTTTTCCCAGCCAAATCCTAGCTCATGATTTGTAGCTGAAAGGTCCTTCCCTGCCATGAGCAGGTAGCACGCAAGTGGAACTCCGTTGTAGCGCATCGCCAGGCGGTATCGCGGTACCTGCCCGAGCCAGTAAACGAGGAGCGAAGGAGGAAAAACGAATAATATTGGAGTAGCGTGGGGAGTCTAGACTCGACTTCGTAATAGCGTAGAAACCTGAACCTAGCCACAGTGCAGTCGACATTCACTGCTTCATGCTTTCCGTACGAAGGACGCCAGTACAACTTCGGAAATGCTTCGTAGTGCAGCCACTGCAGTGTAGTGTACCTCCTCAGTTGCACGATTGCCGGCCTGGGTTGTGCTGGAAGGAAAACCCGGCTTCCATTGAGCCAAAGCGACGTATCGTTCTCCATATGTACCATATACTTAAATTTGGCATTATATAATACGGTAATTAATGTACAGATACAAGGTCACTCACTAACCTCTCGCCGCTCCTTCTTCCCTGTCTTCCAGGCAAGGACTTTCTCAGTCGTTGTAACAACCAGAACTAGAACCTGCCAACCTCAGAGTCTGGTCGGCTTTTTGAGAACCCCAGAACGACCACAACACTTCCGCGAAGTCATCCACTTCCACTCCTACGAAGCAAAGGCTTTTTTTTTCTCACCTTCCTGCGACCGATTATTCCGCCTTACTCACTTCGTAATTTGACAATTCTGGATTGAGATCTCCCATCGACTCGAGATTCCCTGTTCCCTCCAACTCTTCCCCAACGATACTTCAGCCTAGTCCTCTGGTCGTTTTAACACAGTACCAATTACCCTAAAGTTTCAATATTCACCCGGTGCCGTAATAATAGTCGCAACCACAAAGGAAAAAAAAAGCCTGCGACCAACATCACCCAGGATCTTCTGGTTACTCGGATTGTCTCGGGACGGCGATCTTCACAAGACTGGCTCCGATAAGGCCGGTGATATTTTCTTGACATCGACAATACCCTTTTTTTCTACTCTCTTGCCTTCGACATTTGCCTTCCTGACCTGGCTGTTGTCCGTTGCCTCGAGCGAAAACCCCACCTTTGCTTCCGACCGTTTGTTGGCCGAGTTGCCTCCTTTTGCGTCTCCAATCCGCCACCCAAGAATCGCAGCAATCAACTCTCTTGAACGTCCATCTCTCTCGAGCGAACCTGAGCCTTAAGTGACCTCGAATACGAATACCTGCGAATCCCGATTTTTTCTTCACTCGAACCGCCCCCTTCGAGTCGCCAATCACGATCGACCCTCAAAGCGCTCCATTTTCATCTCCGCCGACCATCATTGGGACACTGGAAGGGGAAAATAGACCGAGCGATTGCGAGAAAAAGACGACCCGCCAAGTCTCCTCGTTTGCGATCACGGCCGACCGAGAGTCTGTTGAATTCCCCCCTCTGAATGCCTCGCATCGATAATTAAAGGCTGCTCCTCAATTTGAGAAGAGTAGCTACATCTGCAATTACGCTGGAGAGAACACCATTCGCCCGTGCACCTGACCGCTCCCGTGGTGTCAGTGTCGCCCTTCAGCAGAACCCACCGCACCCCGATCAATCTCTACACCTCAAATTGATCCCGACAGCCGCCAAATCCTTGGGGGCTGGCGGTGTCTCCGAAACCGTCATGGATCCAAGCATGATGAAAACAATGGATTACTTCGGCCAGAACATGGACTCGGCCGGCCGACAGAATGCTGAGGCATCGTCATCTACGGCACCCCCTCCCGTAACTAGCGACGCATCCCTATGGGATCCTACGCTTTCTCTCGGAATGTCGGATGAGATTGCGACCTCAATTCCGTACGGTCAACAAACAACATCATCCTCGCAGGGCGTACATTACGGCAGTCTTGCCGGACCCCAGCCATATGCCACCCCGTCGGTTTCCCAGGCCCCTGTTGCTCCAAGTATCGCTACAACCAGAAAGCGGGAAGGCCATGACAGGAAACGAGCCAAAGTCGACAACGATGCCGCCGCTCTCGAATCGGTTGATTATTGGATTCACCTTGATGACGATGACTTGGATAACAAGCTCGGCGGGAGTTTCGAAATTGACTTCTCGAAGAGGAGAAACGATACCGCAAACTATGCGAGGTATGTTCAAGTAATTGCGTGCGGATGGGATTTTAACCGCATCGCGATAAGTGAATCCCAAGGTTGAAATTGATTGAGAGGGCCATGCTCGCTCCTTTCCATCCGACTCCCTATAGGAAGATAGATCCGTCGGCTAACCCCAAATTTTTCTGTTTTTTTTTTTTTTTTTTTTCAAGCAGACCTGCTCCCACTTTCAATACCATGGCATCGACGCCCGGCCTCGGAACTGGGCTTTACACAACCTCCAACACCGCGCTCTTCAAAGACGACTTTGTCGACGATAGCGCGCTCGACAACGCTCTCTCCGATGATGAAGACGGATTAGATTCGCTCAACCTCGCCGAACAGCTGTCGAAGATCGACACCACGGCACCGACCGAAGTTCCGCCGAGAGAGGGCCTCTATTCGACGCCGCTAAGCTGGGAGAAGCCACAACCGGGCCTCCGTTCCGATCCTCTCCTTGGTGCCTTCAACCCATCGACGCCTCTTCTTAGTGATGCGGAGCAAAAGAAGCTCCTCGCGATCGCCTTGAATACCTCCCGGCCGCCTCCCCCTACTTTCAGCGGCGGATATGGAAGCGGGCTCAATTTCGGATATGGCTACGACGCCCTTAATACCGGATTCCCGACTCTAGGAGCAAATACACTCATGGAAACTCTCGGCGCGAACAATATGGGAAATATGTCGAAGCCAGTGCAACGACCGAAGCCCCAGCCTCCGCCTCAACCTCAAACACCAGCGCAATCGCAGGTTCAGATCCCCGCGCAACCTCAAAACGAACACTCTCGAGCGTCATCGCAGGCTCAGACTCCGAACCAGTTCAACGGTCCTCATCAGAGCCCGCAAAGTCAAATAAGCCAGCACAGTCTTCAACAACCGCAGTCCCAACCTCAACGCCCTCCTGCCCCTAGCCAAACTCCCCAGCCGCAATCGCAGATTCACTCCCAAAATCAAACTCCAGCCCCTCAACCCGATCTGCAATCACAATCTCAACCTCACTCTCACCCGGGTTCAATTGAGGGAGAATCTGTCAAAGAGTCCGCCAAACTCGCAACGACCGACTCGGAGAAGGGCAAGGAAAAGCTCAGGACCGGCGATAGAGCCGCTCACAACGACATCGAACGGAAGTACCGAACAAATCTCAAGGACAAGATCTCTGAGCTCCGCGATTCCGTGCCTGCTTTGCGTGCGATACGTGAAGAAGGTGCCGATGATGGTGATGAAGGATCCGCGCAACAACGGCCACCCAAAGTTAGCAAGGTGAGTAGACATTGAGCTTGTTTATATAGTATATAACTTGACTTTTCTTCGATGAGATAAACTAACGGTCTAACTAGGGTACTGTATTGACCAAAGCCACCGAATACATCCATTTCCTCGAGCGGCGGAACAAGGCGATCGTCAGGGAACACCAGGATCTTTCGAGAAGGCTGCAGGCATTCGAGCAGCTCCTCAACGCGACTGCAAGGCAACCCTTCCCGATGCCGAATTACAGTAGAGCACTCTTCGATCCCCGAGGCTTTTGCTAAACTCCCAAGATCTTCTCGTTTTTCGGCCGTATATAATGATTCTGTTTTCCATGATTCTACAAATTTCCTTGGGGGTTGGCGGTTGGGATTTCTTTTTCCTTTTGTTTGGTGGCATCGTGTGCCTGTTTTCTCTCTCATGTATCCAATACACCTTGGCATCCTCTTTTGGCCTCACTCTAATCCTCAACGTGTGCCATTAGAGTTGGGGCAACCTCACTCCCCTCTCCCTCCTCTGTCTCTACGTCATTCTATCTTCCTCCTTATTACTGCCGCTACGAGAACATATGAGTTTCTTTCATCAAGAGAGTTCGTTGTTGTTGTCCTAACCCGCGCTATGGAGGAAAGGGCCGTGATATTCCCCTTCCTTGACGATGATATGAACCGTTCTGTCTGTTGTGTTGGGATTCTGTTTTATCTTCTTCCTGGCTTATGGGAGCCCATCTTCCCCATGTGCGCGAGGTTAAGGAGCGTGAAGACTCGATCCATCTCTCTCCTCTCCCCCCCTCGTCCCCCTCTCGGACTCACTCTAGGTTTGAAGAAGGAACGAATTGTTTTGAGATATTTTAACAGTTATACCCAACCGTCGCAATACTGTTTTGTTTCGTTAACTGCGGAGCCGTCTTCCTTATCTTATCCCATATTGCCATTTTCACGTCGGATTCATCTTGGTTTCTTTTCGGCCGTCTTTTTGCTCTTGGAAGGGATCTCTGCTACGCGTTTTATGTAGAGATGGGGGATATAAATAACACACATTATAGACTGGGGGAATCTTCTTTAGACATGTTTAATATTTTCTCTCTCTTTGGACTGACTCGAATAACCAGTTCCATAGTTCCACGTTCTCTTGGCCTAATCATCTCCACAGCAGACATATCTGATACTCTGGAGACATCCATCTCCAAGGAGAATATGAACATAGTTGCTTCCACCTACCTCATCGCCCATCCCTCGGCTTAGTCTTTGGGCATCCACTGGAAAGCAAAACATAAATACAGGACAAAAGAACTCTGTAAAACAAATATCTACGCTGCCCTGGACTGAGTCGATACCACCACTGTGTGTCGGCGGACGACCAAAAGCATCATTTATCGTATTTTCAAACCCTCTGGGCACTCTATGCAGCTACTGGGCTACTTTTCACTAGTAATATTGGTGTTTGGGCTGGATTTTTAGGAGAGTCTTGTCTTCAGGCTTCCCGGGGGCTTCATACGTAAGGATTCAGAATGTGATTTGCGCTTCAGGATCGTGACCATCTAAGTAGATAGTAGTGTGTCTTCATCTGGGTAGAGAATGCTGCTCGTCCTTGGATGAGAAATGATATTGGGTGTGTCTAGATCGGTATGGCGCGTCCTATTCGGAGAGAAGGTAGATATGAGAAGGCGTGGGAGTTCTACATTGATGGTGCAAAACGGCAAAGCACGCATGTCACGGTAGGAGATGGGGATGCCACCAGGTAAACGATATTCACACACCTATCTGCTGCGTATGCTCAGCACGGCCGTGTCTGCCGGAGTTGATCCTATCTTGCTCAATACCCCGATCACGAAGCATTGTGCACGGGAGCGAAACAGACTCTTTTGATTTATCGAGGAGCCGAAATGATAAAGTACAAGGGAACCCGATCCAAAGGGGAAACAAAGAAAGAAAGAAAAAATTACAGAGGCTCACTTCTATTTATTCTTCGTCCTACACACGGAGAGCCTCGATATCCGGAATCTCCTTGACAGCCTCCACAGTAAGGTTGATAGGCGAATCCTTATCAACAGCAATGGAGTCCTCGATACGCATGCCCATGTTGTGGAAATGCGCAGGGTACCGGCTATCTTCCGGAATGTAGATGCCCGGCTCGATGGTGACGCAGTGGCCGGCCTTCAGCGGGATACTCCTCGAGATGGTGGCGCAGTCATGCACGTCCAGGCCAACATAGTGACCGACGTGATGATTGAACAGCTTGTCGATGTATCCAAACGCAGAAGAGAAGCCGAGCTTCTCCAGCTCGGTGGCGATGCCGGTGCGGGCTTCGCGATGGATGTCGTTGAGCGAATTATTCGCCGACTCGCGGCAGAGCGTGACGCAGCGCCTCTGGACACTGAGGAGAGCCTCGTACAGGTCTCGCTGCGCGGCAGAGAACCTGCCGTTCTGGGGCCACACGCGCGTGATGTCGCTGACGTAGTTTCCGTACTCGCCGCCCGCGTCGACGAGGATGAGCGAGTCGGCAGGGATGGCGGCGTTGTTGAGGACGTAGTGGACGCAGAGGGTGTTTTTACCTCCCGCGACGACGGGGATGAAGGAGAGCCCCGTGCAGCCGGATCTCTTGACGTCGTATTCGAGGGCTACTTCTATGTCTCGCTCGAAGGCCCACTCGCGGCGCATGAGGTCGGTGATGGCGCGGCCGGCGAGGCGACCCGCTTGACGCATGTTGGCGATTTCGGCTTCACTTTTGACGAGGCGGAGGGTGTCCATCAAGGGGGATAGACGCTCGATCTTTCCGCTCGCTTGCGCCGAGGCCTCAGTGCCGGCGCCGGCCTGGAGAAGATCCCAGAGCTTGCTTCCCGCCTGTCCGGGCTTGGGTTTCTCAACGTCGGCGTAGATCATGGTAGCGTGCTTCAGTATCTCAGGGAGCCGGAGGGACAGCTCGGCGATGTCGTGCGCCGAGTCGGCGTTCCAGACGTCGCGGGCGGCCACGACTCCCGATCGGGGACCCGCCCACTGCTCCATGGCGGGGTTCTTGGGGTGGACGAAGAGGTGGAAGTAGATGTCATCCGGGTTGTCGGAGACCTTGTGGATGGCGGCGACCGCGCTGTCTTCCTGGAAGCCGGTGAGGTAGAGGAAGTTGCAGTCTTGGCGGAAGGGGTAGAAGACGGAGCCGGAGGCCCACTTGAGGGTGGCGGCTTCGACGAGGATGACCGAGCCTGCGGGGAGGTGTTGGCATAGCCTGAGGCGGCGGTCATAGTACTCTTGGGCTGTGATTCCCGGGGTGACTGTTTGAGGGGCTCGTCAGCAAGATGTGCAGAGCTCGAGGGCCGGCTTTGTTCTGTCACTCACGTTCGCCGGCTTTTAGCAGGTGAGGGTGTGTCTCATGAAGAGGTTGGCCAAACTGGAGCTGGGAAGCATCCACATGGTTGGCGGCTGAAAAGCTCCGCGTCTGGCATTTGACGGTGCTTGTGAGATGGGGTGATAACCTCGTAAGGCCGCGAGGTGAGGCAACTCTGGACGGTAGGCTGATTCGAGGAGCGGCGCTGAGACGTGAACTGGTGAGAGAGCTGAGGCAGCGGGATGTGGTCTTGGGGAGACTCATGATGGAGGATGTGGTGTTGGATTGAGAGAGGTTTGGTTCGATATAGTGAGTGGATTAAGAGAGTTGAGAAGCTAGTTCCTCTAATGACGCATTTATATCTGGCAGATATGAGAGGGATATCCCGAAGAGGATGGTGAGTAGATTCTCACCACTTCCTTCCGGGCAAGGCTTCAAGATATATCGAAGTCGCCGAGAGCCAGGTTATAGAAACGGCGAATTTGAGCTGATAGTACAAAAATGATAAGATGCGGAAAAGCACACGAGTCTATAAACGTAAATTACCAAACTGCTCCTATCTCAACAGTTTCAAAGGCTGGGATTCAAAGGGGACTCGCTGTCCCATTCACACCAATTTGACGGCCAATACTGCTGATAGCTTGATTGCAATGCCTGGACTTATAGATCATAGAATAGCTGTGATACCCGTAAAAGGATGAGGCATGAACAATGAGAGAGATGCAGAAAGAGACGGATTCATATAAGTGAAGAATTTCGATGTTTGAGCCGAACATGTCCGGGGCCTTCGGAAAAGTGAGGTTGTTGGATGACGAAGGTTTGGACAGCAGTTACCAGCTGGCAAGGCTCAATCGGAGAGCAGACATGTTCAAAGTTCAACGTAGAGTCTCACACATAAAATGGTATTAGTTAGTAAGAGGGCATCTGTGACCACAACTCTTCAAATCCACCCTTGGAGACGCTCTTCGATTGAAAAGAAGAGAGAGGCGAGCCGTTGGAAACCCGCACTTGGGATGCGCCCAACTGTTTCGTGCTTCGTAATGCAGATGCAGGTACTCCTCCATGCTGCGAAGTTGTGGGAAGCTGATGACATTGACGGATTCGGCACGCCAAGACTCGAAAGAAGCATAACAGGACGCTGTTGCTTCGTCGACGAGATCACCTAGCGATCCCCCACTTTCCACCACCAGTGTAGCAGTGGCTTGGTGTTTGAGCTAAAGGTCAGTGCAACGTGATGAGATCGTCAAAACATTGAATATGCTACTCAATTCGACATCCACGAAGTATTAATGGGTTGTTGTTTTTTTTTGTATCACCCACACATTTGATTCCAGTGAGGCACGAAATAAGGCTATTCACAAGGTGCTCCTGCGCACTCTGTTGAGGTAATGCCGGGCTGGGCAATGCATCCGCAGAGCTTATGTGACAAAAGCTATAATGCTACTCTGTACTCCGTATAACTCAAATGAACGAACTGGAAAAACGAGTGGCAGGGAACCGGGGAGGGGCAGGGGAAAAACGGGTCACGATCGTGTGCCTCGAATAGCGCGGCTCGGTTGCCAGGCAAGAAGTGGTGTTTTGAAGGTGTTATTGGATGATGTATTATGAAGCAGTGCAGCTACACTAGTTTGAATGAAGCGGAATGGCGGGACGGAGTGAGGCAGCCTCAGTGAAGCCATTGACTTTGTATACTTGTATACACCTGGGTGGACCATCGATCAATTTGCTGCTCAATTGCACTTGCAGGCATAATGGGAGTGGTCAGTGGAGCGTGGTTGGTGGGGTTGGGGAATAGTCTATGTACAATTGCACACACCACACACGACGAAGTACACTACAGCCAGGCTTGAGGACAATTACGAAGTACTCCGTATCTGTAATAACATTATTTCGTAGTGCAGCACCACTGAACAATTGAAAGCAGAATTATGGGCGGTGGCTGGTCCGAGCGTGTTTATTAACCTCCGAACCGGGAAAAGCGTGTGTGTTGACAGCAACAGCAAAATCGTAACCAGGCCACAAGCGCGCCTTCCCAGGTTTCCCAAGCCCTGATGAGACAAACTCGACAACCTCCTCCTTCCCTCTTTCCACTCCAACTTGTACTTGTCGACTGAACCCCAAAATTAGGGGGAAAAATAAGAAAAAGAATAAGAGAAAAAAAGCCCGAGAGTGTTTTCAATCCTTTGAATTCTCATCGAGTGCATTCTATTTTTTGTCTGTTTTATTCCATGAATTTATAACACTCAGTACCCTCGTGTCCCTCGCCTTTTTTCCCACCGTGACCTGCACGAGCAGTCGAGACGTGTCGAACAGTCACGTCGCGTGCTGGTCACTGCGGATTTGGCATCCACCACACTACTCCCACTACTCCCACTACTGCCACTCCTACCACTACCACACCACACCACCACTACTCTATTTCGTACTTTCTTTTCACCCGCCACTCTCCTCCTTCGTCCAGCTCCACCCAACGACAACAACAAGAGGCAGCCCCTCAGCTCGACACCCACAACGTCAAGGGGCCAAAAAAATAGTATCACGCATTAAGGCCTCAAACCACGCTCTTTCCGCCAGAATTTAGATGTTAGTGGGGAATTCCAGCTCGGTATCGGTTTATGGCAGCGTTATCTCTATCCCCAGCAGCTACGCGAAGGCCGCCCACTACGCTGCTCCCTCCCACGATTGACTTCTCAGTCATGCCGAGCATGCCAATCGTGAACATGTCGAATACTCGGCGGCCGCCCCTCTCCAGCAATCCCAATGCTGCCAATTCTCCCTTGAGGGGTTCGGCTGCAGCCGCCGCCGCCAGGACCAAACGGTCGATGGCGAGCATTCAACGCGAGGAAGCCTATGGCCAGCCTCCTCCGTTGAAGAAGCAGATGCTTGACGGTGGCTCACACCGAGCTGTTCGGGCCCCGGCGGCGTCTTTAGCCTCGAGGCCTCGACCCGTGGTTCACGTCCAGCGTTCCAGGATCGCCAAACCTGTCGTCACCACTACCACCGCCACTACCACGACCGAGGCCGCGCAGTATCAGAGAATCCAGGAAAGGGACTTCCTTAGCTGGCAAAAACAGTACAGGGCGAGGTTCCCTCGTATGGTCTTCTTCTTTGATAGTGTTCCCGATGACGTTAGGGGCAAGCTCGTCAAGTTCATCGTGTATCTTGGAGCTGTAAGTTAACAACCCCTCCCAGTTAAAAGCCACTGACATGATCCATGGACAATCTGCCAATGGAGTTCGACTCTGGAGGCGAAGGGGAAAAGAAACGAAGTTACTAAATCACCTTCTTTTTTTCTATAGCGCGAGGAAAAGTTCTTTTCCATTGATGTTACTCATGTGGTTACCACTCGATCCTTACCGCAGCCTAATCCTTCTACCGAACACGACGCCGCCGAAACCGCCCGTTCGAAACGCGACAGCCATGCCGAAGAACAGCCCCAGACCATTAACCCATCTCTTCTTGACTGTTCTTCAGAATCCCGCCGAAGAATGCTTATTGAGATGGGCAACCGTCGAGCAGCTCAGCAACAAGACGACCTTGCGCGGTTAAAAGCGGCAAGGAACAATGATATCCTGTATAAGGCGAGGGACTTGGGAAAGCGTATATACACGGTCGAGAAGCTCCAGCGCATCCTGGACAGTCTTCTGGAGGGTGACCCGTATGTCTCCAGGTCCGTCAGCTCACGCGAGCAGTCTCGCGGAGATGATCTTGCTAAGCTTCTGCGACGAGAACGTCTAAACGGTCCTTCGGATCGCGACCCCAAGGCCGTCACCAAGGAGCTCAACTACTTCCGCGGACCTTACATCTACGTCTACGATATGGATGAGAAGACGAAACCCGTCATGGTTAGGGAATACCCCAAGGTCGCAGATAAGACGGACGGCGAATGGCCCCAATTCAAGACTGTGAGCCAAGGACGCTGCCCGTTTGTGGACGAGAGCTTGGCCGATGCTAAGCTCATGAGGCGTGCCATGGAACGGAAGGCTGCGAAAGAAGCCGCTGCTAAAGCTGCTTCTGCTGCCGCCACCGCGGCTTCAATTGCTCCAACCGAGCATGAACAGCGGCCTGCGGAGCCTCAAGCTCCCCGTGTTACGGGCAAGCGCGTCCGTGATGAATATGGCGACCCACTGACCGAGACAAAAGATGTCCAAAATAGGACCGTCTACAGTGTGCGGCCGACCGACATCTTCAACCCTCCCAAAGACATCACTACCATGACACATATCGACTTCACGTCGCAAAAGTTCTTCACTGGACGAGCTGGCACTGGACGTGTATTTGCTGGCGAGCCGGTGGCTTCTGGTGTCCAGCCTTCAAATGTCACCTCTGCCATCCGCTCCCAAGCGATTTCGTCGAATGCTGGCGTGCCAGGTACCAAGGCCGGCACGAGCAAGGAGTTGCACAACCTACAGAAGAAGGTTTTGCAAAAGGCCACTCCCATCACGCACCACAACGAAACCGATCACCGCTGCGTCACTGCCACCCATAGCGTAGAAGCTGCGGCTGTGAGCAGGACGAATAGCAAGGCTCCGGATACTATTGAGGGAAGTGAAGGAAGGGCGAAAAGGGCAACCTCTCAAGCACCAGCAGCAGCCCCTCAAAAGGCTAAGAAGGATATGAAGCCGGGTTACTGTGAGAACTGCCTTGAAAAATTTGACGATTTCGATGATGTAAGTTGCCCCTCCCCCCCATGATTTGTTTTGGAGACTTGGGCAACCCAATCTAACAAATATTCCTCTCAGCACGTCGTTTCTCGAAAGCATCGCAAATTCGCTGAATCCCTCGATAACTGGGCGGAGCTTGATGAGCTTCTAAGGGTCCTGGACCGGCCGCTGAAGTATTCTCACCTGAGCGGAGACGTCGATACCCACGGGTGGTAAGCAGGTTGCTTCCGCCCAATCTGTCTTTGTTCGCGTTGTTGAACGCCAGCCTCATCTGTCATTCTTTTACCTCCTACTCCTCACTTCCCGCTCACTCTCCTTTCACCTCCGATCGCGATGCCCCCGTTTCCCCTGTGCAATGCTGTGTATTGCCGTCCAAGTCTCAACTCGTGCTATGCATTTGCATTCTCGGCGCCTCGGCATGTTTTTTTTTTCTCTTCTTTATCACTGTGTTTTCACTCCCCGTCCATCCAGGCATGGGATGGATGGATTTCCATGACTCTTGCGATACGATACCTACCATATATCGGAGCTGGTGTTGTTGGCCTGCATTGCAACGAACGAAGCACGTGTTTTTACTTCTATTCACTCGTTTGTACACTTGTTTTTATTTCTGTTTTCGCTTTTTATACCTTGGAGCTCTCTCGCATCGTTTGGGACTTTGCATGCTTGGTGGCGTATTATAGGCATGGGGAAGAGAGGCGTAGTAGCATTGCGCAGCCTTTTGTTTGTCTTTGAAACTCATCCAGAATCTAATTGCAGGGAATGGGAAGGGATCAGGAGGGAGGGGAGAAGGGGGCTGGGGATGGTTAAACGGCGGTTGGGTGGGTTGATCCATCGAACAACGGCGGGTTCGAGGGATGGATGACGGATCCAGGCGGAAGAAGGGGGAGCTGTGAACGTATATAACGGGTTCAATGTGTGTACGGCGCTGTATTTTAGGAGAAGTGAATAATTACAATCAATGTATTGATGGATCTTCGCTACCCGGTTGTGCTCCCTTCTTGCGGTCACTTGGAAGCTCCTGGAAGCAGTCTTCGGCACACTAATCGCGGCAATCGCAGCAAGGGATAATGCAAGGGACAATGTGAGTTTAAGAAAATACTTGAGTTTATATTATTTGTATATGAGATGGCTAATGATATTTCAATGCTGTCTGGGGCACATCTCCGCCCTTGGAGACAGTTAGCAAATGGTCGTGAATAGCTCGATCGGCCAGCATCCGCCTTCCGTGAAGATGAAACTAAGATACAAAAAAGAACCACCATGAATGTCAAAAAGAAACCACTTCCAGATCAAAAGCATATCCATAATATCTGCTGCATCATCATCATCATCCTTCGATTCGAAGCCTCTTACTCGCGGGACTCTCAGCGGCATCTTCGGCACTCTCCTCCCTTTCCCTCTTTACACCGCCGAGGTCATCCAGATGGTCAGAATCATCGCTGCCATCATCTTCTCTGTCGAGTTCTTCTTCGTCTTCCTCATCCGGGATCGTTATTACAACGGGGGTTTTCCTTGGACCTTTTCCGCCCGTTTGAACGTGGATTCTTGGGGCGTCTTGACCTACGCTTTGGGATGCCGAGGGGGAGCTCCTGGTTCCAACTTCGCCGGGCTTTGAGGCGCCATTCTCTCCGTCTTCAGGGTCTGAATCCGCATCGTCGCCTTCGTTCTCGTTCCTTTCGGTGTCCTCGCGATGCGTGTTTGCCACCTGTTTGTCGGAACTCTCACTGTCTGACTCTACTGCCTCTACTGCCTCCTCACTCGAGGACTCCGAGGATTCATCTTCTCCTTCCTCCTCAACAACGGGGATGTTCGATTTCATGGGGGCTTTTCTAGCCGTCCCGGCATACGTCATCGATGAAGTATGGGTTGCTTGCTCAGTCGTTACAGTGAGAACTTCGACCTGCTGGTTAACGGGAGACTGGTCAATGGCATCGTCGATAATGTTGACCTGCGACGTGCCCTCGGGACCTTGCATGGAAATGTCCTGCTCTTGGTCCGCGGCGGGAGACTCCCGCCTCTCGTCGACGGCCATAGCGTCGCCGCTCTCGGCAGATTTCTTCTCCTCCACTGCCTCCCGGACCGCCTCTTCGATACCTTCTCCGCCAACATCCTCGGCCTGCGTCTCGGCGGTTACTTCTGGGTGGGGTTCTCTCAATGACTGGCTGAGAATGAAGGGGCCTGGTAGACTTGAGCAGTCTGAGGTATCCGGAGTCGTGGGCGCGGGACTGGCGGCGCCTCGGATGCTGGATGCCATGGGCCCGCCTACGAAAAGGCCGGATTCGCTACTGGCTCTTGAACCATGGCTGCTACTCTTGCGTGGGACCAGCGGGGAAGGATGACGGCCAGCGCCCGTGCCTACTTGTCTACGAAGGAAACTACGGAGGGGACTCGAGCTACGATGGATAGACTTTGCGGGTTCGGGGGGCAACCTACTAGGACCTGCCAGTGGTGTCTGCTCACGACTCGGGGCATCGACATTCTGACGCGTCTCCAGATCCACCGGCTCCTTTCCCTTTACTTGGTCTGTTCGGGGTTGGTGGGGCTCTACATGTGGATTAGCGGATTCAGGCGGGCTCATCAAGACCTGGGCCTGATCTTGTTGGCGATCCGGCCCCTGCTCGAAACCTTGAACCGCGGATGTCCCGTGACCCCAAGGGTGATCAGAGGAAACCCAAGAAGGAGCCGTGGCACTCTCGTCACGGTCCACGGCGTTCTGCAAGAAGTCATATTCTTCATTTTCAAAACGCTGGACGCACGGAGTCCACTCGGTGTCGTAGAAGGAATTTACGATGTCCCGGTCGGACTGGGAAGGGCGGAAGCGGCGGACCACAGGGGTGAGGTTTTCGAGACGCGAGTTTTCATGTTGGAGGCGTGACTTTTCGCGCTTGCAAGTGCTGTGAGTGGACCTGATCAGCTTGAAATTCCCCTGGATTTACCGATTTTCCATTCGTTCTCGTCCTCTCCTCTCCTCCGACACTTACGTTTGCAGATCTAGGGCGAAGCTCCAATCACGAACTACCTCCATCGTAGTGAGGTCAATGAAGCTAAGAACCCGGAGCCCGCGGAGTTGCCTGACATAGTCAAGGCCTTGAAGACCCCGGAGGTTTCGAGTCAGCCGATGGTTCGGTTGCCCCGCCGTCTTCTTAGCCAGAAAAGCAATGTAGGGTATGGTCTCGTGTTGACGTCGGACGACGCCCGAGGAAGACTCGTCGACGTAGACGGTCAAGCTGCGCAGCCTCACCATGTCGCAGAAGGAAGCCAGGGCCCAGGTTCGGCGGGAGTGGCCTTCCATGGTGAGTTCTTGACTGCCGATCCACATTAGCTCGACGTGTTGGATCCGCTGTCTTCGGGCGCGGCCGATGCCAAGGGTGAACCTGCCGAACTCGCCGAGCTATATTGTTTCTCAGTGTTAGTTGGAAAAATAGCGAGACAGAGAAGGGGGGTAGGTGTTGACTTACGGAGCTAAAGGCGAATGTGTTGCTGCCATAAAAGATATGGGCACCGAGAAACAGGAACTGCCTAGAGACTAGCAACGGGGCCAGAAGGTCGTTTCCTTTCGCGGCAAAGACAAGACTACATGATTGGCCGCCCCTAGGAGTGCGACTTGTAAAGTGGAAACGGTTCAGAAGCCCCGACCTCTTTCCTTTGGTAGGGGGGATCTCCTGCGGCGCGGTATGGGGGTCCAGACGAGAAATAGCATGGATCAAAGAATTCGGGTACGTGAAGACGTATCTGAAGATGGAAACCCTGATGTGCATGGGCAAGTCGTCAAGTTTGAAGCGCGAGGGCGGGCGGGGACTACACTTATCCTCAAGGAACGCCCTCTTCTTCCACGGGTTGAGCACGAGATCCATGAGACGAAGCCAAACAAGTTGCTTTCGTTCATCCTGTTCCTGACTCTCTCTGCACAATCGAGTGATTCTGCCCAAGCTCGCCTCTACGAAGCAGAGTGTGGGGTGGACAATTGTATGGTGAGCGTTTTCCTCCTTACAACTGAGCTTGTATAGCTCCTCATGCGAGAGTGCTCCCGCCCGAGCAAGATCGGGCCAAGTCTAAAAATAGTGCAGGCCGTTAGTCTGGAGGTCCTAGATGACAATGGCGCCTGGGACGGGGAGCAACTTACCCTTTCCGTCTTCTTGGGAGGGTGGAGCAAATTCTCGAGCCTCTTGATTTCCTCCCGTAGCCTGTCAGCCTCTTCCTTGAAGGCTTTTACTTGCCTCTCGTGCTCTGTGATGATGTCTTTGACACGGTTACGGCAGCGGCGATTGCAGCCCGCGCCTGCCGCTTCATGGCGAGCGTGGAAGGGGGGAGCAGGCTTGTCTACCCCGGTTTCTCCGATATCTGAGTTAGCGCCATCCTCGAGGTCTGCATTCCACTCGAGGGGAAGGTACGCAGCTGAGCCGCTTGGTGCGGCCATGGTTATTATAGTGAGAAATTTGAGCTCAAGTTAGAAATCAGGATGTGATGGAGCAGTGATGGAGGTGGATCTACGGCTTCTAGATTGAAGGAGTTGGTATAGGGTGTTTATAGGTTTACGCTACGCACGATGGAGGGGGGATGGAATGGTGTTTGGGGAAAAGTTTGCTTGAGTTATCTAGAGAGGGGTGGAAGGGTTTATATGGGTTCGGTCTGGCTTTTGCCATGGATATCCCAGAGAAGGTGGTGTAGAGAGCCAAGAATAGGGCCAGGAATAGGAGGAGGATGGGCAGAAAGAAGGCCACAAGAAGTCCCAGAAGAGGTCCCAAAAAGAGGTCCCGGAAAAAGGCCTGGAAGTAGACCGGGAAGAAGGCTAGGAAAGGAAGGTTTGGGGGCTTTTAGTGGACAGATACAGACGTAGGAGGTGGCCAGGAAGAAGGCCCGGAAGATGGTTGGAAAGGGATGACAGAAGGCTTCCAATAGACAGATAGGGAAGTAAGAGGTGAGCCGAGAAAAGTCATCAACCATCAGAGTCCACCTTGAAAGCTCGTCATGATGTGAGTCGGGAAAGTGCCCTTATCAGTTTCAACTTCTCTTTTAAAGAAATCGAGTTACATGTGAGCCACTTCGTCCGCTGCCTCGTGCTTCTTCTCATGATGGAGCAATAGGCTAGGCGCTCTTGCTGCTTTTGGCATACCACATGGGCTTTTTGGATCCGCTTCTCACATGGGACGTCTCGAATCTAATGTTATACCGCAAAATTTGAAAAAACTAGAATCGTTAATTAGGTGTAATGAAACACTTTAAAGTAGTAGGAGCGATACTAGCACCTAGAAATGAGACTTTGGCGATGTGCTGCGTTGTTCGAATTGATTTGGTGTTGACGGTTGCGGGCAATTGGAGCGAGTCATGTGTAACTGACTGACTGAGTGAGCGCTGCCTACAAAGGTACGAAGTACACTAAAGTGCAAAGTGGGGGAAAGTACGAAGCACAATTTACGAAGTAATCAAGAACCCGCCTCGTCCATCACTTTCATCATCATGTCCTGCATTCCATCACATTTCCCACGCCTCTAACTACCAGTTCTAACTTTTGATCAAAATCCTACTTTAAGGGAAGATATTTGAGGCAAAAGATAACATGGAGGGCTCACCATCTCCCCCACTAGCCGACCTTCAAGGCGACATGCTATCCCCCGCCGCCTCCCCCATCCCAGACCGAAGCTCGCCCTCCCCCGAGCTCCCTCTCACCATGACAGCCTCCGCCGTCCTGTCAAGCCTGCCCCGCGATGCCACATCCGCCCTCGCAACCGCGGGTCGGTTCGCCCAGGAAAAAGTCCTCGTGCGCTTCAAGCCCGTCGGCTCGGCGCCGGGTCTGAGCCGCGAGGTTTGCAAAATCAGCGCATCGCAGAAATTCGAGGCTATTGTTGCCTACTTGCGCCGGGTGCTGAGAGTGAAGAATACGGATAGCGTGTTTCTTTACGTTAATAGTGCTTTCGCTCCCTCTCTTGACGAGATCGTGGGAAACTTGCACAGGGTAAGTCGTTCTATTATAGATCTTAGGGACATCGTGGGCTCATATATTCCTCTCACAGTGTTTCAAAAATGCAAACGATCAGCTCGTCGTAACTTATTCAATGACGCCAGCTTTCGGCTGAAGCTACATGAGAAACTATCAGGTATCCCCCTCTCGATGAACCAAAAAAGGGAAAAGAGAAGGAAAACAAAGAAACGCGACTGAATCCACCAAACGCCCGCAATGATGATGATGATGATGATCATGGTATGCTCGCTCATTTCAAATGACATCTTCCGCCCAACCTTCCATCTCTATCCACGACGGTAAGGATCCAACCACATCCAGAAAGCTACTCCTTAGAGTCAACAGCCTTCTCAAAGGCCGCCAACTCTTCCTGGGAAATCGGGTAGGTATGTTCAGGGGCCGGATATTGCCGGCTCTTGACCTCGTCGCGGTACGTCTCGATGGCTCGGAAACTTTCGCTCCAAACGTCGCCGTACTTCTTGACGAACTTGGGTAGGAACCTCCCCGGTGGGAAGTTGCCTGTCATATCAACTTGGACGAGGACTTGGCCAGAACACCCGCTGCCGGCCCCAATGCCAATGGTGGGCATATTAAGCTTGTTTGTTATAAGCTCAGCCACGGGAGCCGGGACAGCCTCTATGACGGCGGCGAAGGCACCGGCCTCCTGGACCGCGAGAGCGTCCTTAAGGACACTGAGCGCCCCGTCTGCCGTCTTTCCCTGCACTCTGAACCCGCCGAGAGCATTTTGACGTTGGGGAGTAAGGCCAATGTGAGCCAGGACGGGAATGCCAGCCGAGGTTATCCTCTTGATGGTTGGGGCCATCTCAGCTCCTCCCTCAAGCTTGACTCCGTGCACACGACCCTGCTTTACGAACCGGATGGCACTTTCCAAAGCTTGGTCAGGTCCAATTTCATACGAGCCCATTGGGAGATCCCCAATCTATACCATGTTAGTGACGGCTTAATCTGGAAGGGGGAGTTTGAAGGGTCGGGTCTAGCATACGATCAAGGCAGCCTTAGTCGCCCTTGCAACGGACCGGCAGTGAAGGAGCATCTCTTCCATGACGACCTCACTAGTATCCTCCATTCCCAGGGCCACCATGGCCAGGCTGTCACCGACAAGAATTATATCCATGCCGGCAGCATCGGCGACGTGAGCGCTTGGGAAATCATGGGCAGTTATGACGGTGATGGGCTCCTTCTTCTTATACAAGGATCGGATTGTCCCAACGGTAACTTTCTTCCTATCTGATGGAAGGGGGTTTCCCATTGGGGAGTGGGAGCTATAGCGAACCTGGCATGGTTGCGACAGCACTGGCAAGCACTTGGGGATGGTATAGTTGATGGTGGTCAAAGGGGGGGATGGTCGCGTGCTCCGTCCGAGGACGGAGGCACATGACCTGACGAGGACCCTTGAAGGCTGCATTTGTGTGTGAAGGAAGGATTATGTGAGGTGGGAGGAAGGGGATGACGTCAACCGCCTAAAGTAAATTCAGGAACAGGGTCCAGAAAGAAAAAGAGAAAAAAAAATGAACAATTTACAAAAAGAGTCGAAGCTACGACCGGCAAACCCAGAATGAATTGCAAACTGGAAAGGAGAACAAGAGTCCATGAGTGAAATTTTTGGTCGCGCGACGAGGTTTTATTGTGTAAGTCATGATGGTTTCTACCGTGTATAATGGAGTATGTTGCTGTATTTTCCAAAATTTCCCCTGGAATTTCATTTTTGGTGTTGAGCCAAAGCCGTTTTCCGTGTGGGTGGGAACAATGAAAGGTGAAAAGGTACTTTTACAACTCCACTTGCCTCGGTATATATCAGAGCCGACGAGAGCGCCGCTGCTAAGTAAATCGGACACTAGGGTACTTGGTCCGACAAGTACATCTAATCTTCCACTCCACCAGCGATCCGGGCGATCGGAGTTTAGACTCGTGGAGACTGGGGCGAGTCCAATCCCCGGCCTCCTCGGCCGAGGCATTGCTGGATTGACTAACTCACTTTTTTTACGTACTGAACTTTTTTCCCAACTAGGACGCGTGGGGTAGTTGGTCTTGGAGTTTAGAGACGACAAGATGATGAAGGCCGCCTCGAGCCGATGACGTCGATGACTAATGTTATAGAGTCTGCTGCCATCTGTGGCGATTCATTGAAGAAAGCCCGTCGCCGATTTCGGTTGGCGAACTATTACGGATGAGATCCGGCAACTTCGGTGTCTTGCTTGCCCTTCCAGGAAAGTGTGGACAGCTAGGCATCCATATAAACTTAGCACTCCTTGCCGGAGATGTCACGAGCGCACTACTTTCTCGGAAAACCTGGAATTCTCGGCATTCCTCCTCGGGACCCATACAGCTAACGGGTAAAAGAAGAAGGAAGACAGAGGCGATGTCCATATTCGCCAATGATATAGATGGAAGAGACTGATAAATGGACCATCTTCCCCCGTGAAAAAAAAGTTAGCGATATGTTGGCGAATGGATGGAGTGACTTCGCGGCGAGTTAAACCGAATGATGAGAGGCTCTTCATCACAGAAGATGGAAGTAGCGAGTATTAGTGATATTCCCGACTGGCCAGCCAGGTGCCATTTCAGAAGAGCAAACGTGAATCATCCTTGCGGAATCGAGCATGTGCCACTGCAGAAAGTGGAATGGTGGGAAAGATTGACTTGCACCACTGTACGGAGTATTAGTGTAAGTGATGTGTGATGTGCAGAGAAGAGCCGTGCGGAGTCGAATCACTGGAAGCTACGGCGTCCCAAAAATTCCAATAAGACGTCACGGCAGCATCGAAAATGAATCAAATTAATCAAGTAATCTTGGTAAACTACTTGTACTCCGTAGTTTACGTGTCCTCACCCGCCCGCCAGTGGCAATGAAGTAAGTTTAGGGAGTAAATAATGGCCTTTACAACTAAAACTAGATTATAATGTTCAATGTCGTGTCTCTGTGGTCTTGGGACCTGAAGGTGGGGGAGTTGCAGACCGCCACCAGCGGGTGATGGGTAATGGGCCAGGGCTTTCAGGCCATCAGCAGATTTGAGTTGAGCTGACCGACGCCATTGCTCGCCGTTGCCCACGTACTCAGCGAGTCTTGGGTCTTTATCCTTAGGCCGCTAGCTCACAACTGCAACTACGGAGTACACTGCAGGTACTTCCCGATGGTGCCAGGCTGGCCAGGCCTGGCCTGTGCAGTTTGCCCCTCCACCGCGACTCCACTGTCAAGGTCCAGTGTTCCATTGTCAGGTTCTTATCCTCTTATCGTTCGCCTCGTCCCGCATTCCTCCTCCCCTCTCTGTCTCCAGCTCTCCATCGATACCAATACTTCCTCCACCACTCTCCTGCCAGGACAATAACATAACCATTGCCGTTTCTTCCTCTGTCGGTGCCCAATCTTGAAATAATACAGGACCCAGCGCCTCTGCCCATATTAATCGACGGCTGCTCCCAACCCCGCCGTTTCTCTACCTACAAGTCTTTGTCGTTTTCTGCGCGCCTACTCTCGAGAATCCACGACCCCTCACCGAGCAGCTTCCAGCAGTCTCTGTCAAACGGAATCGTATAAACCCTCTCAAGATAAGAATACGCCTGTCCGCCCTGCTGTAATCGAAAAGCGCACGTAATAGCCCCTGCTGCACTTTTTTTCATTTTCTTTTCTATTCTTGGTTTCCCTGCAACCGCGAGCGAGCAAAGCCGCCAAAATGAGTAGCCCTCGGAGGAGGATCGAGACTGATGTAAGGGATCACGATGCTGTGCATTCGTTCAAGCTCTCATTGAAAGCTCCATAGGCTAACGCACTTCCCTAGGTTATGAAGTATGGTCCATCATGACTCTTCAGTTTTGGAAGAGACTACTAACCGTTTATAGGATGTAAATTCTTAACTCTCGGCAAGCTGGCGCCAAAAGTCCTTGCTGACCTCTTTAGGATGATGAGCGATTACGAGGTAACGCTGGTGAATGATAACAGTAAGTAATCGACTCCCAGACTTCCAGTGATACATTTCTTTCCACATCCCTGTTTCCGAGCCAAAGGGTCTGCTAACCATGGCTGCAGTGTAAGAAGACCCGTCCGGTGGCCAATTGACACTTCCTAACACGCGATCGACAGGCAAGAGTTCTACGTTCGATTCAACGGCCCGGCCGAGAGTGAGTTATACCAGAATCGCCCGCGGTCTTTGCATGGCGTCTTGCAACAAATCAAGAAGCATTGGCTAACCGGCATAACCCACATATAGCCCCGTTTGAGGGTGGGATCTGGAAAGTTAGTGTCGAGCTGCCCGATGCGTACCCCTACAAGTCCCCGAGTATCCGATTCGCGAACCGAATATTCCATCCAAACATCGACGAACTGTGCGTATCCCATAAACTCGCGCAGGGCTCTGGTTAATATCGTATGGAGTCTAATCGGAGTTCTGTTCTGCTTGTAGGTCCGGATCAGTGTGCCTCGACGTCATTAACCAAACGTGGTCCCCCATGTTCGACATGATCAACATCTTCGAGGTGTTCCTTCCTCAATTATTGCGGTACCCAAACCCAACCGATCCTCTGAATGGCGAAGCTGCAGCCCTCCTGATTCGGGAGCCTAAGAGCTACGACGCGAAGGTCAAAGGTGAGGAAATACTAGGGACACGCGTGTTAGCTTTCGGCCGCACCTTGGCATACTAACCATCTACCAGAATACGTCCAGAAATACGCATCTAAGGAAGCTGTAGACGAGGCAGGCGCGGAAAGCGAGGACGACGATGACCTGTCCTCGGTAGCCAGTTTCGGAGACGACGACGAGGAGCCCGCGGGGCAAATGGATGACGTATGAGCTGGTTTTCTTGAAAAGCCTGCGAACAGAGGAGGAGTATGAAGCATGATGAGATTGCATGAATTTTAGATGGTTTTTTTTTACTAAAGGATCAGAGGCGTACATGGTGCCCCCGACATCAGTTCCTTAGTTCTTCACTCTTGGAGGGGCTAGGCTCATTGTCTTGGTTGTCTTTATTTCCCTGTTCTGCGTTTTCCCCTTCATGTTCTTGTTTTCTTATTCACGGTCATGGGCTGGTGTTGCATATAGCAGCTTTCCCCCCTCTTCTGTACGTCATTCTTGTTTTCCCCATTAGAACAAATTACGAGGTTGTTAAGCCTGTTTCCCATGAACTCTCTTCTTTAGTTAGCGGAGACGAATGCACTATCTAGTATCTATCGATTCATCTCTCTCTTGTTGGCCACCTTCCCCTCCTATCTGTGTTGCCCAAATGCTCTGCTCCACCTACCTTAACCCATTCCTTCCCAACCTCGAAACCGTGCCAAACCTGAAGTTGCCCACGGGCTATTAGTCTAGTGCCACCAGGGTAAGTTAGATACATCTCCCCCCAGCCTTGATCAGACCTTTACTAACTTTCTGCAGCCCTACTGAAATCATCTCAACCGCAGAAAAAGTCTCGTGCGGGTGACAGTGTTACAAACGATAGCCTCCCACCGGACAGTGCCGCAACCACCGGCAAGGGAAGAGGCATTGAGGCGGTGAAAATGTTTCCGAGCAAGCGCAAGAAGACTGATAGCTATAGCGAATACGATCTGTTCTCGGAACCGGTCAGCTCTCATGGGGATACACGCCGAAGAGACGAGGAGGCATCCGAGGTATGTCTTTTCCTGAAGCTTCCCCTGTCCCCTAAAAGAGACACCAACGTCTTCTCGTCAGTGCCTCATCCGAGACAACCATGCATGTATCGTCACTGGAACGGCCAATCCGGAAGTTTGTCCCATAGTTCCTTTCGCATTCAATAGCGCGAAGGACATTTGAAGACCACTTGGCATCTTCTTGACAACAGCGGGCGATTCCTGGGAAATAACACCGTCGACGAAATGAAGAAGCACGTTGCTTCTAAACTTGGGTGCTCTGACAAGACGTGGAACATGCTCTGCCTCAGTCATCGAGTTCGCATCTGGTGGGGAAAGGGAATGTTCGCTTTCAAGTGCCTAGGCATCACCCGGGGAGCCGGCTCGACTTATAAAGTCCATCTCCGATTTATATGGATGCCGCGGACCCTGGTCTTGGACAATCAGCAAGAGCCGAGTCGGCAGATAAACCTAGCCGAAGGCGGTGGCCGGGAGATGTTCGAGGTTGAGTTTGATGGGAAGGAAGAAGCTGAGAAGGTGAAGATGATGCTGGATTTCCAACGGGTCATGATTGTCGTGATGACCATCGCAGGGGGTACAAGGAGCACAGGGGGTGCAGGGTCGCCCGAGCTTCTAGAGGACATTGCGGATCCAGATAATGAAGGCAGTGTTCAAGATTAGCTCGCAGGCGCCGACTCATCCAGGAGGGCGATGTGGTGCCAGAACCAGTCAAACTGAAAGTGTCGCGACGAGATTCTTTGCCCATGTTTGAGGGAGAAGGATCTGAAGACGTCGACACCAGGAGGTCTCCAAGATATGATCAATCAGCCCTGACTCCAGGGCTTTGAGAAGAAGCCCAGGTAGAAATCGAGGATGCCCAGGTCCGCTTGCGATCACCGAACAAGGAGAATGCGGGCTTCCTGCAATGGCCTGTTCTCCGGGTTCACGCAGATGGGTTTACACTCGGGTTCATTGCGGATGAAGAGGGGAATTTCGATACCAGTAAGAACCACTGGGCGACCATCGCCCAGTGTCCTGAGGGCCAGGTTCGCCTCAGCTTGGAAAGTCGGAAGAACAATAAGACGGGGACTCGTGGGGATCCTTCGTGCTCAAGCGCCAACAATATTATCCGGGCCCATCCCCTAGCGTCCTCTACCGCGAAACCTACGCGTTGAAATTTGTGCCAGTCGCGGGCAAGGCGGGTCGTAGAAACCACCCACACCCGCGGCTGGCACAAATTCAAGATGTTGTGATCACAACCGCGAATGGGGCCAAGAAAGGGCGTCTCACGAACGTCCTTCTTCGGCGTCACAACGTACCTCGATAGAACCGTAGAAGGGCCTACCGCCTAATGTCCTAGCAGGGATCTAAGCCCAGCGGCGGAACGAGGGAACTTACAGATACTGTCTGTCACGCGAAAGGGGACTGCCAGCTGATGGAATCAACATGAACAGATCCCAAGGTATATAAGAAGTGGCAGAGCCACCTCCACTACTTGTAGATAGAGAGATAATCTAACCTTCATCTATCTCAACAACTGATTGCAATGCTTCGTGACCTTCTGACTTCTGATGGCTGTTAGCTGAGTTCTCCCGATGGATTTCTGTCGTAACAGATACTACAAATGGCGGAAATCAGAAACACACACATACACCAGGGTTCACACACACCCCAATACAAATACGTATGTATCAATTCCATCCGTATGCTCTCCCGTCCTCGGACCACGGTACCCAATGCGTGGTTCTAAAAAGTCGTCGTTTGTACTGAAACCCTATTCCATGCCAGGGGTATCTCGAAAATTCCCATTTTGATCCATCCCAAACGCCAAACCATCTATACGTAATTGTTGTACACATATATACATATCCAAAGTTTTCTCATAACAACATAACGGCCCACCCTGTCATTCAGAATCGTAACTCACTAGTCCTGATGTGCCTCCGGTAGCAACGGAGCTAGGGGCGGAGCTAGAGCCGGAGCCGGAGGCGGGAGAAGTACTGGACTGCTTCTGCGACGGCTGTTGAGAGTGGCAGTCCTCTAAGGGACTTTTTTTCCGCTTCACGCCAGCAAATTTTGTAGCAGATAAGGAGTCCAGGGCCTTTCTTCCATCCAAGAAGGGATCCCTAGCGATCCTCGTGTTCCCGATGATCTCTGAAACAAGACTCTCTTTCCGCTTAGAAGCGAGAATCTCGGATTTGAGTTTCCTAGCCTTGTCCTTCGAACGCTGGGACTCGCTGCTAGCAGCGTTTTGCTTTCGGCTCGGTTTGGAGGGGAAGAGAGGTTTCGCCAGGGCTCGGTTCGGCGGCTCGGAATCCTCTGACGCACCAAAGTCCACGAGCGAGGCCCGCATGCTGTCCATTTCCGTCGCCGGGAGCAAGTCTATGGACAGACTCATCTTGTCTTTAAGATCCTGGGTAGCAGCGGATTCCTTCTCGAGCCTCTTTCTCTCCTCGCGAAAAGTCTTGCGTAGTATTTGGTTCTTCGTATAAGGGTCATCCCAAAACTTAGAACTTGCCCCCTCGAGCTCATCCAGCCTCCCCGCAGCAGCGCGCAACTGCTCCCTATCCTCGATGGTCTTCTCCAACCCCGCAAAAGCATTCTGCCGCAACTTCTCGCGTTCCTCGGCGCTCATGACGAGCACATCCCCATCCTTCGCCTCATCCTCGCCGGTCTCCCTCTTCCTGGCGCCGCGCTCGACAACATACGCCGTATTCTTCGGATCTGTCCGGATCTCGATCTCGCCGCCGCACTCGGCGTGTCGGAAGGTGAAGCTCCATATCGGCGTGGAGTAGTAGTTGCCCACGCGGCGCTTCTCGGCGTTGAAGCGCACGCCCTGGCCGATGATGGTGGGGCGGGGGCACGTGGCGCACCAGATGGCGAAGGGCATCTCGAACCGGACGGTTTGGCCGCCGCCGGGTTTCCGGCGGGATTTGTTGTGCAGCGCATTTCCGGTTGTGAGACCTTCGAGGTCTGGGGGCACGTAGCGCCCCATGTTGAAGCCCTGCATTTTGGATGTGTGGGTGTGTAGAAGGTGGGTTGGATGGAGGCTTGGGCTTGGGCAGTGTGGGCCGGCTTTGGGTTCTGTTGGTTATGCGGAGGGGCGTTCGGGCGCGGGATGTGGGGAGATGGGGATATGTTGGCGCATTAGAGGGATTCAAGGCTTTTCTGGCTTTACGTGAAGGTGGCTGTGATGGTCGAGGTGTTGGACATCATGGTTATGGATTTCCATGTGATTGTCTAGAAGCTCGAGGACAGAATGCTTCGTGCCTGTGGAGACTGAAGATAAATTCTGTGAGAAGCTTCGCTTCGTACCTTCGTACTGCTTGCCTCTTTCAGTGGCGGGAAGATGACAAAGGCAAATAGGTACGTACTTCTCAAACTCTGAAGTGCTTCGTCCACTCTTATGAGGGGGTAATACCCAAGTAAGAAGGGACCTTTTGTACAAGTAGAAAATTAACAGAACCAACAATCAAACATCGATTGATGCCTACTTACTTCGTACACCCACCTCTCGAAATGGATCATCAGTTGGTGAAGATGGCATGTTTTTTTTCCCTTCCCCTCCCAACTTTACGAGCCCGGCGCGGCGCAGCCCTCCTTCATTCACCAAGAAAACTGCCTCGAGTTTCCTTTCCGTCTGGGTGCACCGAGGACGATGCAGTGGGGGGACGAGGAACCAGAAATAGCACAGGCATTGGTCCAGCAGGGGTTGCACAGGGCGCCTCTCTGAGACCTAGTACAATTTGTACATGCAGGGTACTACACCATTACGCGCCCGGCAACGACGCTGGTGGTCCTTGTCGGGTACTTGCATCATCGCGAGCCCCACGATCGCCCAACCGGAAGAGGCCGGGAGAAGAATAGTGCAAGTTGTACCGTCGATGGCTAGCCTTGCAGACGCTGATCTGGTGGTAGGATACGGGGGGAGAGAGCGGCGGCGCGTCGCTTTCAGCAGCGAGCAAGCGCCGTCCGTCCTATCGTTCTGACGCGATTGGGAAATCTCGTACAAAACCCCTCCTGCTCTTTAAGCGACTTTCCCAGAGACCGTAGCTCGCCGTGGGCTCGAAATAGCAGCTGTTTTCCGGGCCGTCTTGTTGGTTGTGGCCAGGCCAGGCCAGACCAGGTCCTTCGGAGAGAATCAGCTGCGGGTGTTGGTTGGGGGCCAGCCAAATAGTCCACCCTCCCCCCCTTCTTCCCAAGGCGGAAGAGTATATATATCTCTTCATCTCTCATCCACATTCGATTCCTTCCCGTCAAAAGTGTATTATTGTTGGTTTGATTTTATTTTATTTTATTTTTCCAATTAATGCGGGGGCCGGCGACTCGTTGGCCTTCTATATCTACTTCCCTTGATATCACTAGTTAAGCTCTTCTTTTTTGCTTTATTTCCAACGCCCTTTACCTACCTGTGTACACCGTTTTTGGACGTTCGCGCCATCTTCACACACGTCGGCTTTGGTCGCCTGACCCGTTCCGAGCCCACCTGGGCGAGAAAGATGGCGAACACCGCGATAGATGGGCTTCGCCTGCTCTCTCACCATCTGTCCAAGCACTGGGCCGATCCATTCGCCGCCAAAAGCAATTGGACGTCGAATAAAGCCAAGGCCACAATACTCGGCAGCCTCCCCAAAGTAATTACCATTCGCAACGGAGAATATTCTTCCCGCCTCCTCGACGAGACCAGGCCGCCCTCCTCGGGACCCGGGGACAAGGACGAGTTGCGAAACGGAGATCTGCCGGTGAATGGGCCGAGCTTGGAATTGGTTGTCGTGCCGAGAGATGAGAACGACCGCGTCAATCTTTCTTCGAAAAGTCACAATTTCGCCAAGATTATCGCAGCGTCAAACATTGACCCCGTCATCCACCAGCACATTTACCTTTGCAGCTATGGCTTTTACCACTACGATAGCGACGGTCTGGTCGAAGCGACGGGTCAGCCGCGGAGTTTCTATTTCGGATGCTTTCTCTATTCGATAGCTTGGTCTTTTAACCCGGCGACTATGAAGACCACTGGAATTATCATCCTCCGCACCGTTAAGAGGCATAACTATGGTGCACTTCCCTTGGAGATGTTAGAGGGGGTTCTAAAAGTCTACTCCAAATTCCTCACCTCACCTCTCTTCTTAGCGTTTGCTTCTTTCATAATGCTCGCCCACGTTCTCGACGATAATGTCTATCGAAACGTGGACCTTCTCAGGCATGTCGAGAGAGATACCGAGCATGGGCCTGGTCGGGAAGGGCCGCGCATGTTCTACAAGCAGCCCGATAATTTGAGCGATGTTTCCATCGGCGACGGCGATGAAATGCCTGGCGTGGAGAGGCAGGATACCGTGATTCTGGAGGATAAAACCGACAACATCAACAAGTTGACCGAGGTCTCGCAGCAGCTTGCCGATATCAACGTCCACTTAGCAAATCTGCAACGACATGTGAAGTTTCTCATGACCATGGCGGAAACTCTTGAAGACGTGTCATTCCGAGAATACCAGTTCGACGGCATCCCGAGCGGCCTGCTTGATTCAGCTCGTGCATCAACCGAAGAGCTGCTGCGGCCCCTCCCATCCCTCAAGAGGCGCATCTTGGCCGTCGAGCCCTCGATTGAATATCTTCAAGACAGAGCAAAGAGTTTATCACAAGTGGTAAGTTTTTTCTTCTCGTTTATTATCAACCGACTGTCTCATACCTAGAAATGCTCACGAAAAAAAAAAAAACCAAACACAGGTTTCTGGTCTCTTGACGCACGAAGATGCAGAAGTCAACATCAACGTCGCCGAGCGCGCGAGGAAGGATAGCTCGGCGATGAAAACGATTGCGCTCATGACCATGCTCTTCCTCCCCGGCACCTTTTACGCGGCGGTCTTCGCCATGCCAACATTGAAGTGGAGCGACGACGCGCCTGGCGTCATACAAAAGGAGTTCTGGATGTTTTGGGCGTTTACGATTCCATCAACGGTTCTGGTGATGATCGCATCGGTGATGCTGCATCAACGGAAGAAGCTTGTCTCAAAAGGGAAGCGCTGGGCCAAAGAGTGGAAGATGCGACGGGCGCAACCGCGGGGGCGTCAGAGGAAGAGGGATATGCCGCAACTTCCAGCGCACGACCCGGAGAAGGCTTATACCATGACTCCCAAAGCCAATTAATGAAATCGCACTGAGAGCCTTTTATAGACCTCACATGTTCTCACATGACGGCTCGTGTCATTACGGAGGAGCCGTCCCTCCTTCTACAGTATTTGACGCAGGACATGCCGACCGGGGGCAGCCCAATATATGCTTCGTTATTCCCGCGGCGGAGGAACCGGCCAACATCCCTCCTTGGTTGCAACTGCTGTGGCATCCCTTGCGATTGTAAAGTGCGGTTTCCTAGCTCAACGTACGCTCTAGGAAACATAGGGTGGCATACTGTATCCCACATACGCCACAATCGCCGAGGCTTCGATGGCAGTCGCTGGTCCATCATGGTAGACATGTGTGATATTGCTCATGCAAGCATCGGGTTCCCAGAGATGAAGGGGAAATTAGTGAGGCTGGCCCCAATCAGGTCCAGGTTTTCTTACTCCCCCCTGGGGGTCCTGCTTTGACTTGGGGGTCGTAGAGGACGTAGAAACATCTCGGTTTTCGGACATTATGAATGGAGAAATAGCTGATATTACTCGAGGAGCAGTTTTTAAGTTGCGATAGCGGCGTGTCGGTTTTGACGATAGTTATGTTGAAAGAGTCGAGTATTGGTGGTGAGATTCGTTGGGAAATACAAGGAGACGAAGAAGTCGTGAATCTAGAGAGAATAGCCGAAGCTCTGCCACTCACCTTGATGGCTTCGCCTTCCTTCGAGATATTGAGATACGGCAGGTTATAGTTCCAGGCATGCGAAGCATTAATCAATGGAAACAAGTCCTTGTTCTTTCTTGTGATGAAGACAGATTTCATCCTCGTCCCGGGCTTATCTAATCATACGGGACGACGACGACGACGACTACTTCTGTCCTTCTTTTATGTTTTAGCCGACACGCCCTACTTTTGAAAGATGAGAAAAACAAATAGAATAAAGAGAAAAGGATGAAGATGTTGGATCTGGACATATATCAGAAGAATCTCGCCGGGCTCCTGCTGGTCTGCGGGACTCTGCTAGCCACAGGGAGCCCCAGCAAACAGGGGAAGCAGAAAGCCGGCCGCGAAAGCCCCCATCAGGGATCGCAACGAGCCTTTTACATCGTCTATGCCCTCGTCATGGCTTCAGACTGGCTCCAAGGGCCTTATCTCTATTCCCTCTACCGCGACGAACACAAGGTCTCTCCCGGGCTGATCCCCACGCTCTTCACCACCGGATTTCTTTCCGGGGCCGTGAGTGCCTACTTTATCGGCTCCGTCGCCGATCGATCAGGCCGACGCCTAGCTTGTCTCTCCTTCTGCGTCATTTACTCCCTCTCTTGCCTTCTCACAGTGGTACCCAGTGTACCTCTACTCTTTGCCGGTCGCGTCCTTGGTGGGATTGGCACGAGCCTGCTTTTCAGTGTTTTTGATACGTGGATGGTGACGGATTTTCACCAGCGAAAGCTGGCCAGCAAGGGACTTAGCCTGTCCAGGACATTTGGCACCATGAGCACCGTGAATAGCATCGTTGCTATTGCTAGCGGTATCTCTAGCGAGTGGCTGGTTGAGTGGGCGGGAACGAGGAAGGCACCTTTTGGGCTAAGTGTTGGGTTGCTTGGATTGGCGACGGTCTTCATTTACAGCCAATGGGTAGGTCATTGCCATTCAACGGAACAGGCATTGCCTCGAGGATCTCAAAGAATTTAGCTGAAGTGATTCTGTTCTCAGGATGAAAACTATGGCGACGCGACAACTCCCGATTCCGGGTCCAAACCAGCCGAAAACAGACTCCTCAAAGCCCTCACCAACAAACGCGTCCTCTCCCTCGGCCTCGCCTCAACCATGTTCGAAGGCTCAATGTACCTCTTCGTCTTCTTCTGGGCGCCCGCCCTAGAAGCCGCCCACGCCAACTCTCCCACCCCGCTCCCCTACGGCACCATCTTCGCAAGTTTCATGGCCTCCATGATGACCGCGTCCCTCCTCTTCACCAAACTCTCATCTTACACGACCCTCAGCCACGGCACCCTCCTCTCCGCCCTCCTCGCTGTCTCCACGGTGATCTTTTACACTCTCTCCTCGGCGCCAAGAACCGAGCAGACGGCGTTCTGGCTCTTCTGTGCCTTCGAAGCTTGCGTGGGAGTCTATTGGCCTGTTGTTGGGCTATTGAAAGGAAAGGTGGTTGATGATGCCGTGCGTGCGCAGGTGTATGGTGTGCTGAGAGTGCCGTTGAACGTGTTCGTTGTTGCGTCTTTGGCGCTGACTAGGGGAGGAGGGGATTATGCGAAAGTGTTTGGCGCATGTGCGGCGTTTCTTCTGGCTGGGGCCGGCGCGGTAGCACTGACAATCGCCGGTTCTTGAGGTTGAAGCCTAAGGTTCTTTGATATTTAAGATGGGGAGAGTAGGTTGATGGACTTGGGTGGACTGAGGTGTTGTAGAGAAACTTCTTTGTTTATAGTCATGACTGCAATATGAATGAACGGATACGCTTTTGGATATCTGGATAACTGGATGAAAGTTACCACATGGTGAACGCCGACTTCTCAGAGTATAAATCAAACCCAACCTTACCACCGGCCTCAGATCTCCCCAATGATGGGACCAAAAAGCTTCGGAAGCAACTCCGATGCATCACCACCGAAAGCAAAGTCCTCCTCGTCAAGATAGCGCAATCTGTCCTCCTCCTCAGCATCAAGATTCACATTAACATACACAGCGCCCTGCGCCCTCGCGTCATACAGAAACCCGGCCGCCGTGCTAACCGCCTCCGAAGTCCCGATCGATAGCACAACGTCCACGCCCTCATCAATCCAGTTCTGGATATCGTCCACATTCCGGTCATCCATAGACTCGCCGAACCATACGATGTCTGGGCGCTGCAGGGCCCTTTCGTTCTGACACTGCGGACATTTGGGGATGTCCTTGGCCGGGATATGAGGCGCGGGGTGGTCTGGGTCCAGAAGCGGCAGGGTCTTGGTCGGGTCGACGTCCTCGGAGGCAGGGGCGAGGATGGGCCACAGGGGATCGTCGGTGTAGTTGGTGGACCGCCACGTGCATGTGTCGTCGGAACATTTGAGGCCGAAGAGGCAACCGTGGATCTTTCTTAGCTTTTCTCTTGGGTAGTTGGCTTTCTCGAGAAGATCTAGGAGAATGTGTTAAGAAAGAAACAGTGGATAAAGATGTGTGTTTCTAAACCTGTTTACACATCCGACGAAATCATGATTGATTCGGGACGGAAAAGAAGAAAAAAATAAAAGGGGAAAAAAAAAATGAGTCCATGGGAAGAAAGAGAGGTAAGAAACTCACTGTCCACATTCTGAGAAACGCAAAACACATTCGAATACTTCTCCGCCAACGCCGCCAAAGCCAAATGTCCCCGGTTCGGAACGGCATTCATACACATGTGCCTGCGGTATGCGTAGAACAACCATACGAGGCCCGGGTCCCGCTGAAAGGCCATCGGCGTGGCTAGCGCCGTGGCCGAGTGGTTCCGCCAGAGGCCGCCGGCGCCGCGGAAGGTGGGGAGACCCGAGGATGCGGACAATCCGGCGCCGCATACGAGGAGGATGCGGGGGTTTTCGGTTAGGAGTCTGTGGAAGCGAGAGAGGTCGTTGTAGGGAGGCATTGTTGAGATCGGTGACGATGAGAAGTGAGTGATGATATTGTTGATGAGAGGAGACTGGATGAGAGCTGAATGTGAGGCTTAAAGTGGGGTAGAGTTTAGGAAACAACAAGTGAATAAGAGGGAAGTTGGGGCTTCCATCAGTTTATTTATGTTCAAGGAGAGTTTTTCCCTGCTCTTTTTTTCTGGTCTAAACAAAATAATTCGATAAATCTTTGGAGGACAGTCGTTCTTTCCCCGTGGGAATTTAAGGCAGGATTCGCTGCATCACGACCCGCAATTTGGTCGCCATCCACGAAGTAGATCCCAAGCCTGAATTTATCCCGCCTCTCCGTCATTCATGGGGAAGGCGCACGTCACTTAATAATCTCCAAGGTGACCAGTCCGCGGCTAATACATCGGGCGCTGGCAGGGAGCCTGATTGAGCGTTTCACAGAGTCTGTATACAGAGGAATGGATCTGCAGCTAACCGACGCCACGGATACGGAGCCGGGGGGAGGCGGGCAGGTACTCATACGTCGACAAATCATAGATATCGCGCGACGACCCGACGGGTTGCGGGTCGGCTTTTGACTCTGGGGATTACGAAGGGAACCGAGAGCTCATGTCGAAGAAGAATCGAAACAGGTCTGAGTGGGCTTCAGGACGCAGCAGGCACGTTGAAATCTCACCAAGACACACACACACTCACCCCCCCACACCTGGAAGTTTTAAAGGTGATGCCATTTTTTGCCCCAGAAAATGTACAGTAAAATATAACTGGGGACATCTTATCTCGCTCTCTAAAGGGGGAATAAAACAAAGAAACCGCTCAATCATCAAAAAAATCCCGTGATGGCCCCAATGCTACTTCATTCCAGAAAACTATGATAACAACATGGTATGCGTCGGAGGGGCCGTGTAATATGACTGATCAGAGATTCCGAGTCTCTCTTTTCGCAATTTCAATATTCAAACCGTTTAGAAGAGGTTGGCGAAGATGGCAAGACCAGAGAGGACGGCACCGGCGACGGTGACGCTCTGGACGAGGGAAGCACCGGAGTCCTGGGAACCAGTCTCCTGAGCACCCGCGGAGCTGCCAGTGCCGGAAGGCGAAGAAGAACCGCCGGTGGAAGAGGCGGTGGGCTTGGCGGAAGCGGTGCTGTTGTCGGAGCCAGAGGCAGAGGCGGAGGCGGAGGCAGAAGCAGAAGCAGAAGCGGAGGTAGACTTGGACTTGTTGTCATCACCACCATCGACCTGCTTGTCCTGGAGACCCTCACCCTCAGTGTCGACGACGATGCTCTCCCAGGTGCCGGAGCGGTCGCTGTAGATGTAGGACTTGGCAGCCTTCTTGCCACCCATGTAGTCGGCAACTTCAATACGCTTGTAGTAGGCGTGCGAGGGACCGTTGTCGAAGTTGGCGAGACCACCAGCCCACTGGACGGTGCCCTCGGGGGCGTCGGACCTTCCAGCGACCCAGGAACCGAGCTTAACCTGCATGGGGGTCTGGGGATAGGTCTTTCCACCCTTGGCGTCGGCGTAGGTGAGGACACGAACGGGAGCGCCGTCGATGGACCAGGTCAGGGACTCCTGAGTCCACTCGATCGTGTAGGTGTGGAAGGTCGAGGTCGAGGCGGAAACCGAGTGCTTGCCACCACGATCATAGGTGGAGGTATCACCCTTGGAGAAGTAGTTGGTCTGGACCTCGTCGGGGGAGCCACCGAGCCATTCCTATAGCAGAATTTCCTGTTAGAATCCATAGCCCAACCACCGCGCTCAAGGGGAGATTGCTTGACGAGCAGCCATCTTCTACTTACCCAGTCGATCTCATCAAGGGTGTCGGACTGAAGGACAATGCTGGTGATGATACCAGCACCAGGGGCGGCAACCAGATCGACCTCGAGCTTGCCGAAGAAGATGTAGCCGGGGCTGCTGATGGTGGGGGCCTGCTTCTCGTTGGCGATGCTGAAGACGGCACCCTTCTCCTTGTCGTAGGTGAGGGTGGTGCCGTCGGCGAGGTGGAAGAAGCTGCTCTTGCCCTTGGTGAAATCAACGGTGAAGTCTCCACCGATGGCAGGGTCGGCAGGGCAGTCTGTTGGTGCGAAACATCATGTCAGTCATTACCATCCATCCATGCCTTGCTTGCCTCCACGGATCAACACGGATACCTACCCTTCTTGGTCGGGTCGCACAGGGTGAAGGTTTGGGCGGAGACCATAGAAGCGCCGAGGAGGGCGAGGAGAGCGCCGGAAATAGCAGAGGATCGCATTTTTGTTGATATGCAAGAAAGCGTTCTTTTGGAGGATCGGGTAAAGGTTTCTGAAAGACTAGAAGAGTCCTTTTTCGTTTCTATTTGGATTCTGTTTTTAAAAAGGATTGTGGTCGTCAGGGAACGATATCCAAGACAGCTTGTGGCGAGGCAAGACAGCCGAAGCTAGCAAATATGAAAAACAAAAGGGGGGATATTAACGAGAGACTGAAAATAATGCTGGAATAAACAAGTTGAATCCACAAGAGGACTTGAGCGTCTCCTTAGGTCTATTAAACGAATGTCTGGAGGTGGGATAAAAGAGAAGAGGAGAAGGGGGAGGAAGCAAGGGCTCCAAAGGCTCCATCAAGGGGGTGAAGGGCTCCATTATGAGGCGAGGGTTCCCCGTTTTCCCTCTTGGCGTTGAACGGACGCATTTGCTTGTTCGGTAACACTCATACGCCGCCTCGCAAGAAGAGTGGATATTCCCGGGTCTTGGAGGGCAAGGGGGCTGGCGCGTAACGGCTCGAAGGAAGAAGTATCTCTCACCATCCTGGCTGGTGTTTCCCGGTCCCCAGATCGCACGAAGTTGCTTGCAATTTACCACTTCGTATGGTGTTGACTGCGAGATGAAGGATCCGAAAAAGAACGAAAGGGAACGGCGCCAAGCCCAGCACGCCTCGAGCCTGGCCAATGGGCTCCTCAGTAAAGACCCGGTCCCTGGCGTTGCCTCCAGAGTCATCTCGCATGGTTGGTCGCATGGGGTTGGACCAGAGACCTTAGTGGGTAACAGAAGTTCTATTGGCCCGATGCCAGGCACATGCCAGGGGCGCAGGTAATCGTCCTAACCCAAGTTGGATATTAGTGGGGACTGGGAGATGGGAGAAACGGGTTAGGTCAGGGGTTGTGGTCATGTACAAAGTACGAAGTACCATGCCCCGAGCACTCGAGGTCCTTTGTCCGTCGATGCGGCGATGCAGTGATGCAGTGATGCAGCATTATTATTATTCTTCTTAGCATGAAGGAGGCCAGCCATGAAATGACCCTTCTATGCAGGAAGCAGGCGCAGCACAATATACAGGGACTCAAACTTCGTTTGTTTCGCGAGGCATTTGGGCGCCAAGTCTTGGGATTCTGGGCGGTAATATCACTCCAATTGGAACATGCTCGCGTAATAATAAACCCGTACGAGGGGCCGGGGTACGGTCCCGAGTACTGATTCACTCGTTCTTTTGTCCGAAATCAATCAATCGATCATTGATGCGAGTACCGGATCCGACTAAAAACCGGGAATTGGAGGAAGGTCTTGGAACGGATTGGGAATGAAGGAATCGTCCGACAATAAACTACTTGTACTCCGTACTTCGCACATACACAGGTACGAAGCGAAGTATTAGTCACGATGTACAGTTTGAAGTAAGACGACGCACAAGGCTCACCGGCATCGAAACTAGTGATGCGTCTTGATGGGTCTAATATTTCGCAGAAGAAAATACGAAACATGAGGGGGAATGAAGTAAAAGAAAGCCCAGAAAGTACGAAGAAGAAGAAAAATGAAACTAAAATCAACAAAAAAGAGAGGGTTCCTCTTTAAAGCCGGAAAAAAAACTTCTTAAGCTACATGGCCCCCTGTCCTACCTTGCTTGCTCTCTGATCTCATCCGATCTGTATCCCTGACCTTGTCCTTCGTATTGATTCTGGCAGGGCTGGGTTCTGCGGAACGAAATATTGGATTATCCGGCAAGATGCGCCGATGCGGTCATGCAATTTCAGACGCAAAGTGCGAAGCAACAATGGGCCCAGAGGAACCTGCCGCTTTGGGACACTCTCCCCGTCTCCCCAGACACGCCATCGCCATCGCGACCTGTTTCCAGTTAGAGCGAGTCTCCTCACGAACTGAGGCAGGTGCCGTGTTTCCCGCCCGTGCCTGGGTTCCGAAAAGCCTGCCCTAAAGCCTTAAGGGTTGTTCAAGCTGAGCGGCTAAGGAGGATAGGGCACGGATTAGTGTGTAAGACGATGGTTTACTCCCCCCATAGTGTAGCCATTGTGGTGTACAAATTCGAGTTTTTCAATGAGACTTTTCTCTCCCATGTCGGCAGGCTCGACTTCCCCCCCTTTTTGGGTCACAATTTCACCCCTGGTTTCGAAGGTCAAGTGCGAAAGTAGTAACAATGCGTGGAAAACGAGAAGACACGTGCATGGGGAGATTAGGTTGACTAATAGAAACATTGACGGCACGCTTCAGTGAGATTTGTCTGACCGTGCCATTGTTGTACATGTAGCACAGAGAGTACGGAAAGTGCCTTTGCGGCTTTGTCCAACCCAGATTTGACAATTTGATGGGCAGTCCACAATCGACAAATTGATTGATCCATCGTCCCTTGCCGCACCCCCTCCTTGCTGGTATGAATTACATGGTATTGACTGCTAAACTTGAGCACAACCGCAGGGCTGCCAAGTATGAGATAAGTACATTCATTGTGCTTCATACTCGGTCTCGAGGCAGGGACAGCGACGGAGAACGGATACTGTCATTTCAACAAGTGCAATTGATGTGTCATGTGCATAGGGAGGGACTTTTCAGAAGCGTAGGAGTAGGAGGAGAGTGATCGAAGGACGCCAATCTGCTTTCCTTCCGCAAGTAATCTCCGGCGCAGCATCAGGATACAGAAGCCAACATAAACCTCAATGTTCTCAGACATGCGTCAATAGTCGCTTGATCACTAGAGCGACCAGAGAAATAGACTCTCTCTCTCTCTCTAACTCACCATATTCAAAGTTTTGAATCGTTGAGTAACATCGTTCTCGACCTAACGAAGTACGTCTCACCACAGTCCCTGCCTACGAAGGACGCGAGGTGGAGAAGCGAGAGTGGACCAAGTTAGAACAAAATGATGCTGGAGAGATGGAGACCCTAACTACCCTTCACTGCCACCTCGCAGTTCGCACTGGATCAGACACCGAGGCCTGTGTTACCATCGCACAAACAAATCTCCCCACGCACTCTGATGTTAGTATTTGGCAGGTACCACAAACCCATGGACGTGCAGAATACAGCAAAGCTCACCTCAATAACTTCACAAAGATCCGTTGAAGGGACTTCGGCGCCTGGTCTCAACTGGCTTGCTGCCTGACCTGAGATGTTCCTTTTCCTCGCCAAGGAACAATTTCTCAGCCAACCCAGAATACCGAGGCAGACTATCCTCAAAGTGCTTACACGCCAAGCAAAAGAATTGGAGATCTTGCATTTGTCCCACCCTCGTGCCTCCAGACTAATACCAAGACCTAAGGAGAAAAGAGAGAGAAAAAAAAAGACAAGGAAAAGATATCCTGGCTCCAGTATTTCGCAATATCGCGAGTCTCACGCGATGTAACTCTTAGTTTTGGTCACCGCTACGAAGTACGAGCCCTGAAGTACGAAGTAAGAATACGAAGTCGGTCGCGAGTCACCATACACTCACGCTCCACGCTTCCTACCTGGTTGGCTCTTGGCATCTTGGCAGCTGCGTTTTTCAGGCCTCGCGACACTCACTCACAATCTTACGAAGTACTTGGCAGCATTGGACTTTATTAGGGCTGTACGAAGTACTTGCAGGCCCAAGCAATGCCGAGTCTTCAAACACAATCAGTGTCTTAGATCCATCATTCTGATTGCAAGGGCGGCCCTACCTAAATCTTCTCGCCTTCGAGGATGACCTTCGCTTCCTCTGTCTTCCACCAGCTCACTCCATCAGTCCCGGGGTACTCGTAACGATCCATGCTATCCGCCTTCATCTCGACGCTGTATCCGGGCTCCGTCGGGGTCTGATAGTAGCCATCTTTGATGACGGCCGGATGCAAGAAATGTTCGTGCAAATGGTCGACGAATTCGAGAACCGAGAGCTTCCCGCTTACCACCACATAGTCGATCGTGCTCAGATGCTGCGTGTATTCTGGGAGCCCGACACCCCCTGAGTGAGGCACCACGGGCACACCATATTTCTTCGCCATCAACAGGACGGCAAGAACCTCGTTGACGCCTCCAAGCCGGCAGGCGTCGATCTGGCAAACATCAATGGCGCCTGTTACTATGAGCTGCTTGAAGATGACCCTATTCTGGCACATCTCGCCTGTGGCGACGCCGATGCCATAGGGACGGAGCGCGTCTCTCACAGCTTTATGGCCAGCAATGTCATCTGGCGAGGTGGGTTCCTCGATAAACCATGGCTTGAAGTCAGCCAACTGCTTCATGTACTCGATGGCCTCCGGCACAGACCAGACCTGGTTGGCGTCGACCATCAACACATTTCCCTTGTCAAAGCCCAGTATCTCTCGCGTAATGGCTAGTCGCCTTCGGTCCTCCTCCACGCTGCCACCAACCTTCACCTTGAAGTACTTGTAGCCGTTTTCTAACGTCTCACGGAGCAAGGCCTTCATCTTCTCCTCGTCGTATCCAAGCCAGCCGGCGCTCGTCGTGTAGGCCGGCACGGCACGGTTATTCAGAGCATCCTCCAACCTCTGCGCCTTGCCCGCCTCGGACTCTCGTAGGAGGTCGATGGCCTCTTCGGGAGTGATTGCATCGGTAATGTACCGAAAATCGATGCAGCGTACGAATTCCTCGGGGGTCATGTCCGCCACGATCCGCCATACAGGCTTCTCCAAGACCTTGGCCCAGAGGTCCCAGACGGCGTTGACGACGGCACCAAGGGCGAGATGGATAACGCCCTTTTCTGGGCCAATCCATCGAAGCTGGCTGTCGTTGACGAGATGGCGCCATGTCTTGCCCCAGTCGGCAACTAGCGAAGACAGTGTTCTCCCCTTGATCCTGTCTGCAACATGGTCGATGGCGCGGCAAACAATATCATTACCACGACCAATGGTGAAAGTCTAGGAGACAAAGGGGGAAAAAAAAGTTAGTCAGATACTCGGATACCGATTCTCTCTCATGATAGCATTTTATGAACTGCCGTGGAAAGACTCATGCCGTCTGAAGGAGAGAGATATTAGGGATTATGACAACCATACCATTCCATGACCGCGGTATTCAGAATCCGTTTCCAGAATGCAGTATGCAGCTGAATAATCTCCAGCTGCGTTCATGGCATCCGATCCGGTCTTGTCCAGCGAGGTTGGGAATCGGACATCCCGAGTTGTCCATCCCGTCAATGTAATCTCGTTCGCCGGGGCTGCCATTGTGTTGTATTATGTTTCGTCGGGTTAATCGAGACGAAGGATGGCCGCAGGTTGTTTTGCACTGCAGATCTCCGCAGCCCAGGAAAATCAAATCCTTATTCGGTTGGAGATCGCAAGAGTCCTTCTCTCGTTCTCCGGCTGCGTCGCAGGTTAGCCATTTGCACGGAAGGCAGAATCATGGGGATGGCTTGGTGGCGGGGAGCGGCTCTTCGAACCAGGCACAGCGGCATGCACCTACCCCTCTCCCCTCTCTTCTCCGAGCCGTGTTAATAGATTCGTGATTCATCAAAAGTGGTCATTTGTAAGATAATTGCAAGGGGTGACAATTATCCCAATAGACCAAAAGCTCCGCCAGTTCCAGCACCACATGCCTGGAACTGCCCCTTACATCTACTTAAGAATCCTCTCACTTATGGCGCGACCAGCCACTTCTAGGTATTCTATTACATTATAATACTTAGTTTAATTATATATTTCCTATTAAGATAAAGTTTTTCAATAGATATATATTATATATATTAAATTTAATAATTTTAATAAAAAATTAAAAAAAAGTTTTATTTTTTTTATAATTGTTATAAAGACTTAAATAAAGAAAAAAAAAAGCTTTAGATAATTTTAAAAAGCTTAAGTAAGAAGATAACTAGGGAGCACCGCATGGTGCAGCTGGGCGTGTACCCGGCGGTCAGTGAGCTGCGCTTCAACTTGCCGGGGGCTGGGGTGGGGGCAAACATTACAGCTGGGGAGGGAGGGATATGTGACAAATAATAGAACGGTTTTATGAGATAGGATATCTGTCCGGGACAGATATCAGCATCGCTGGAGTTCAAGCATCACTCCCCCCTGTGATTTAGCGGGCAAGGAAGAAGAGGTGTAAAACTAGATCTTTATGAAGGGGGAAGATATGTCTGGTTGTCAATCGAATCTATGAGTCCAGTCGGACAGGAGCGGGACACCATTTTCGTCATAGCAAGTCAAATTTATTGGATGTAACTATCTACATTACGATGAAGGATGATTATCAAGCAAGGCCGTGCTCCTTTTCATGGCCCATTATACCCAAAGGAATCAAATCCCCTCCTCCTCCTCCTCCTCGTCATCGTAATGTTCCCAGTCATAATAAGGCGCCACACAATAGGTCACACCCACTTCCAGTTTCGACGAGCACTCCTCCAACTCAGGCCCAAGCGACGGATTAACCTGCAACAAGAGGTCGGCAGTGATGGCATGCTCCATACACACAGCGACACATGTGTCTTCGGCCGACGCAACATGCCAGGCGCCGCAGTACGGCGTAGTACCCTCTGCAATGTCCGCATCCTCCGGAGGAGGGACAATGACACCCGAATATCCATCTTGAACAGGAGGTCTTGTAGTATCCTTGCCACCCGGGATCTCAAGCTCGTGATCCCCAAGCAGCGGGCCAAGACAGAGTACAGTGCCGTAAGAGAGGCTGATATTCTGCAGCAGGGCGCATTCGAATCCGACCCACGGGTTGTATCGCGCGACGTCGCCAGGCTGCAGTGAGAGCGACGAGTTGCGCTCGATGCTGGCGCATGTGTCGTGGTCCTGGAGCATGTAGGTCGTGCCGCAGCTGGGAGGCATACAGAGCTTAGTACCGGCGGGGATCGACTCACCAGCGGCGCAAGAGATGATACGGGCCTGATTGGCCATGAACAGTGCGGAAGAAGACGTCGTGTGTGCCCAGGCAATCTCTTCGCAGGATTCACCGTCCCGGCTCGTTGTATACCATTCCTCCGAGAGACAAAAGGTCGAGTCGCGGTCGCTTTCCGGGAGGTCGAGGTCAGGCAGCAGAACCTCCGTGTCGCCGGACATATCACAGTTCAAGTAGATATACTCGAGCTGACTCTTCCAGAAGTCGTCGTATGACGAGTAAGGGGTTCGCTGCATCATGGCCAGTCGTTCGACGTGACAGAAGGAGCAGAGCTCCGCACGCGGCATCTTCTCGATAGAATTCACAGGAGTAAAGTCGTCAATCACGTCGTTGCAGATTCGCTTCGTGGTCTTGTCCACCAGGCACGTTTCGTTCCATCCGGCGTACGCGCGCGCTCCGTGGAGGACGGGCGGACCGTCACCGGTGGCGTCGGCGCCGCAAACTCGCTGCACGGTAGATACCCAGTTGGACAGGCTTTCGCCGCAGCTGGGCTGGCAGACGAGGTCGGTCAGTGTTGCGTTCTCGAGGGGTCCTCGGTAGCGGAGGCTCTGGAAATCGTCCACCTCCTCATGACACTTGACCAACGCCGTCAGCGCCATCTTGCAGACATCATTAGCGGGGAAGAACTCCGCATCTTCTGGCTCATAGATGCGGAAGCCAGGGAAGTCGCGCGGTCCGGTCGTCTCTCTAGCCCCGCGAAGCCACGCGAGCACCGACGACAGATCTCCGTTCTTATTGTCGGCTGCCATGGTGGGCTCATCGTTGTGAGGCGAGATGAGCTCGACAATGCCCTTCGTGCAGAGGTTGTAGAGCCACACATCATAGCTTTGCTCAACCTCAAAGGCCCGTTTCTGGCAGTCCATAGTGTCCAAGCAGGACTGGCCGTAGTTGTTGAACCAGGAGTACACGCCTGCACTAAGCATGTACACCGTCTCCGAGTCGACAATGCGCGCGCCCCAGGCCATTCTACAGGCTTGGTCGCCAGCCTTGCAGTGGTCGAAGGATGGGTCTTCTGGGAAGAGGCCTGGGCGGTAGGGCGCTAGGGTGGTGTCGCTTCCCATAGGCTGAAAGTAGGGCGTCTCCGTCTGGATGGTAGATATGAGAATGTTCCTAGCGCCAGCGAGCTGGTACTGATACATGGTGGCGTGCTCGGAGGAGGTGCCCCAGAGGTAAGCGAGGCGGCTTTCGATTAGCATACCACGTCCGGCGTAGACGTTGACCTGTTTCCTATCGGAGGTATCCAAGTCGTGGTCGGCGACCCAGGCCCAGACGTTCTCAAGGTAGGCTGTCGAGCTCTTGGTCAGATGAACCATGAGAGACGCTGCCTTACATTGAGGCTTGATAGCTCCTCCAGCTTGCTTTGGACAGTTGGATGCCCGGAGATTCGAACCAATTGCACCGCCGACGCGGATATGCGAGTCCCACATAGCTACAGAGCCCTGCGTCGCTTCTTGCGCATTCCACTGAACAACGACGGCACCAGCTGTTGGTCCGGACACGGTGAAGAGCATATCCTGAATTTCAATGATGCCAACGTCTCCCGGATCAGCTACGCGGACTACGGGACGCGGCGCATTTTCATTCTCAAACCTGACACCCGTGCCCATGATCTGAGACCAGGCCTGGCCAATGATGCGGGAACCGATAGGCACCCGGAGCGTATCGGTAACCTTATAGACACCATGCGGAAAGTGTACAATGCTGGAAGTGTTGGCGGCACCGGCCAAGATGGAGTTGAGCACCGCCGTATCGTCGGTTACGCCATCACCCTTGGCGCCCAGGGCCTTGACGTTCATAATGTTGCTCAGCGGCTCGTCGTAGTACTTGGGTCTTCGACGTGCATACAAGTTAGGCTCCTGGTTGTCATAAGCCTCGCCCGTCAAGGATTCGACCCTCTGCATGGCAGGAACCTCGCTACCAGCTTGAAAGGTAGACCCGGAGTCTCCCCGCACTATTCGGCCGTATCCCCAGCCCGGGATGGTCTTGCTATTACTGCCAGCGAGTAGAGTCTCACCGGTCCGCACGTCCAAGACACCTATCCTGACGTTGTAAAGGGCTATATTCTGCAGAAGGAAGCTCGTAGAGTCCTCGCTGCGTAGACTCGACTCAACCGCAATATCCGTGTTGGCAATGATCGAGTCTACCAATGCGAGAGAGCCTACCGTCTGCGCGTTGGGATCCCACTGGAATGAATAGTTAGCCAATCTGCCCTCATGTGCCGATAGCATATGCCAAATGCTGAACATGTGCCGGCCGGCCGGAGTGATGGAAGAAACAAAGAAACAACCCACCCCAACAATGCTGAGACCTTTGCCGCAGCCTTCGATGATGAAGTCATGCATGGCCCACGCCCAGTCCCAATGAACCTGAACTGCCGTGGAACAGTAGACGAACACGAGGTGATCCGTTGTGAATTGTTGATTGCCGAAATAGGCACTAATGAGCTTGTCAGTTAAAGGGAATCCAGAACGAGGAGTATCAAAGTGTCCAAGAGACAGACTAACCCAAAGTTGCCTCCGACAAAGGTCAGATCGGCCATGAAGCCACCAGAGCCATTCTCCATGTATATTCCCTATCAAATCAACGAGTCAGCCAAAAGCGTCTCGGTTGCCTTTTTTCCTTTCCTTTTTTTTTCCCCCAGAGGAAGAGAATAGAGTGTACCTGTTGAGTGTTGTCTGGAATGTCAGAGTTGAACTGCATATAAAACTCAATGTTCTCAAGCGAAGTTGCCTGCGACACCTGCCAATGGATCCCGCAAATGTATGCGCGCGGATCCGTCAACCTGATGTCAATCTTGAAGTTGCGGATGCTGCGGAGGAAATTGGCTGTGTTGAGGTACCATCCCTCGTTCTCAGACACATACGGCGAGCTGGTGATCACACCTAGGCCTACAAAGCTCGAAGCCGCGAGGATGGTCGGGACGTTGTTGGGCTAGAAGCAGTACGTGTAAGCCACAAGATCGCGCCCTGCATGAAACATCCAAAGAGGCAAATCACTTACATCGCCTAGGAACTGTGTGTTGTAGTATTGGATGATGGACGAGCTAACCAAGTACGTCCCCGAGGGAAAGTAGACGACGGCCGGGACAACGGTGCTGGTACCGCAATCGGGCCCGCACCTTTGCCCGTCGGAAATGGCAAGGTTAATGGCAGCTGTATCGTCTGTTTTGCCGTCGCCCTTCGCCCCATAGTCCTTGACGTTGCGCCAGACCTGAGGTCTCATGTCAGTGGCTTCCTTGTTTTAACTTAAAAAAAGCGAGCAAAAATCCGATGGTCAAAGACACCAGGGATCCCACGTACCTTGTAGTCAGACGCCGGCGCAAACGGCGCCGAGCCGAGCTGTTCCTGCTGTGCCATCCACCATGTCTCTGACGATGCAGACATCGATACGAACTGGGACTGTATAGACATGGAGTCGGAGTGCAGCTGGGAGAAACCCTGGCCCACACCATAGCTCCCAAGCCGTCCGTAGGGTCTTTGCTTCAGAGGGGGGGCGTTTGTGTCATTGACCCTGCGGTGGCGGTATTTCGCGATGGTCTCGCGGGCTAGCTCTTCATGGTTGCCCTTGGGCACTTGAGGACTGGCTTCGGCCATGCGCGCAGCAGCCTCAGCCAGCTCGGGAGAGATGGAATACGGAGATGCGGCGTCATCCGTCTCGTCTTCGGTGCTTCTCCCAGCACGCGCGCGCCGGGTAGAGTTGCCGGTCATATTTGCATCGAGGTCTAGAGGTGAAGCGAGGATAGCGTTCGCGGCCAGCTCGCCCGAGTCGGCAAGCTCATAGTTGTTCATCACGGGGCGCGTGACGCGGGCCTTGTTGCGACGTCGAAGGACGTCGAGTGCTTGGAGTACAAGTTCATCTTGATTCTGCGTACTGTTGGATAGAGAGCGGGATTTCTCGACTTGCCGATGATGGAGATGGAGGTTCTGATGAGAACGGGATGCTGCTAAAGAATGTGTGAAGAAGAGGACAAGACAAAAGAAAAACAAGAATGAGCGCAACCCACCGCCGCCGCCGCCGCCGCCGCCGCCGCCGCCTAGCGTACGGCGAGACATGATCAGAACGACTGGAGACTCAGCCAAAGGGAGTCGTGATGAAGGAATGGATGTGAACACCACAGCTCAGAAGCGATGTGAGGGACGGAGGACGGGACTCCAAAAAGAAAATGACTTTAGGAGAGTGACGGACAGAAGTACTCATCCTCCCAGACTTGAGGATTAGGGGGGCAGAATAGATATTCCTACCTACCTCACGGACAACCCTGGTGGCAGAACCAGTCGGTTGAACAACTGCTGATGCCATCTCCACCCCACCCGCCCGCTTCAGCATGAAGTCCCTCGCGAGTCCGAATCGAGCAACTAGCCTAGGCTCGGCTCGGTGTTAGTTCGTACGAGCCGTTGAAACCCTTGTCCATCTGCAGTTGTACCTGCATAGCCAAGAGGCCAAGCTCTGCACGGTATTATTGATGCGTAGCCAAGCGGCTCGGCGCGCTCGCCCACTTCGCCGAACCCCCCACGATGATACTCCAGACTCCTATGGACCTACCCTTGAGAAATTGCGAGTCCGGCGATTTGTCTAGTGTTTTACTACTAATCTCCATCCCCGTGGATGACTACAGGACGGATTTTTGGTTCTTGGCCAGCTTGGTGCGGAGCTACTCTAATTACAAAGTCACATAATCGAGCGGATCGAGCCATGTTTCCAGGTCAAATGGTTGATGCTATTCCAACGAGCCATGGATATCATACAAGAGCCCCGTAAGCGATTATATGGAAGTCATTGGGCTCGTACGAAGTAGAGGCTTGGCTCCTTTGAGAGCACCCTCGTGTCACCTATTGTGACTAACCACACACCTACATGCTCAGCTAAACGAGATTTCAGGGGTTTGCAGGATTTTTAACACCATCGGTCAGTTTTATTAGGCGCATGTGCAGGTGGAAAAGTCCAGGTCATGGTCGGTCTGGTCTAGGATGAGTGGCCCGAGGCTCGGATACATGCGGGCATCTCGGCGGCTCATCCGGTGGATGTGGGCGGCTTGGTCTCCTTTCCTTTGGGCAGGGTGGCATGGGAGTTGGTCAACCTGTTGGACTTCATTAGTATACTCTTCTATCCCCTCCCATCGTTTCCGGTTTTGGGACTCAACCCAACCACTTACTCAAGGACACTCGTTTGATCCTGTTCCTGTTCCTGTTACTACATGTATTCGGCGTTGAGGGAGTTAGAAACACTCCTTCCATCAACACCAGATGGCCTCTCGTCACTCCTTTCCCCCAACCCGGCCCCCAAACCAGCAATCTAGCCTCTTTTTGCGTACCTCTCTTTTACGTCTTCTGTTTCTTCTCTTCTTTTACGTCACCTTTGCACAGGCTCAGGAATGCAGCAAGACCAAGCTTTGCGAAATAGGATGCTGCTCGGAATTTGGGTTTTGCGGTACTACAACTGAGCACTGCGGTAAAGGATGCCAGAGCACTTGCGACTACAAGCCCCCGGACACGGAGTGCAGCCGCACCAAGCTGTGTCCCATTGGCTGCTGTTCCAAAGACGGGTTCTGCGGTGAGAGCAGCGCCCATTGCGGCGATGGCTGCCAAAGCACCTGTGACTGGACGCCCCCCGAGACGAAGTGTGATGCCAACAAGCCCTGCGCGCAAGGATGCTGCTCAAAATTTGGGTTCTGCGGTTATGGAAAGGACTGTAAGTCACGAGAAGAAGATATCTTGAGATGTTGGGATCGATGAGACGACATACTAACAGGTGTGCCTTGACAGTTTGCCACAAAGACAACTGTGTCAACAACTGCGATCGTAAGGCAGACTGCGACTCCGGCAACCTCGGAAAAGACTATGTCAAGTTCGACAAGTGCCCCCTGAATGGTAAGTGTGGCGACAGTTTCTTCGTTTCTTCAGGGTCAAACCCAAACCGGCCGACCTAACGCAACTCCCTAGTCTGCTGTTCCAAGCATGGTTTTTGCGGTACTACTGAAGACTTCTGCGGCGGCAATAAACCCAAGAGACAAGTCTGTCCCGTTGACGACAGGCCCCTCTCCCGCGTCGTTGGGTACTATGAGGGGTGGGCTCCTGGCCGGCCGTGTCACTCTTTCTACCCCGAGCAGATTCCCAGGGGTGTTTACACGCACCTCAACTTTGCCTTTGCTACCATTGATCCCAACACATTGGAGATCCAGCCCGCGGCAATGTCCGATATTGAACTATACAAACGCCTCAACACCCTCAAGCTGTCTGATCCCAACCTCCGTACCTACATCGCCGTGGGCGGATGGACGTTCAACGACCCGGGTCCGACGCGGACTACCTTTAGCGATATCGCTCGAACCACGGAGAACATGGACAAATTTATCAACTCAGTCATCAAGTTCTTGCAAAAGTATGACTTTGACGGCATTGACCTCGACTGGGAATATCCCGTGGCCGACGACCGCGGTGGCCGTGGCGGGGACTACCAGAACTTTGTCACCTTGTCCAAACGCTTGAAGCAGGCGCTCAAAACGACGTCCAGGACTGGATACTCTATTACGGTCCCGGCATCTTTTTGGTATCTTCAGCACTTTGATATCAAAGGGCTGGAGCCGCATGTGGACTTCTTCAACATGTAAGTGGGAAAAATCTCATTCTTCCTCACTCGCCCGTCGGTCTTTTTTTTTTTTTTTTTTTTTTTTTTTTTTTTTTAGAAGTTGCAGATACTTCTTCTGTCTCATCAAGATGCTGACCATTTGCTTCTTAAAGTATGAGCTACGATTTGCACGGCACTTGGGACATGTCCAACCAGTGGACGGGCCCCTATCTCAACGCTCACACCAACCTCACAGAGCTGAAAGACTCAATGGACCTCTTCTGGCGCAATGACATTTCGCCTTCCAAGATTGTCTTTGGCACTGGTTTCTACGGCCGCGCTTTCACTGTAGCGAATCCCTCATGCATGAGCCCCGGTTGCACGTATGCCTCTGGTGCCGCTAGCCAGCCGTGCAGTCGGGAGATCAGTGTCGTCCTTAATAATGAGATTATGGATATCATTGAGGAGACCGGTGCTAAACCTATCCTCCACAAGAAAGAAGCAGTCAAGACTCTCTCGTGGGGCAACAATTGGGTCGCTTACGATGATGAAGAAACCCTCCAGATGCGTGCCGACTTTGTGCGGGAGCAATGCCTTAGTGGCATCATGGTCTGGGCCGTCTCTCATGATACGCCCGATGGACGCTTCTCCAATGCTGTCAAGAAGGCCGCTAAGCGCGTGGAGGCGCTTGGGTCGTCAATAGACGGGTACGACGAGCACGTAACCATCAACCACCAGTGCAAATGGTCTAATTGCTTGGAAGGATGCCCTAGCGGCTGGCACCATGTCCGACGCAGCGACGGCGGCGCCCGCGGCAACGAGGTCATGGCCAATGCCCAGGGCTGCGAGGGCTACGGCACCAGATGGCTCTGCTGCCCACCCGGAGCATCCGGATACGATGGTCCCCAGTGCGGCTGGTGGGGACATAACAACGGTAACTGTAACCACCTGGACACGGGCGACAGTCCCATTTTCGAGATCGGGTCCAACAACCAGCACTGCAAGAAGAAGAATTCATATCAAATCGCCGGCTGCACGTGGTCCTCCACGGCAGTCAAGGCGCATGCGGCCTGCAGCTGGTCTTTTGACTTTCCCAACTGCGGTGATGGCTCGTGTGAAAGCTTCGAGTCGGAGTTCTTCACCTCGTCTTCAGGGAGCCAGGGAGCCTTTTGCCGCGACGACTCAAGACGTAAGTACTGCTGCTCTGACAAGCAAAAGGATCTCCACTGGGAAAACTGCGAATGGGTCGATCACGCCGGTCTCGTCCCAAGCAACATGCGCTTCGGAACCTGCATTGGAGGATGTCCCTCCGGCAAGACGCCCCTGGCTCTCGATCACAACGGTGGGACGTGCAGATGGGGCGCGCGTGCTCGTTGCTGCGACGTGGGCTACAAGACCATCCAAAAGCGATACAATGACAAAGACGAGGAGTTTGACTATTATCTCAACTACTTTATTGAGAATGGCGCTGAATGCACACCGAAAAGCTCCCAAGGCGAGACGCTGTGGAGGGCTCAGGAGTACCTCGAGGCGAAGATCAAGGAAATCGTCTATGGTACGGCGGCCCAATCTACCACGGATGTATGGAAGCAGCGCATCGGGCTCAAGTACGAGCACCTCAGCATCGGAGACGTCCGCTACTTCGCCCAGTCGAACTCTGCCGCCTTGCGTCTCGGGTCTTCGAGGTTCCCCAGGAGGCTCATCTGCGGCTTGACGACCTTCAACAACATTGTCGGCGGCAAAGACGACTTGCAGTGCGCGTGCCAAGGGGCGCATTGCTGTATCTCCAAGCGTTGCAAGCGAGATAGCGATGCCTTGAAGCGTCGAGCCGACGAGAGCGAGGAGGACAAGGACCTTGATAACAACCTTCCACATGTAGGCTTCGACCATGAGCGCCGGCAGATATCTAATACTTCGACTTCTCTGCAATTGGAGTCATTTGACGATGACGATAGATTTACTATCTTTTCTGGCCCGCGGGCATTCAAGATCGAAGTAGATGATCCAGACAGGGTATTCTGGGCATTCGTCATTTTTTCCTTGGGGGTAAGTGTATTTACTTCAATCGTTGCTTTGCTCCCTGTTTACTAACTAGTTGGGACAGTACTATAATATTGGCCGCATCCCCATCAGTAACCCACTCTGGCAGAGAGCTTTCGGCTACAGCTCTCAGGGCTGTTGGGACTACGACGTCGATAGCTTGACCGGGGTCACCCAAACGAACCATGGGACATGGAGCCTCGTGGTGGAACACATCATCGAGCTGCAAACCATTGCTCAGTTCATCAGGTCCACCATTACTGGCGAGATGCGCAGCGGTGCGCGTTTTGAAGATTTCGTCGACGGTCGTATCTGGAGAGATTTGGCTCATACCCCATACCCCCGGCCATCCCGCTGCTAAACGATCAAGCGAGGCCCATCGACCGCATGTTCAGCACCCTAGGGACCAGGCGGAACACGGTCCCCTTTGTGCTTGCTCCCGGGGACCTCAACTCCGCCAAACTGAACATGTGGCAAGGAAATGACCCAGTAGCATCATCAACACTGGAGGAGTTTCTCCGTCAGGGGACCGCGACGTCCTTCCAAGCCTTCATTAACAGTGTCCGACAGCCCGTCATTGTCCTTCAGTACCTGGCCGATGCCGGTGTTCGCACCCAAGCCCGCGAGGCGTACCGCTCTCTGCGGGCGGAGATGGCCCTGCTCTCCCAGGAGGCCCGGAACCAAGGCTACCGTAACCCGGATCTAGAACATATGTTGGACCGATGGTACCGCGATCACATAGACCTCATGATTCGTGAGACAAGGGCCTTTATGGAGAGATACCGCGCAATAGGACGTGCTGCCGTTCTAGGTTCCGGTGCTCGAAACGAGCAGGAGGTGCTGGAGGGCTTGCTTGCGCTCTGGGACGGTGCAGCGGACTTTGAGTTTGACTACGAGGGGTGGTTTGGCGATCACTGAGATCGAACGACTTGAGTAGACGCAAACAGTACTAGATAAATAACAGCACAAGACGGAGATTAAACATCAAGTTTTTCCAGGTGCGGTATGCCACGGTATAGAGCTGGAAGAGGGGATGAATAATACGATCCGTTGAGGGTTTCTATAAAGTAGTTGAGGTAGAATGTGAAGAGGCTTCTGGTGGAAAGTGAAGCGCCGTGAGATGATCTCTACGCCATCCAAGTGTCACAACATCACCATGAGGCCAAGCTGACTAACAAAATGGAGAGAATAACTCTTGTTAGTTTGGAGGAAGGTACGACTCAAAATGAGCTGATCGTTTGTTCCACACATGAAAACGTTTCCAACTAATACTTCGTATGACCCAAATAGCCACTGTTTTCCGATATCCTAGTCCCCTCTTTAAGGTGGCATTTTCGGGTCTTTACAGACACGAGGCAGTATTTTCCAGTCTTGGCCTACTTTTATAGTTCGATGAGTCATTTACGCGTGCTGACCCAGGGCCAATCTTCCAACAACTATTTCTATATTGATGCGACGCCGCAAGTCCATCCAGTCGCTGATTTGTTTTTCCCCTTTTCACAGCAGTCCAAGGCGGGTTGGCCCCAAACAGCAGCCATGTTCGCCCTCAGCCCACACCCTCCAGCTGTCTTAGATAGGTCTCTCTCAACCTTTGTGACACAAGTCCCACGAGACTTACGCCCAGGAAACCCAAAGCGTGAATTCTGGGAATCATGGTCTGGTGTCTTGGACCTCTACTATTTTTGCTGTACATCAGAAGAGTACCAGCATCATACGTGCTGGGGCTGGACTATCCTCCGCACCTCCTACGACGATGACGAGAAGTTCACTCAAGCTGTTGCTGCTATTCAAAGACTAGCCTTAGTTCGCCTTGAGGACGAATACTACGAGAGCAGGACAAGGGGGAAGCCGGATAACGATGATGTGAACGCTTTAATAGAGAAACTCGATCAAAGGCCAGACTACCCCCCATGCAAACGTACTCAACAGGCTTGGAGTGCGATGGTTAGGAATGCTCAAGATGCTCTGCCCGAAGGAGAGCCACTTACGTCCGACTGGGTTATCACGCACGAGCTGATGCGACGTTACCATCAGATCATCCTACAGGACCGCGAGGCCCTAGACGGAGCCGACGCATCTAAGGCTTGGGAGTACGCACACCCCCTCCTCGAGGATCGGGAGCATGGCGGCCGCGGCACGCTCTTCATTTACCTCGACAAAGAATCAATCAATCACCTTGCGCGAGCACCAAGCCAAGAAGAGCTGGCAAACATGGCCCCCATTGACCGGAGCAAGACTGCGTGGAAGTTCTGGGTCAAGGTCGTCTCGACTGATTGCGAGGTGACAGAGGATGGCGAAGATACGGACCAGATGTTAGAGCATCCCCTAGGAAGGAGGCGGATAAGGCTATATGACTTTTTCGAGACATTCCTAAATCTCTGTGAGAGGTCGTTGGATGAAATTACTATTGAGGGATGGGGTCGTGAGCGATGGGATCGTGAGCGATGGGATCGTGAGCGTTTTGTAGAGCATGGGGCGCAGGAATGGGAGTTATGTGAGAACCGCTATATGATTATTCGGAGGCTCACCTGGTTGCAGGAGCTGTATGGAGAGGTGGTTCAATGGTGTTGAGGTCGCTCTAGTTCCTGTTGTGAGCTAATGGGTGTCGAGAGAGAAGGGCACTAGGGCCTTGTTGTGACCTTAAAATAACTAGCGAGATAATATAGGAAAGAAAGATAAGTAAATGAGGATAGGAGAAGTGAGGGTAGGGGAAGAGCAAGTGAAGGGAGGATTGGGGGATAGGATAAGAGTAAGTGCTCTTCCATGCCTGAGTGTGGTCTACCTCGCTATCGCCTAGATCCCAATTATTTGTCAGGGACTGATCCACTTACGGCTGGACCAACTGACTAACAAAAGATGTCTCAAGTGTTGCGACTGCGCAACACCTGCCGTAAGTCCCCTTATATAGACTCTGCGTTAACTGGCCCTTCTATAACCTATTAGGAATCTTAGTTCTTGATTAGGGAAGAAGAAGTTTTCCTTCCTAGGAACTGGTTCCTAAATCTAACAGTGTTTGAGGAGAGGTTTGGTTGAACCTGGTTAGGAAACCAGCCAATCAGGGCTGTTTCCCCACAGTAGGTACCTAATTGATGGTTTACATATCTGATGGAGGATTTGCAAAGTTTACCTCAGGTACAAACACAAACGCACTGACTGATTTATCGATGAATTTACAATGTTAGACCCATGTTTTGTTCTTTTCGGCGCACTTCGAGTCCTCCGCTGCCTCATGGAGGTTCATCAAGCGCTTCCGAATCCGGTGAACCAAACCCGGAATGTTGTTCTACCCAAACCAGAAAGCAAGTTTGAGGCAGACGATGATCCTCGCCTCAGCACCGCAACAGACAGGCGGATGAGCATGGACATGCCTCAAACGAGGAATTGCGGCGCTCTTGTGGCTAGACGGATTTGAATTGGGTGAGAGCAGGGGATAAATTAGTATTTATTCAGCCTCTCGAGCCTCGTGCGTGTGTGTGCCAGTCCTCTTTCATCTGCTTGGTCGCATGGCATCAACCAACCCCTCTCGACCGCAACCACAGCGCAGAATATTCTTCCCCGCACCCAAACATCACCAACTTCTGGATGCCTACACACGCCCACGCATGCCCTCCATCCTCCCTCTGGACCTTCTTAATGCCAAGACCCATTTCTTAACAGCGCTCGGACACTGAGGGTCTTTTTCTTTTTGCAATTGAGCCAGGTCCAGCTCCTCAGGTTACTCGTTGACCTGAGACTCTGCCCTAAGTTTTGCCGTGCCCTCTCCCGCTCCCGCTTCCCGTTCATCGTGCCCGGCGAGAGAGTTGAGAGCACCCCTCAATGCCTCGCTGCGGGTCACTGTCCAAACCAAGAGATGCACCTCTGAGCATGAGTCTATGTAATGGATGCTTGGCTACGATCCCGAAGCATAACCTCCGAAAACTGAAATTGATCCTCCTACTTCGTGCGCCACAAGTCGATTTCGGGGAATACGGTAGATGGCAAATCCTGGATCATATAATCTATGTCTAACCTCAAGTACGGTCGCTGCAATGTTGTCTCTATGCCGACAAGCATCCACTGTCTGCCGATGCAGTGACCCACCCAACTCTGGCTCTTGTTAGTGTGTGCCGCAAACCAAACTTTGGCTGGCTTCTGCATCCCAGCTGGCCCTTACCATGAGTGCACAGTTCCTCGCTCAAGAGTTGCTTACCTGCAACACGGCTCTCCTCGCCATTCCTGCAACACTGATGTACGGGTTGTGCGGGCTGCGCTGTCACTGGGCGGATCCTACCACCGGTGTGTCCTGAACATGGACAAGGGTTGATTAGAGCCGTGCAGCCTCTTCCCCAGATCTTCATGACCGCAAACGTGTTTCTGCCCTCCTTCAGGTTTTTTTTTCCTTTTTCTTTTGGTTCCTCCTTTTTTTGGCGTACCTGAGTGAAGCAGTCTAGTCCTCTTTAAATCGAGCCATGCATCCCAATCCAGAAGCCTTGAGAAGTCCCCCGTCTCCATCATCCTTAAGCAATCCTGTCCCCGCCTTTGCGTCTCTCCCTCTCTCCCAAGCTCTCCCCGCCATCTGGCGATCTTCAGATTCTTAGTATCTTATTTTCTCTTTTTTTGCCACAAAACCCCAATCAATTTGGATATTGGGGCGTATATTATCATTGGTCCTGTCTTGGGAACTGTCCACTATCACCTTTCTCTAAGTGGTCACTCGTTCCTCTTATGGCAGCCAACAACACACCTCTTCCACCTCGCCTAAATATCCGCTTTACAACATAAACAATGAGCCGGTCGAGCACAACGCCATTGGCCTTCCCTCCATATAGTGCCAACAAGGCCCAGCAAGGCAGCCCTCGACCGAGAAAGAAACTCCAGAAGACGGTTGGCCTTCCTGCCGTTTTCCCCCAGTCCCAAAGCAGGCGTCCCACTTCAGTGTCAGTCACACTTGTTACAAATGGCAAAAAAGGTGCCGCCGCTGGCCCTCGGGCCAAATCGACTTCCCGCCAGGTTCCTGGTGACAGGAAACCTGTGGTGCGAGCCCTGCCAGATTTGAGCGACGCCAAGTGGCTTGAATACGTTCGGTCTCACCACTCTAAGGAATCTCTCAAGCTCCCTCGCTCCATGGTTAGGGACCGCTCGTATCTTGCCATCCCGAAATCTCCCCACCGCCCAGTTGTTCGGCCTAGCTCCAAAATGTCGTCGATCAGGCGACGTGCAAAGACTCCCGTCTTTTCCATCGGGCAGCTGGAGGGCATGCCTTTGAGGCGATACGGGTCGCCCACCCATGTACCTGCCACGACTGAACTCATCGCTCAGCAGTACATGGACCTCATTGATTACGACGCCGAGTCCATCTACAGCGATTCTCACTCGGAACCTCCGCCTTCGCGTCAGGGATACATAGATGAGGAGTACGAACCAAGGCGCCAACGCAGTTCGGATGAACTCTCCTCTGCTAAGCTCTTCTCTCCTACCTCTTCTTCGGCAAACCACAATGCCGAGCTCACAACATCGCCCACATCCGACGACGGTACCCTGGTGTCTTTCGAGGAGGAAACAGTATACTTCAAACCTGTTTCGTTCTCGCCCGAGCCGTCGTCCCCGGCCCACATGCACAGCTCAAGCTTCAGCTCGAGCTACGGCAATCCGTTTGCGAGCCCCGACAACCTTAGCCTTCAAATATGCCTCGATCTGTTGACCCGAGAGCTCTCGTCTGCCATGTCAGAGAGACGTCAGCGGCCGAGTAACGAAAGCTCTGCTCTCCAGATATGGGTTATGATCGAGGCCTTTGAAAGGCTACGAGATCAGGTCGCCGAGATGAGGCTCGGCATCGGCCAGGTCAGCGGTGTCGAGACCATGTTTGAGACGTGGCTTCGAGCTCTCTATGCTATTCACGACTCGCTTACTGCTGAGGTCGCCCGTCACGAAGTGGATGAGAATGATTACGAAGGCTTGCAAGAAGCACTCGATTAAACGTCTCTCTCCATCGGTATGGAACAGGAATGATTAAAAAAGAAGCAAAGATGATGAATGATTTTTCTTACGTATGATCGAAGTTAGCTGCATGATTCTAGGTTTGCATTTGGTCTTTTGAGAGGATCATGGATGGTTTACGAAAATGTATTCTCTGGTAAAGTTAACGGGCCCTTCTCGAGGTAGGGTTTTGGTTTTTGGCCGGTCACGATCGTCATTGATGTATTTAATAGTTTCTTGCATGTTTTTTGGTTAGAGATCATGAATTGATACCCGCAACACCTCTGCCCCCCTTCGTATACCCGCATATCGTAAGAGTATCCGACTTGTTTCTTGTTTCTCCCCGGGTTCCAGTGAGCCTTAAAGCCAGGACTTCGACCTCGGCGAAACCGAAAGTGGGTGAGAACAGGGCATACAAGTAGATGAATGTTCACGCGGGTGACTGCCAAAGGGCTGGCGACCCTTATGCTTTCTCGATACGTAAAATCTCCCGTGTTGAGGGCTGTTGGCCCGGCATCAGAGGGTACCCAGATGGATGCAGGTCGCCCAAAAGGCGATGTGCGCACGGAGGAATCTGGGCAGCATCACGACGAAGCTTCGTGATTGATGCCGATTTCTGGGGTAACCCTGGGGTCGGGCGGGCGTGGATACAACCCTAGTGGTTGGTCTCGGCCCACAGGTGCCCCCTTATAGGCTCTGGTGGGCGGCATATAGGCCCCCAACAAGCCGCGTCCTAGCGTGCAGCATGGCCACTAAAATCCGACGCTGCTCCCTAAATAGCACCCGCACGTGCAGCCCATGGGCAGCGTGTGTGTACGTGCACGACCAGCAAGTTCACTGAAGACCAATTGACGTTGGGTTCTCGAAATTCTGACTAAGGCATTTCAGAGCAAAAGGTCCGGCGAAGGGAGCTCCGATTCTGCTGTGAATCGCCGTGTCCGCGTCTACCTCCCCGAAACGCATTGAATTGTATTGGCGTCTAAGCCGAACCCGACAATAGGGAAACATGGACGACGACTTTGACGACGCCGAGCTGTGGGCTGCCGCGGATCGTGCTGTCTCTGCGACTGGCGCAGTTCAGTCGGCGCAACCGCAACGACGGGTGCAGCAGCCTGCACCCCAGAAGATCCAGCAGCCCAAGCCTCAGGTGCTCGACAAACGACCGCCGCCAGCCCCTGGAACCGCGCCCTCGGCAGGACCCAAGATTGTGCAGCCCACACCGCAGGTCCTTCCGCAGAGGGGTTCGGGGTCTACCATTCTCGTTTCGCCCAGGCAGAAGGGCAATCCCATCCTTTCCTGCATCAAGTCGACGGCTTGGGAGTATTCTGATATACCGGCCGACTACGGGCTCGGTTTGACGACTTGCGCTCTATTTCTCAGGTAAACACAGATCCGCGGTACATTCCAGTATATGGACAGCGGTGAAATTAACTCACTTAACCTAGTTTGAAATACCATCGTCTCTACCCCGAGTACATCTACACGCGAATCCGAAACCTCCAAGGCAAATATAACCTCCGCATTCTGCTTACCATGGTCGACATTGCGAACCACGAAGACCCCCTCCGCGAACTAGCCAAGACATCGCTAGTCAATAACGTCACCGTCATCCTCTGCTGGTCTGCCGCTGAAGCGGCGCGCTATCTAGAACTGTACAAGTCGTACGAGCACGCAAGTTTCAAGGCGATCCAGGGTCACCAAGGATCAAGTTACGTCGAAAGGCTGGTCGATTTCGTCACGGTACCGAGAGGCGTAAATAAAGCGGATGCCGTATCCCTCGTCAGCAACTTTGGCAGTTTGAAGAATGCCATCAACGCGGATCCTGAACAGATTGGCATCATTGGAGGCTGGGGTGAGGTCAAAGTAAAGCGGTGGTGTGAGGCAATCGATGAGCCGTTCCGCGTGAGGAAGGCGGCTAGGAGGACGATTGAGGATAGTGCCCCTTCTTCAGCTTCCATCGACCCCAGGTTTGCTCTAAAAGCAAGTCAGCAAGGCGCCCCGGCAGCCGCCGCTAGGTCGGGTCAGACTGGGTCTGCGAGAAATGAACGGCCGCGGCCAGCTGGTTATGTCGATGAAGAAGACACCATGCTTGCCCAGGCTATTGAGGAGTCGAAGCGGACTTCGCAGCCAACGCAGTCTAAACCCTCTCGGAACAATCGAGAGCCGGAGACCTTGAGCGAAGGCGTCGCAGCTGCCTTGGCTAGGCTCAGGGAGCAGGGATGAGATGGTACATTCAAGCGCTGTGCTACACTGACTGAAGAACAAGCCGATAAACACAACTATTCCGCGGAGCACGTTCGATGTTGATTGAACGTTCTTGCGGCAACCCCCAACTCCTGTCAATATCGGATGTGGGGGGGTAGGCTCTATGCCAATTACTTATGCTATTCTGACTACCAGATAGCAGAACGATGTCTCAGTACGGTTATCGGATTACGCGATTTAGGAACTGGGCAATCGCTCTCTGAATGGCGGCATCCATTATTCCGAATCCGGGGCTCTAATGCCCACTATGGAGTGCAAGTGTTAGCCTTTCCTCACGAACAGGCGTCTACCATATATCACAGTATGCCGCCGATGCCGATTGAGAGACCAAGACATATCTTCAACTTGAGGAGAGCCTCAGGGGAGAACCTATATCCATCCCTACGCTTACCGAGGACTTAGCCTCAAGTCTTCTATGCGTATTGATTTCGAATACTCGAGGCACACCGCCCATGATATCGGCAAGATTGCCGGCCTTTGATATGCAATCTACGAAGACATGGGATTCGAATGAGTGTGGGTGGGGTTCGAAACATTCCCGGCGCATCTGGGTGGCTCGCCGCGCAAACCGGTTGATATGGCATCAAAATAGTTCAAATGAATACCAAGAAACAACTATGTTCCGCGCAGGAGGTGTTGGTTCGCCGCCTCTACATCCCTTTCGATTTCCCATCTACTGTAGCAATGCTCCACGCATGAACGAACCTATAAATACTCCGTCGCGGCATACTCCCAAAATGGGGTTGGCCCTTCTCCCGCTGCGAGGCAATTCACCCTTCGGCCCTTCTCCCGCCGATCGAGCAATTAAGCCAATAATTAAATAGCATGAGATCCCTAACACACCTTTAAACTACCGGCCGCTGCTTGGCTTCCATTTCGAGGACGGACCATGTTCTGCACGCATTCTCGATAAATGCTGGAAAAAGGCTGCTTGGCTGGTTGTCTGTGGTTACTTTCGCTCCGCCGTTCCCCGTTACCCGGGTCTACCTAGCTATGATGCCCTCGCTTCCGGATTATTACGACCCGCCCTTGGAATGCGTGTGGGATAAGGGATAGATGAGATCGGTCTTGGGATGTATGTGAACCAGGCCGTTTGTTTATTTTGGTGCGTGCGGAGAGTGAAAGCCACGTTCGCCCCCACCCGGGTTGTTCAAAGTTCCTTGAAACCTGTTGGCCGGCGTGTTAGCGGGCTGTCACCTGCGCACCAATATATTCGGGGCGAGCTCTGCTCCACGGATCAGTGAGGGCTTTTCCGGGTATTCCAACTGCTCCTTCGGAGATGAGGGTGTGAAGGGAATTATAGCCTGCATACGCCCTCCCAACACGTCCTTGACCTGAAGTCTCCTCAAGCGATGCTTCACGTGGGCACACCTTCGATCTTTATCAACTTTGCGGGGCGGCCCATTGTATATAGGCGGGCCCTTACTTTCGTTCGCCCCCGGGCCTCAATACCGCTTCCCTTACCAGGCCCAAGGGCACCAGTCATCCTTCTCCACGCGTCGGGCGGCTGATGCTATGAGGCTTCAGGCAACATGGCTGCCTCTGGCCGCCCTTATCACTAACACAGCAGCAAATGACAAGATTGAAGCTGTTCGGGAAGTATTCAAGAGGACGTGGGACGGGTATCGTGAGTATGCCTGGGGCCACGATAGCTTGAGGCCTGCCACGAACGGCTCCTTTGATGATAGGTGAGGACTATCCTCGGAACAAGAGACCAGAGAGTAGAAACACCGGTTTTGCCATGTTTTCGGGAAACTTATTAAGTTATAGGAATGGCTGGGGAGCCAGCGCAGTGGATGCTCTGAGCACAGCTATCATTATGGGTGAGACGGAAGCCGTGGGACATATTCTCAAGTTTATCCCGACCATCGACTTCGGAACGACAAGCACGGAGGTCTCGTTATTCGAAACAACCATCCGCTATATTGGTGGTCTACTCTCAGGTTTGCGTCCCCGACACTATCGGGTACAAAAGCCGAAAACGACTCCTAATTTGGGCTCTAGGGTATGACCTGCTGCGTGGTCCATATAAGGACATGGCGCCAAGCAAAGAAGCTGTCGATAACTTACTAGAACAAGCCATCAGAGTTGCAGACCTCATCAAAGTTGCTTTTGATACCCCCAGCGGCGTGCCGGACAACGACTTGATCTTTGACCCGGAGCCTCGGAGGAAAGGAACTCCGGACAACTGGGTTGCGACGGTCGGCTCGCTGGTCCTCGAATGGGAACGTCTCAGTGACCTCACAGGGAACAGGGAGTATGGAGAATTAGCCAAGAGAGCCCAGGCATATCTCCTTGACCCGCAACCGCCTGAACTTGAACCTTTCCCCGGCTTGGTGGGTAGTCGAGTATGGGTGGACAATGGCACGTTCGTGGACGCCATGGGCGGGTGGAACGGCGGGACTGACAGCTTTTATGAGTATCTCATCAAAACGTACATCTACGATCCGGTTCGGTTTGAATCATATAAAGATCGGTGGGTCCTCGCAGTGGAATCAAGCATGAAGCATCTAGCATCCCACCCGACGACCAGACCGGACCTGACATTTCTATCCATGTATTTGGGGGAAACCCTTTTCTTCTACAGTGGCCACTGTAAGAATCGCCCGTTGTTACGAGTTAGACATTGACGACGAGGGTACGTCGGCTGGTCTCATCTAGCTAACTCGGGTGATTAGTGGCGTGCTTCCAGGGAGGCAACTTCATCCTCGGGGGTCTCGTGCTCGACGAACCACGATACGTCAATTTTGGCCTCGAATTGACGGCGGGCTGTCGCGAGAGTTACATCCAGACGACGACGGGGATCGGGCCGGAGCTTTTCACGTGGCAGGACAACGCCACGGCACCCGACGCACCGAACAACTCTCCACCGCCCGAGGAGTACGCCGACTTTTATGAAAAGGCGGGGTTCTGGATCGTAAGCCCGCAGTACTCGTTGCGGCCGGAGGTGATCGAGAGCTACTACTACGCATATAGAGCTACGGGGGACGAAATGTACAGGAAATGGGCGTGGGATGCATTTGTGAAGATTAACAATACATGCTCGGTCGGCAGCGGGGTCTCATCGATAGCCGATGTGCAGCTAACGGTTGGAGCTCCGGTGTTTTACGATTTCCAGGAAAGCTTTTGGTTTTCCGAGGTTTTGAAGTACATCTATCTTATATTAGAAGATGATTCTGACGTCCAGGTGAAGAGGGACGGCGGCGATCTTTTTGTGTATAATACTGAGGCCCATCCAATAAGGGTGTTCGAAGGAACAGGTAAACGAAGGAGGAGATGAAGCAGAGGGCTAAACGGAGGATGCGGACGAAGCTAACAAGGACGGCGGCGCGTCAAATCGACGAGGGGTGGCGGAAGCTTACCGGGGATTTCGGTGATTTCGGGAATACTTTTATATATATATATATATATATATATTTTTAAGCAGTCCCGTCGAGGACATTTATACAAGCAGGAAAGTGTAATGCTAGGGAATGTGTCGAGTGGAGATTGTTCCTTTTTATAATAAGTTTTGCGGCAGTACTAGCGTCCATGAGCCTCGTCTGTAAGAAGACTCTCCAGATAAACTAATCTACTCCCCAGAGAGCCATCACGGTACTTTGGAGCAGGGACGCGCACACACACTCTCTCTCCCCTCTCAGGAATGTGGTGTCATCCTAATCCTTTTACGCACCACCCTCCCGCTTGGCATATTCCTCCTCTATCGCCTCTTCATAGAGACGATCAGCCTCCTTCTCGGCCTCGGTCTTGGGCCGCGTCGACCCAGCACCAGTGTCAACGCCGGCACCCGTAGGGCGAGAGGTGGAGGTAGAGTCACTGATGTTCGACTGTTGCTGGTGGCTCTCGTCGCCTCCGGAGTTATGTTTGGACACGGACTCGCTACGAGGCTCGGCCATTGTTGCGATTTTTGTGTCTTTTTGGTGAGAGAGAGAGGGGTGCTAGTGGATGGGTTGGTTTCGGATAAGAGTGGGATGGGGAGCGGGAACAACGATGAATAGCTTTCAAAGTGTCTTAGCTCCGCAAGTTCGGAGATGACGGCAGTGGTTGTGTCGGACTCGGGAATTTAGGTCAGGACTTGGTGAGGAGGATACAAGTGCAGAAGTGTATGGAAGGTGTGAGGAGGGGGTAGAGGCTGTACGGAGTAGAGGCGATCGCGGGGAATTAGAATTGGAGCTGTTCTTATAGGTCCCTGCAAATGTGCGCCTACGGCGAACCTGCGATGATTACGTCAATCGTCGACGGCCTGCATCGCAACAATTGAGCAATCAATTTGCTCGACCTGCGAAGTACGACATCCTTTTGCCACTTGGTGACGACGAGGGACAGCGCCAATCGAGTCACGCCTCGAGTCCGATTGAGTGGCGGCTCTGCTGCCTGGGAAATACTCAGTGCTCAGTATTAGTGGGCGGGCTCCCTCTTGCCGCTGCCCAGGCCACCTCAGTCCCCCAACTGTGCTCAGGCCTAATAGATCAATCGATGATAGCTAAGAGCCTCGCTAGAATACCTCTTGTTACCAAAAGTCATATCTTCCACGACACAATGTCGTAGATTAGATACGTTTGATCAGTTCAATTCAATTGTTAATGTAATCTTACACAGTCTTCTCTCCTCCGTCGTTCTCAAAGAGAGTGTACTTATCAATTTCAACCAGATCTATGGGTTTCAATGAAACACAGTAACCCATCAAATGCGAAGAGCCTTTGCTCGTAGAGACTCGAGGGCATACGAACCGCAATTCGGATCGGCCTAAATGAGAACAAACAAAAGTGAAAATAGAACAAGCTCAAGTATATAGGACATCAATGATGATACTCGGATACTTAGAAGTCTAGTACTCCAAATACTCCAGTTGCCATTGAATCTCACAGTGTTAAGGTACTGAGGACATCTACTTCCTATGGCAAAGTACATTGATGTATCACCTTCAAGTATCCACAAAGCACTCCATCTTGGTACATAGTACTCAGAGGAGAAACAAAAAGAAAGCACAGGCAAGCTCAAGCAGTGTTTACAATTGTACTGCTCTACGAAGTACTTCATAGACATTTCCGGAATACCCCAAAATTTAGCAGAGTCTGATTGAGCTAAAGTAATAGTGTTCAATCCACAAAAGAGGACGGACCCGTGCATGCCGGCGAGGCAGCTCCGTTCCTGGGTCTAAGCCAATAGAGTTCTCGCTAATCTTGCTGACCCATTCGGTCTTCTTCCTATTTGCGGACTTCACAACAACTGCTCAGATGCCATCTTGGATGCAAGCTTTGATGCAGGCTTTGGAACGTGGACAAGGGTCAAGGTGCATGCAGCAGGGGCAATCATCCTGTACTTTGTAGTTTTTCCAATCCACTAACATGAGCATGTTGAGCAAGATTGGTCACTAACACGGAACTCACTAACATGGCGGAGACGATGGATACTGGATCTACCTACCTCCCTTCCTTCTCGTTTCCCTGCTGACCAAACATCAGCATCAAATCTGGTTCATTATCATTCCTGCATCTTGCCTTGCCTGTCTTTATAGTGACATACCATCCCACGAGGAACTTCTGTGCATCTGCCTCCTCTACTCTCTTCTCTTTTTGTGTTATTCTCACATACTCCTATGCCCATATACTCATATACATAGTGCACCTACCTCTAGATTTGATTTCTTGTCCGTTGCCATACTCAGAAGCTCTCTCTTCTTCTCCTCTACACCTCTCAAACATTCTCTTCTCATCTCTTCTTATCCATCACACATCCATCATCCCTTGCAAACCCCGTCCTTTGTCCCACGGCATTGCCATCGAGGACCGGAGACGTACTTGTCTCTCCCACTTGAAGGATCCGCCGCTCGTTCTCTCATTCCAAAACATCCATCAGTCACGCCTGATCCAAATCATGTCGGTGGCCTTGTTGAAGACGGCCATCTTTGGCGCCCCGGCCGGCACTCCTACGCCCCCTACGGATGGCGAGCGACCGGATAACAACCGCCGCTCCTCAGCCGCTGACACAATAATTGAATCCGATATTGAATCACTAAACCCTAAGGGTGGCGGCGGTGGTAAAACCAAGAGCAAGATCGATCCTCGCATCATCTCGGATGCTACTATCGGACTCTCGGATGGCCTCACCGTTCCTTTTGCCTTGACCGCTGGCTTGTCTGCTCTCGGGGACACCAAGGTCGTTATCTATGGAGGCTTCGCTGAGCTCATTGCCGGAGCGTTGTCGATGGGTCTCGGAGGATACCTCGGTGCCAAAAGCGAGGCGTAAGTATTTTTCGTCTCCCTGTCCTCCCTTCACCCACTCCCACCAACCTCTAGCATCCAGCTGTGTCTCGAGCCAATTCCTCCGTTGAGAAGATCGTAAGCTTTGCTAACACCTGACGGCCATAGTGCTTCCTACCGCGAGACACGGGCTGACACGGAAGCCATGGTCAGAAACGACCCGGTTTCCGTCCATTCTGACATCCGTGACGTATTCAAGCCTTTCGAGCTTGATCGATCCGACCTTGAGAGCCTCGTCGACCACTTGGCCGCGTCCCCCAAGGTCGTTGATTTCCTCATGCAGTTCCACCACTGCTCCCTCGAGCCCCCCACGAACCGCGCCTTCACCTCCGCTTTCACCATCGCCATGGGCTACTTCCTCGGAGGCTTCATCCCCCTCCTTCCTTACTTCTTCGTCGACCAGGTCTTCCACGGTCTCTACATCTCCGTCGGCGTCATGGCCCTGGCCCTTTTTGTCTTCGGTTACGTCAAGACCTGCGTTGTCTGCGGTTGGCGCGGAGCCCATCGTGTCTTGCAGGGCATCTACGGCGGTCTGCAGATGGTCGTGATTGGCGGCGTCGCTGCGGGCTCTGCCATGGGTCTTGTGATGGCCTTCAACCACATCTCAGATTCAAGCGATGGCGCCATCTTTGGCGGTCGAGCGGCACAGTTCGTGCCCGTGGGGGACAATCAGTTGTAGTCGCGCCCCAACCTCGCCCGGCCACGTCTCTCACATAGCGGCATTTCCATTTTGATTTTGTTTCTTTTTCCTTGTGGTTTCTCGGCGCATTTACGGCATGGTGTTTCCCCCTTCTCAACTCTGTTGCCCCCTCTCTTGTTTTCTTCTTCTTTCCTTTCTCTCTTTATGATATGATGCATAGATTCAGCGTGATACCACCGCGAGGCGAGCATGCTTCCTGATTATATGGCAGGGAAGAGGATAGGCGTGGTTTTAGGCAGGAAAAAAAAAGGGGTTGGTTGATTGACATGTTTCAAGCATCGATGGTGGTTATTCTTGCATCCCCTCAAAATAGAAGAGCAAGTCGGCGAGAGATTCAGAAAATCCTCATGTATTCCCCGACGCCCTTCAGTTTAGTTATCAAAAATTATAGGGGCAATCGTCTATACATCCTCTCTTTGGAAGAGGCCATCGACACTCTTCTTTAATCAAGTATCACATCATTGATGGATAAATCAAGTACGTAAGTGCGCGTGTCTGGTGTGCCCTTGAAGGGAGCGAAATATGGATTGATCCGAAAGTTAAAAATGAAATAAAAGACCAAAAAAAAAATGAAGAAAAGGACCAGCGCTCTGATCTACCCCATTATCTTACACAATACACCGATTATTGCTAGAGAACACGTAATAGACCTTTGTTGAGTCTCAAAACTCGCGGCTCTCACCAATGTCGCAAATGTCGAACACGCCAGTCTCGGGAATGCCCTTTTTCTTGAGTGCCTCCCGCAACTGCTTGGGAGGGTCATGAACCTCCTCCGACGTAAGTACCCAAGTACCCCAGTGGATACTCATGGCATTGGCACACTTGGTCTCTTGGAAGATCTCGACCGCATCGTAGGGGTTAATGTGCATGGGCGAAAAGGCGGCACGCGGATAGTAGGCGCCGATGGGAATAAGACCGAGGTCGAAGGGGCCGCGATGCTCGCCAATCTGCTTGAACTGGGGACAGCGCGGCAGATCCGCATAGTCTGGACCGTAGTCGTCAATGGCCCTGGGCAGATAGGGCACAGCGCGATATCCGGTATCCCCGGCGAACCAGAGGGACTTGCCGCCGGACTTGACGGCCCATGAGCACCAAAGCGTCCTGTCCCTGTCGAACAAGCCCCTCGCCGACGAATGCTGAGCCGGCGTACATGATATCCTGGCCGAGATAGTCCTAGGTTCGCCAGAATCGTCGCCTTCTTTACCGTCCACGGTCAAGGAAAATTCAACGTCCTCCCACCAATCGAGTTCCGTAACAGAGTTGATGCCGACCTTGTTGAACCACTTTTCAAGTCCCTTCGGGACGAAGAAGTGTACATTGGGATGTCGCTTCTTCACCTCGAGGACCGACGGGTGGGAGAGATGGTCGTAGTGGCTATGGCTGATGAGCACTGCGTCGACGGCGGGGATGTCGGCGAGCTTGCAGGGCTGTTCCGTATACCGCTTCGGGCCAAGGAAGCTAAAGGGCGAGCATCTGTCCTCAAAGACAGGGTCGCAGAGGACTCGAAGACCAGAGGGGAACTCGATGTAGTAGCATGAATGGCCAAGCCAGGTTGCACGAAGCTGGTCCGACGCGGTGCGGTCGGGTAGGAATGTAGGCTTGAGGACGGGGACGGTTGGGGGAGTAGTGACGACGGGTTGGAGTTCTCCCGCGAAGCGCGCCCTGGCACCACCCACGGATCAGTTGTCTCGGACGCTGGAACTGTTCGGCAGGCAAGGTCCAGTCGGGGACTTACTTGAGCATGACTCGCAGGATATTCAGCAGGCCAATACCCGGACCCCACGACGGGTAGGGATTGCGGAATTTGATTAGATGTCCGCCGTTGAGGACATGATGGGGCTTCGAGACGGCTTCCTCGGGCACGGAGGCTGAATCGGCTACCTTGGTGATCGTTTGGGTGTACGTCGCCATTCTCGGTAGGCTCGCGCTGGACAAGGAAGGGATGAATAATTGCTTGATGCTTTGCGCCGAGATTGGGGGGATTCTGGATGGGAGAAGGAGTCGAAGATACGACAGAGCTTGATGCATGATAGCGCCCAGAATCTCGTCCGGGCTACTATGTAATATATATAATACTACGTGTAAAAGCCCTACCGAATCGCTACCACGACTAGGACCAGTGGTCCTCCAAGACGATGAATGAGGATAATAGTGTGCTTGCGGAGAGATGGGTAACACAGGAGGGGGCGGAAGATTGAGTGTAAGCTTCCAAAGACTTGACTGGCTAGGAATTAAGACTGTTCCCTTGGTCGGAGTTTAAGCTCCTCTTTCTGCCCATTAAAGATCGATTCAAATGCAACGAGTGTACAAGTACAAGTCCGCCACAACTCGGACTAAAAGTGTACCTGGACACCACGCGTCATTCGCAAGGTATTGCGCTGACTGTCTTCAAATTTCGCAGGTAGAAAATTATTGTTATTAATAAAACAAGATTCAATCTACGAGGTAGCCATCGCATTGGGAATTAAGAATCGGGGATCGGAGTTAAGTCGATGGACCGCACCGGCATACAAATTAGGCCGGCGGCCTGGTATACGCGCGGATACGAGAGAAAGTGTTGTTGCCTGCGATGCATCCTTCTTGACTGTCGAAAGAAATCCTGTTCATGAAATGACGTGGCACTCGAGCCGGCAAGTCCGCGGCTGTCAAACAACCATCCAACGCGTCACCCAGTGCCTCGCAGCAAGCGGTCATCACTCCGACGGACAATGAGTAACCGTCCTCGGCCTCAGCGTCTCATTCACAGCTACAGCATATTAGAGGCCCAAACGCCGAAATTGAGTCTATCGCCGTAGCGATTAGAGACTTCGACCAAGGCTGCTGTTCTGGAAGAATAAATGGAAAAGAATTCAACATTGTCCAAGTTCGCTACACATCTCCAGATTTAGAAGTCCGCCATAACACAAACTCCGTCCGTAGAAGAGCAACCCTACCGCCGACTAACCGTTACTCCGGGGTCATTAATCCATCATGCATCCGTCTCGCGGCCGGTTCTACGTCGCCGGGCACTGCCCTTGACATAGCCTCTCACAAATCCAAAGCGCGGGTATCTTCCCCCATCTCGTCACTGCCCAATTCCTTTTCCAGCTCATCAGCTACAAAGCCCTCGTAGTCATCCAAGTTCTTTTGGATATGAATCTTGAACTTGATGACGTCATTTAGAATTCGGTCGATCTCCGTGTGAAGCTCTTCCCTCAAGGCGTTTGCCCGGACGGTGAGTTGCTCGTATCTAACGTTCGTTCCTGTTAGTCATGATTGGATTTACGGTCGTATTCGAAACTGCTCTCAAGACAAAATACTCACTCGATATTTGTGTTCATCTCCCTCTGTTCCATCAGCTGGACGGACTCCGTCAGACCCGCACGCATTTTGGCAAGCTCCTTCTCCATCTTCTCGATCTGAGCGTCGGAGTTGAGCTTTTGGGCAGTGGTAACCTAATGTTGACAAGTTAGCTAAGGGAGCCCCAAACTTTGGGCGCAAAAAGATGGAGTAGGAAACCAAGCTCTTACCTCCTTGGTTTTTTCGTATTCTTCCTCAGCAGCCCGTACGCGATGGCCTAGTGCTTCAACCTCATTGCGTTTGTCCTCGATAGCCTCCTTAATGCCGTCGAGGAGATCATGGTCCTTCATCATGACGTCCATCGCAACGCTGCGTCTCTCAGAAATCTCCTTCTTAAGGGAAACTAGGCTGTTCCTGACCTGACCGCGGAGGTCGAGGTTCAGAATATGAGCAGGCTGATAGCCGGAAGTTGGGTCGGCTAATAATCTGTCGCTCGAGTTCGACCCGTTTAGCTGCGAAGAAGTGAAATCCGGCCCGTCGTTGACTGTGAGGCGGAGCTCGTAGTCATTACCGTTCGCGTTAACGGCAGCGGCGGGAATAAGCGCAATTTGGTACGCAAGAGTGTTGTACTTGTCCACCATGCGTTCAAGCTCGTCGAGTCTTTTGCTGGCTTCCGATTCTTTCTCGGCCACTTTCTTCTTGATATCATCAAGGCGCTGTGATGCCGACTCGATGCCCTTCTGGAGCCGCTCTCTCTCGGCAGTCATGCGGTCGATATCCTGCATGCTGATTCCGAGATCGTCGACCGCTTTTTGTAGATTTCTCCTCTCCTCCTCGACTTCTCCGAGCTCTTCCGACAACTTATCGAGCTCTTCCTGGAGGATCTGGATGCGGTTCTCGTACTTCTCCGATCGTTGTTGGGCCAGAGCATTATATTCCTCAAACTTGACTTTGTCCTCCTCCATGATCTTGAAATGGTTATCGAGGATGGCCGGGTCCGGGGTGGACTTCTCCAGATCTTCAATCTCCTTTTGCAACCTCGCATTCTCCGCCTCTAGCATTTCAAGCTCGGAGAGGTACTTAGAATTTGATTCCTCGAACGCCACAGCCATCGCTTGAACGTGAGGAGCCAGAACCCTCTCCGCATCTTCGTCCCCGGCATCCTCGTCCATGGCCAACCAATCTCTGTAGGCTTTGCTGAGAAAGTCGAAAATAATACGGTCCCCGCTCACGTCAATTCCAGACTCGAGGCAAGCATCGTCATACCGACCGCAGGAGTAGCCTTCGAGCATTTGGGCGAGCTGCATCATCCAGTGAAGCAGGCCGAGAAAAGTACTCCAATTTTGACCGCCCACCGCCGCAATTTGGCTCTTGGTTATGCTCTTCTCATAGGGATACCTGAGCTGCTTGAGGATCGGCGGCACTTCCTGGTCAATGTTCTTCTGAAATTTATGACTCGGATCGATTCTGTGGTATAGCCATTGGAACATGTAATTGAAATCCTTTTGGGTCGGCGATTTAACAATGTTCTGGGTAAGGACGTGCTTCATTTCCATCTCGAAGTTGTGCTGGACAAGATAATCTAAGAGTTCTTGCCCGATTCGAGCCTGGTAAGATCGATCCTTCAGAGGCCGTGGGTCACGAGGAACGCCGGCGGGCTGGGGAGCTTGCTGGAAGAAACTCTGGTGCGACACATGGCCGGCGGTAGAAGCGCGCGATCGGTACACACTACTCCTCCTGTCTGCATCGGCAGAGGCGCGGCTCGACATTGCGCCAGTCGCGAATGCTGGCTTGGACGTCTGGAAGGATGTCCTCTTGACCGATGAGAGGCCTATGTCCGCTAGGTTGGTTCCCGAAGACGATCGCTGAAATAATGGCTGGCTTGGACGAGACATCGCGAGGGACTGCCTGTGTCCCGACATGCTTCTCCCATGGCTGCTGGAGAACTGCGCGCTCGCTACGGGATTTGATCGTTTCATCGCCGAAGATGGTTGTGGTATGCTCGTATTATTGAAGTTTATGCCGCCAAGCGTCTACCAGGAAGGTGAAACCCCCTCATCATCAGTCCAACACTTCTATAAAGTCTGCATTGCGAGAGGCTAGAAGGAAGTTATTGAAAGTTGACTTACCTCGCGAGGTCTGCGCACGCTCCACAGACCAGTGTCTTGCGACATCCTGGACAATGTCCTTTAGTGGGGATGATCTGTTTTTTTTTTTTTTTCTTCTCTTTCTTTCTTTATCTTCTTCGGGGGGAAATAGCCGAAACGGAGGAGCGACTTGATATCAAGAGTGCAAAAGACTGGTCAAGATGGACAAGATCTCTGCCCAAGGCTCGTGTGCGATTGTCGATGATTGGGCTGTTGCTGGGGCGAATGTAAACAAAGCAATAATGCAAACTGATTGGGTAATTGTGCTTCATGCTGCTTAAGCGCGCATAGGTCATGTCCTAGGTACCTTGTACACTATTTCGTAGATCCCAGACGGACCTGGTATTCTCTCCCAGGCCATCACGTGCTGCAGCCAGTGCCCGATGAGTACGTGCCGATAATTTTCCACTGTCTGAGCTCGGGGCTGTCATGCCTCGGCTGGCATACGGGGTAGCGTACGGAAGTTGTCCTGCCTGGCTATGAATACTTTAAACCACGACCACGAGACAAGGCGATGAACTGAATCTTCGTCCTTCCATCTCGTCGAACTCAACCATGGCGATAAGGGACGATCTCGTCGCCTCTGCGGTAGGTTTCTCCCTTCCTTTGACACCATTACATATTTCTATGACTGGTGGATATTGGTTTAGCTGACAACTTCGTGGATAGGCGCAATGTGAGTTACTGCATCGATTCCGGCTCCCGCCGGCGCATTTGTAGGACGATGGACAACAAAGTCGCTAACGAGATATGATAGTTCTCCAAGACCCAAGCGTGGCGTCATCGCCGATCGAGAATCGAATCTCATTCCTGCGCAACAAGAACCTCACTCAGGAGGAGATAGACGCTGCCCTTGCTCGGGCTGGGGCCTACCAGGGTTCAGCCGAACTGGCACCCTCGACTCACACAGGCCCGTCGCAGCCGTCGCAGCCGCAGTACTACCAGCCGTCGTACGCCCAGTATCCATGGCAGCAGCCGCCGCCACCGGTCCCTAGGAGGGACTGGAGGGATTGGTTCATTATGGCGACAATGATGGGAGGCTTAGGTTATGGTCTTTACACCGTAACAAAGGTTCGTGAGGTGCCGCTAATTCCTCTGCGAACATGACTAACAGATGTGCGACTGCGCAGCGATACGTGTATCCCATGATTGCGCCACCCACTCCCGAGAGGTTAGAGCAAGATAAGAAAGACATCTCCGAGCAGTTTGACAAGACGTTTGCCTTGGTCGAGCAACTCGCAAGGGACACAGAAGCTTTGAAGGCCGCAGAGAAAGACAGGACAGAAAGACTAGATACTGCTCTATCGGAACTAGAGTCGGTCATCAACGAGTTGAAATCCGCAAACCGACGACGCGAGGACGATGCCCAGCGTATTCGAGACGAGGTTCAAAGTCTAAAAGAATCCATCCCGGCTGCCCTCGAGGCGCAAAAGACTCTCGCCGACAGTAGGCTAAAAGAAGTCAATACGGAACTCCTCAGCCTTAAGACCCTGATTTCGCGAATGAATACCCAGACGATCACAACAACGGGTTCGGCCGGGCAATCCCGACAAACAAATGGCAACGTTAACGGCAGCAATGTCGAGCAACCAAATACTAGCACCAGCGGACAAAAGAACGCGGAGCCTGATGAGGTCGCATCGGCACCGAGTGCGCCAGTCGCAAAAGCCAGCGGTCGCTCGTCGCCACTATCCAGCGGAAACGCGGCTGGCAAGGTATCGATTCCAGCCTGGCAACTCGCCATGGCCAACAAGAGTGATGCAGATGCAGGGGCTGGCTCTCAAGCCAATGCTAGCAGTTGAATGACGTTGAACTCCTACCCATCTGCCTACTCGAATACCGCCCTCGAGTGAGGCACTGCTTTCTCGACCTTCTTTTGTTTCGGTTCCGGGGTCAGCTTTTTGTATGTATGATTAGCACAGAAGGACAAGTTTATGAGTGGACTGGAGAACGCCACCGATCGCAACCAAGACGGGACGCCTACGCAACAATAATTGATATGTATCAATCTCTGTACTACCATTTCCTCGTATTAGTTCATTATCTTTCCAAACTCCTAAGTGAACTTGTCGGCGCCAGTGGAGTGCGGAAAGGGACATCAATTTTCACAGGACATTGCTTCGGTCAGTGTGCCTCGGCTTATTTTGACCACCCGACTCCGTCGGAATTTAATCCCCATGTTAGACTTTGCTCGCACACCGCGAGAACACCGGACACCGACGACCCCTCAGCTCCCGCAAGGATTTACCAGATTCGAGGTTGGGGTGGTGTCCGGGGCACAGGACACGCTATTTCTACGTGGTATCTGCTAATAAATGTATTGGTACTGTACGAAGTACGTGCACCTTCATTTAGTGTCCTAAGAAGGATCAAATAATTCCTGTTGCTTTTGGTTCATTTCACCGGGTCCAAACCTCCCTTGTATAAGCCCGCATGCGGTCGTTGAGTGAGAGGTCTTCATGCCCCGAGTGATTTCTCTCATCCAATACCACCAACCAACCCTCCAGAGACCAGGACCCATCTCTCGCAAAACAAAAGTTTCCCACTCTCCCAAAGAAAAATAAAAAGGGGGAGGAAGATGGAGAACGAGAACATACAGCTTCTTTTCATGCTACTTCCGAAGCTTCCTCTAATACTTCGGGTGGCCATCTTGCATATCCTCCGGCTCTCGGAGCCAGCTCGATACTTGGATCTTCAAAGCGCCATCATCGTGTCCGTCCTCCGATCATTTCTTGCCCCGGACCGTCCGGTTAGCATATCGAAAACACAACGGCTTACCTTGAAAGATCCCGGAATTAAGGGAAGGATATGGGTTAGCAAGTATACTGCTCCACCACCGCCGGAGACGGCGGTCCGAGATGCACTGGTCTCTGCCATTGATCGTTTAAGCGACGCGGCAGGCTCCCGTGCACCCACCAGAGGACCGGATATTCTGCCGGTCGAGGCTGAGTGGACCGGCTACCGAGCTGAAGCGAAACCGAACTCTACTCTCCCCGACATAACAGAGAAGGAAAAGTACGACGAGCTTATGAAAGAATGCTCTAGCGCAACTACGATTTTGTACTTGCATGGGGGTGCATACTACCTCCTAGACCCATCATCGCATCGACCGACGACCAAAAAGCTGGCAAAACTTACCCAGAGCCGATGTTATTCAGTCCGATATCGCCTTGCTCCACAGAACCCCTTCCCTTCGGCCCTCCTGGATGCGCTCGTCTCGTACTTGACCCTTCTATACCCCCCACCCAACTCCTTCCATGAACCGGTGCGGCCGGAACATATAGTCTTCGCTGGCGACAGGTATGTAGCTACGTGGCCTCTATCATTATTTTTTCAGCGCTGCTTGATATGCCCAGATCTCTAACACGCTTTGGGATAGTGCCGGAGGAAACCTTGCACTCGCGTTGTTGCAAACCATCTTGGAGATCCGGCGGCAGGGTCGAACGATTGCATGGTTCGGGCAAGAACGCGAGCTCCCTCTCCCGGCCGGTGCAGCGCTGAGCTCCCCCTGGGTGGACCTTACTCTCAGTTCTCAATCCTGGGAGAGGAATGCGGAGTTTGATTATTTACCCAGTATGACTGCGAAAGTGGCAGACGAATTTCGTCCTTGCGAAGCATGGCCGGCAGAACCACCTCGAGTGAGTCTTTACGCCGACGACCATCTTCTTGACCATCCTCTTGTCACGCTCGTCATGGCGCAGGACTGGACCGGTGCACCCCCGATTTTCATGAGCACGGGCTGGGAGCTGCTGGCCGATGAAAACAAGTTCATTGCCCTGAAGTTGAAGAAGAATGGCGTCAAGGTTATCTTTGAGGAATACGAGGCTATGCCGCACTGCTTTGCCATGGTGCTCACGAAGCTACCTGCCGCGAGGCGATGCTTTGATGGCTGGGCTGGATTCATTCGAACGGTAGTAGAAAACCAGGAAAGCATTACACCCAAGGCAATCACGGTGAAGGCTAAGACATTGGAGGAGGTTGAGCTCGATCTGGAATCGGAGGACCTCGTGGAGGAACAGGTGCAAGAACGTGTCCGGGCACAGATCAAAGCTCGCCTAGCATCTCCCCCGTCCAAATTATGACCCGCAGCTTCACGTATGAAGAATCGTCGACTCCGTATGGCCTGACTCGGCCGCATGGAGGATATCAATCACCAATCACGAACTGCGTGAGGGCTGAGTCCGGCTCGTTTCCGGCTGCGTAGTGTATGAACATATGAACACAGCGTTTGATGGGGTTTAGGTTGCCCAGTTCCCTTGAATTGATTCGGTCGAATATCATGCTTCATTTGCACCTCAGTGCACAGCTCTGTTATCAAGAGCGTATCATCATGATCTTCAATATGCAGACCGTAAGTGTCAAATAAGATGTTGATGCCCCGTTGCACTCGATATCAATTCATGGTGTTAAAATCACCAATTATATGTAATATCGCAATAACCAAAGGTACCGTTTATATGTCGAGGGAATTCTATCTGGATTGTGAGCAGCGGGTGGTTTGAGGAAATACGCCAAACCTTCTGCTCCCCCTCTGTTCATCTCTTTCTTTCCTATTCTTCTCTACCTTTCCTTTCCGACATCTTCCTGTTCTCCTTCCATTTCTATTTTTCAATTTTTATTTCATTTTATTTTTATTTTTATTTTTATTTTCCTTTTCCTTTTCCGAAGGATCCTCGGTCGGAACTAAATTTTTGCGGTTGGGGCTCAGTTGGAGGTACCTTGACAATTGTAATCTCCGAGATCGACCCCAAAAAACTGGAACACACTCACACTCACCTCTCGCCTCACCCATCTCACTCAGCTAGCTCCCTCAGCTCACACCACATCCATCCATGAAAATAGACGCTTGATACTCAATGGCGGTCATCAAGGGGTAAGAGGCATAGTCGCAGTGAAGAGAATAACAATACGACCATGGAGCGCCATTCCAAGGTTGTGGCGCAAATATCCACAGTCATCAAACAATTTTTCGAAAAGAAAGTCCCATATCGAATCAACCATGGCTCCACCAACAGCACGCGGCCTCTTCGCCGTGACCGCGTCGCGAGTGTCGACATCGGCTTGCTCAACAATGTCCTCGAGGTGAATCGATCAAATCTCACCGCTCTGGTCGAGCCGAATGTTCCAATGGACCGCCTGGTGGAGGCCACTCTTGCCAAAGGGCTTATCCCACCCATCATCATGGAATTCCCAGGAATTACGGCTGGCGGTGGATTTGCAGGAACCGCAGGGGAGAGCAGCTCTTTTAAGTACGGGTTCTTTGACGACACCGTCAACGAGGTCGAGATGGTTCTTGCCAATGGCGAGGTGGTCAAGGCGAATAGAGCCGACAAGGCCGATCTCTTTCACGGTGCCGCTGGTGCTCTTGGAACCTTGGGAGTTACAACCCTCCTAGAGCTCAAGTTGAAGGAGGCGAAAAAATACGTCAAGGCAACTTACCGGCGCGCTCGAAGCGTTGACGAGGCTGTGGAAATGGTGCGAGAGCAGATCCGGAATCCGGAGAACGACTACGTTGATGGCATTCTCTACTCCAAAGATCACGGAGTCGTCGTCACCGGCACTCTGACAGACGAGAAGCCCGACGCTAAACCCGTGCAGACCTTTAGCAGCGCCTGGGATCCTTGGTACTATCTTCATGTTGCCGATAAGACTCGCAACGCTACTGAACCGGCCGTGGACTACATCCCTCTGGCAGAGTATCTGTTCCGTTATGACCGTGGCGGTTTCTGGGTTGGCCGAGCTGCATTCGACTACTTCAAGTTTGTGCCATTCAACCGTTACACTCGTTGGTTCCTGGACGACTTTTTGCACACCCGCATGCTCTATCGCGCTCTCCACGGAAGTGGAGAATCCGCGCGGTTCGTCGTGCAAGATCTTGCCCTTCCTTACTCGACCGCCTCCCAGTTTGTGAATTTTACGGCGGACAGCCTCAACATCTGGCCGCTGTGGCTCTGCCCGCTTAAGCGCCCGCAAGCACCGACTTTCCATCCCCTCACGTCAACCCCGCAAACCGTGGGGCTAGCAGACGAGGATACTGATGCCATCAACATCGGCGTCTGGGGCTGGGGCCCCTCGAAGCCGGAACAGTTCGCCGCCAAGAACCGCGAGTTGGAAGTCCGCCTTCGGGAACTAGGTGGAAGAAAATGGCTCTATGCCCACGCTTACTATCCCGAGGACGAATTCTGGCAGATGTATGGCCGTCAATGGTATGACGAATTGCGGACCAAATACCACGCAACTGCTTTGCCAACCGTTTATGACAAGGTCAATGTCGACATAAAAGCAAAAGCGCAAGATGGAAAACATTGGAGCCACGCCATGAAGGCCTATTGGCCAATTGGTGGGTTCTGGGGCATCCGACAGAGCATTAAGAGCAGGGATTATTACCTTCACAGAAATGCAAAGTGGAAGGAGACATGAGGGAGAAATGAGGCTCACTACCCTGTGGACAGGGCCACCCCCTCAACAGCTGCTCCGCCATCGGAGGTAGTGCGGAGCCCCAGCTCGCTGAGCTCCTGCCATGGTCCAAGTTATTTGATTTTCATCCAGGAAAGATGGGAACGACATGAAATTCCCATTACATTGATCTCATCCCATCGCCACACTTGCCCTGTATTACTATGCCAATAAAACTTTGTATTATTAACTGTCGGCCCAATATACGGGCGACTCTAAGAGGAGGGCGGAACGCTATCTATGATCAAAACTACTACCAAAGCTGAAATGGATCGGCAGTGCCATTGAACAGAAAATGACGGCGATGCCATTGGTATAAATGCTATGCAAAAAACAGCTCGTCTGTTTCTTGAAGCTATATTATGCGTCGCGGGAAATAGACTTGATTCCTAGAAATTCAATACCGGGGGGTCTTTTTCCCTAAGCCTGGATGGAGTAGGTTCTCTGGAACATGTCATCGACGTTTTCCAGGTAGTATGTCCCACTCGAGATGGTCGACACTTCGCCCTCGGGCTTGTAGTTCTTCTGGAGATGGGCCTTCTTGCGCAAGTCACACATCTAGAATTCATGGGGTTAGCTCAGACATGCGGATTGGTATAGCCCGGGCGAGTCAAAATCGAACGAGGCTCATTTTATTTTAGGTTTGTGTTTTGTTGGGGGGGGGGGGGGGGGGGGGGGGGGGGTTATAGAACTTACGGCGTCGTAGGCTTCCGGTGGGACAGCGCGCCTGGCGCCTAGCCTCGCGGGGATGTCCAGGACCTTCGCGATCCCGGAAACGCTGCCGTTAACCCTGAAGGACATGAAGCTTGCAGCAAGACCCGATCCATAGCTGAAGAGGCCTATGCGCTTTCCCTCCAAGGTGGCGCTATCCACATAGGAGATTAGACTGGCGAGCCCACCCCAGACGCTGGCGCAGTACATGTTGCCGCAGAGTGTGGCGACCTGAATAGCTGGCGATACTCGCTCTTGGAATCTCTTCTTGGAGAGACCCATAAATGTTTTCTCGACGACCTTGTCAGTCAAGGATTTCTCGTAGTCGAGTCCACGGAGTTCCTGGGGCACGTCAGCGAAGGCGGCGTTGTCAGGATCAGCAAGGTAGTCGTGGTATAGAAGGCGACCGTAGGATTTCTGAACCAGCTTGCAGGTAGGCGCATGGAAAGTCAGGTAGTCGAATCGGTCGAGCGCAGTCTTGGAATCGGAGGCGCCGTTCGCATTCCCGTTGGAGCCGTTGGAGCCGTTGAGTTTCGAGGCCTCGCGCCTGGCGTAGTCGCGGTAGGCCGCATCGAGAGCTCTGGTATAGCAGGTAATCGAATAGTGGCCGTCCACATAAGGGTACTCGGAAGTTAGATCCGGCTTGTAAAAATCATAGGCATGCTGCATGTAGGTTCCGCGCAAGCCAGGCTCGGCGACGATAGGCGCGTTGGGGCCGACTAGGAGGGCTACGGCACCTGCACCGCCGGTGGGGCGGGCATTTCCCTTGGCGTACAAGGCAATGTCAGCAGCGACGACGATGGCGTCACGACCGTCCCAAGCGGAGGATTCGATCCAATTGATGGTGTTAAAGAAGGCATTGGTGCCTCCGTAGCATGCATTCACAGTATCCACACCCTCAATGTTGGTGTTATCTCCAAATAGCTGCATCAGCACCGTCTTGACAGACTTGGACTTGTCTAGGAGTGTCTCAGTGCCAACTTCGAGTCGGCCGATGGAGGCAGGATCGATATTGTACTTCTTGAGTAGGTTGGAAACAACCGTCAACGAAAACGAGTAGATGTCTGAGATCGGACAGTTAACACGCTGGCGAAATAGAGGGGCAGCCCAACCTTGGGCAGTGGAAAGAAAGGAGGGGGGATCGGAGGAAGAGACAAACCTTCACGGTCATCGCAAAAGCTCATCTTCGTCTGGCCCAGGCCAATGGTGTACTTCCCGGTACTGACACCATCGAACTTCTCGAGCTCGCTCTGCTCTACATACTACACCAAGGGGGGGCAGGTTAGTTTCCAGCCGCCGCGGTGCAGTGTCCAGGTTAGACGGTGCGATATCGGTGGGGTTCGACTGACCTGGCTTGGGAAGTAGACCTCAATGGCCTTAATGCCAATATTTTCCGGGCGCGAGGTCATGATGGTGAGATGAAAGCGACGATATGGTTATGAGCAGAGTGAGGTTTGATGAATTGTCGAGAGATCGAAAATGGGGGCAAGAACGAAGGGGGGGGGTGGAGGAGCGCTTGGGGGAGTCGACAAGCAGGAGCTCCTTGGGTCTTTATGGCAGGAATTTCACCGCCGTTTCCCGGGCGCATACACAGGTACAGAAGAGGCAATTCTTTTGTTATGAAATTAAAAGGGCAAAAAAAAGTGTGCTCTGCGTTCTCGACAAGACCCTGGGATCCAGTTACATCGGTAAGGTACATCAATGATGGGCATGCACGAAGTATTGATGTAGTTTATTCAGGTTGACCGTTCAAACGATAATCGCTGCGGTCCAGAACCGGAAACAACATCAAATCAGTCCTAGTTGGCTTGGAGCCTACACTAGTTGAGAACCTCGAATGTTGAGGGGCTTGACGATTGACATCAATTGATGAGGGGTTGCCTGCAGCCGGCGAAGCAGGAGAAATTACCCATTGAGGTAGCGTACGAAGGAGTGTAGTGTGTACTACTTCGTACTTTACCGACAGCCAGACAACGTACGCTATGCATCCAAGCAAGTGGCACATGTACTGTACCTTTGTACATGATCTCGATTTAATACGGTTAGGTTTACCTTTGAACGGCAAGGGCTACTAGTCCTGCGCCAGCCGGCAGAACTTGCCAACAATAATCCATTGAAGTACCCTCAATCTCTGTTTCGAGTTTCCGAGACCTCTTCATCACTTCCGCACTTGAAATTATCAATCTACACTTCACGGCTCCTCCACGAATCCGCTCTCGTAACTCCGCACCTAAAATATGAGGTGCTGTGCTGTTACATCCACAGCTACGCTAGGAAGTGGATCGATCAGTTCCTAGATCGTTTGAGGAACCCATATTGCCTGGCTGGGTCCCTCATTGATGCGCATCAGACCTTATCAACGCTGTATGCAATATAGACAAAATTCATGGTTGAAAAGCAAAAAACCATGCACCGTGAAAAGCCAAGCTTCAGTCGGAGAGCTGAAGACTCCAAAGAAGCAAGATACGTCCGCGCTCTGTGGTATGCGGTATGCAAAGTGCTGGAGAGAAAAGAGTCTCACTCTTGACCTGGACCTTCAACCCCACCACGACCTGAGCCTCCCGCAGAATGGGGATAAAAAAAATGAGGAAAGGGGAAGGAGGGGGGTGAGGTGGGGGGTGATTCTACTTACACTAGGCAGAAACATTTGGGCCTGGTGGCAGTTGATGGCATCAATCAAGAGATCAACGTGCAGTGAATTTCCCAACAAGTAGTGTACAATTGGGGTCTTGATTCGCCATCGCGTCCAAGGATCCCGATCCCCCAAAACTTGGGAGCGGCTTCTTGGGGGACGGGCATAAAGTTGATTTACTTCACGAAGCTAACTTCTACCCCCGCCCACGAAGTAGATGAAGCATTTACATTCTTATATTCTATAACATATGGGCAGCTGGGCGTGTCCTACGATGTTCGGTTGGGAGAGCCAAATTTGAAGTGTTCAATGTTGGGTTCTTGGGCACGAGGAACCGCCCATCATTGAAGGACCGAGCTTTGCTTTCTCGGCAGGCACCGAGAAACGCCGGAGGAGAAGTAGTGTACGAAATACTTCCCGAGCAGTACTTCGTACACTAAAGTACTCGGCGACTGGGACGTGGCTGGGTGGCACTACTATTGCACATGCTGAGGTACACTACATCATAATCTGTTTGACCCCTGAAGCCATTCCTGGATTGTTTTGGCGTAACTTGTAACTTTGAGCTCCGCCAAAGATTACATAAATGTGCCACCGTTCTAAGAGCCACAGTCCCAGTTGCATCATTTTGAACATCACATCCAGCATCCAGCCGGCTCAGACTTGAGGGGAAACACGGCTGTGGTAGTGCGGGTCTGGGCTGCCTATTACGAAGCAATGTACGAGGTACTCCATTGATCTGTCGTGTGGTACTTCGTCAAGACAAGATGCGCGACAAAAGTGACAATTGATCGGCTTGCGGGCCCAACGTGGGACGGGACGCTTGCTAGGCTGGCTACCTTGGGTTGCCCGCAAACCAATCTTCATGGCCATCCAAGTCGGGCTCCATCAACCACTCCGCTCTCGGCTCTCCTCTCCCTGGAGCTCTCCACGTCAAGAAAAAGACTTACCCTCCACAAAAGATTACGAAACGGCCACTCTAAGCCCCTACAGCCGATCAGCCTTTAACCCTAGCTGCCCATGGCGATGTATGTCAAGTCGTGAGGGTCATTTGTCGGGATGTCTCGGGTCTTGCTGTTTGAGAAAGTGTCGGTTTTGGATGGAAAGGAAGTGTAAGCAATAGAAGGCTTGGACTTTCTGGTAGCCAGCCCGAGTCTCCTGCTCTTTTCTCACATCACCGTCATTACTGGCGACACACATACGAAGTAAGATCCGGTTCTGTATTGACTGATAATATTAAGCTCATTTTATCTTGCTTCTTGTTTCCGTCGGAGTTTCGGTTGGTGTGACGGGCTCCGAGATGCTCGACTCCGTTCGCGAGCTGCTATCGGACTCGTCATCCGTGACCTGCGGCGTTCCAACGGCTGACAGTACATCACCATCCTTTCCGGCCCGAATGCTGTCCTCGTGCCCTTCGCCTCCCGACTTCTTAGTCGACCCGCCCTGCTTTTGTTCGCTCTTTTCTTCCCCCGTTCCGGTGCTTTCGTCGACATTTGTCGCAGTAGCGGTGTTGGCTGCCTTCGCTTGGGAATCCCCAGCCGCTTTCACCCGTTTCTGTTCTCGCATTTCCATGATCCATTTTTCAACGTTTTGAACTGCTTTCTCGGGGTCTCGTTTATATCTGAGAAGGTAGCCCTGGATCTCGGCCGGACTATACTCATATTGGGGAATTTTCGTAGCAAACTCGGATGCCAAGGCCGAAACCGCAGCGTTAGCAGCGGCTTTCTTCTGCGCGGATTCCCGGGATACCTCGTCCGCAGGAGAATCAGAGTCCATGCTGCTATCTGCGTCAAGCGCAGTGTATATGGCATTGAAAATGGATGCCGAAATGTCGCGGTCGGCCCAGCCAAATTCGATGGACATGTCTACCCTGCCTGGTCGGATCAACGCCTTATCCAGTTTCTCGATGTGGTTCGTGGTCATGATTAGAATGCGACCCTCCTGAGAGGCGACGCCATCAAGAATATTAAGTAGACCGGAGAGAGAAAGCCGGCCGGGCACTGGGCTCGGAGCTGCGCCGGGGGCTTGATCAGCGGTGGTGGAGACTAGGTCCTTCGTCGTTGGGGTGTTTGGGGCCTTGGGTTGCTCTCGGGTATTTGTAAGGCCAGCTGTGTCAATATCCTCAAGCAGGACCACACATCGTCGCGGCAGCTCGGAAAAGAGGGTAGTCAGATTCTCCTCATTGGAATGGATGGAACTCAGGCTGACGATGTAGATTCTTAGGTTGAAATGGCCCGCTAGGGCGAGACTTAAGGAACTCTTGCCGGTTCCTGGCGGGCCATAGAGAAGATACCCACGTCGATATGGGATTCCTCTGTTCGAATACCAACGGCGAGTTGCAGGATCGAGATAGTCGGTCATGTCGTCCAAAAGCCGTTTTTTTGTGTCCGCACTTAGAATAACCGTAGAAAGGGGCCGGGTATCCCGGGACATGTTTCGCTCCCAAGTCGGCTCCGCGCTTGCACCTTTGAACGTCCCTCGATATATCAACGTTTTCTTCGCGTCCTTCTCCACGTATGCTAGTTTGGCTTCGAGAAGAAGCTCCTTAAGAATCCAAGGGCTCCTCCCAAAGCAAGCTATTGATATCTCTTCCCTCTTTACGGGTATGGGTTAGTTAGTACTTCCATGATCAGCTCGCCAGATACCCCACCACGATGCTTCACACTTACCTCACTGGCAGGCGTGAAATACATTTGGTTACGGTTTTGAGTCCTTTGAAAGAGAAGGAGCCTTCCCCGGTACCAAAATACATGGCTTCCAAACGAAGGGGTGTAGGAGAGCGTCTTGCGATGCTTCTCGGTAGAAGCACTCGCTCCGCCCTCGTCGTCCTCGTCGTCATCCCGCCATCTCCATATAAACCAACTTCGAGATGATAGGTTGGTGTTAACCACGAATCGACGCGAAGACTGGGCAAATTTCTGCGCCGCAACCCATGCCATAACGATATTGTAAATTTCATCATCAACACGAATCTACCAGAAGACGGGTCGTTAGGAAGAAGAAAAATAAAACTGAAAAAAAAAAGGAAAGGAGAGGAGAAGAGGGGGGGGGGGGGGGGGGGGAGAAGGGTAAAAAGGACAGGCGTACCTCGACAGTACTCATGAAATGGGAGGATACTAAATTCCAAATGTATCCACTAATGTAACTCCAGGAAAAAGCCAGCCCACTGAAAAGGACGACGACAGGAATGTAAACATTTAGGTTTAGACCGAGATATTTGAATATGGCGTCTGAGAGGCTCGAGAACCCAGGGAAGAAGAGATCCAAAAGAGCGACGAGGGACGACGTGGGCACGTCTCCCGAGGCTGCAGGCCTAGGCTGGCCGAGCCAAGAGGGGAGAGAGGTCATGGCTAGGTTATGATAGATCTCCAGAGCAGCAGACGAGGAGAAGATCTCGACGTAGCAGCTCCACTCCTCCACGGCGTTTCGACAATGGACTCGGCTCTCCAATGGTGATTATTCCTCACCCGAATGGACGTTGAAGAAGGTAGAAGGTGGGTGGTTTTATAAGAGGAGAGGATGATCTGCATCGCCTCGTGGAATGGTCCTTCCAAGATGGCCGCTGATGCTGACGAACGCTGGGCAATGCCGGCCAATTGACAACTCAGGTCGGTATCACCGCTTCCCAGGCTAGCACGGCCTAGATTGAGTCACCCGGACTGAAATTTCAATGCAAACGGTAGGGCTGCGCAAACAGCTGCCTAGTGGTGATGCGAGATTGAATCCGCAATTGTGCATTTGATGTCGGCATGATTGTCCCTGACCGCTGATCGGGGGTGGGGCCGTGAATCCTTCCAATTGTTTTGCATCGTTCGTTGCATCGGCCATCGCGAGAGTTCATGTGAAATGTAAAAAAGTGACGTTAGTGAAGAGGGGCGAGGCCAATCCCAAGCCCAATGCAATGTCTCAACAACATTGAACCTCGTAATTAGGCAGCAACTGCATAGGAGTGTCAGATTTGTGAATTTGTGGGAGGGATGGAATTTGGCAAGTTACACGAGTCGGGCGCAGGCTCTGGCAGTCTCCAGTCTCATGAGCTTCAAGGGATGAAGAGGTTCAAAGTGTTTGGACAAACAACGAGGGAATTGAAGGGCTGACTGCTGACCCGGCTCCACTCGGAGATGTACAAAGGTAGTGCAGCCAAGATGGATCGAATTGACGAATTGATGCAGGATGTTGTTCCCTTCCACTTGCCCATGCCCCATGCCCATGTCCATGTCCATGCCACCCAGCCAGTCTCAAATATACCCTTGATTATGTCGAGGGCGCCAATACCTCGCGGTCTGCTCGTTCCGTGGCGGATTCGCAAAGGCAAGATGGCAAGATTGCAGCAAAAATCGAGACACAGCATCGTGCACCTAAGGCGTCCGAATCGTTGCCGAGTTCAATCATCACCTTTACCTTTGTACTCGTGAGGATATCGGAGGATAGCTTCACCAACCAGGCTCCCCACTCTGGCCTGGGGACGCTCAGGATCCGTAGAATGACGAACGTAGTTTCTCAAGATTGCGACAAAATGCTTGATGCGACGAGCAGTGTATAGAAAGTGCTCCTTCCAGCATCAGTAATGAGCTCGCTCACCCCTGGTGTAACTAGGCCATGGCTCTGTGTCCTCATCAATTGATCCATGGTCAGAAGTTAAGAATGAGAACATCGCTGCATGGCTTCTCGATCTATGGAACATTTGGATTGAATCATTCATGGCTCGAGAGGAGCAGGATGGATCCGCAAACCAATCTTTTGACCACGATCTCTTTTCAACGTCACTGCAATGTGATATTGTCGTATCTTGGGGGAGAAAACACGATTACACAACTACCATCGTGACAAGTTTGACACACAGCATGAGACGGAGCTGGAGAGGGGAAGGCGTCTCAAAAACCGACATGGATTGAGCTGGCTTCGGATGGAGAAGTGTGCTCTTCTCTTTTTATTTTATTTACTTTTCTTCTTTTTTTCCCCTCTTCCTTTCTTTTCTCCCTCTTCTATTTCTTTGGGGCTTTTAGTTTTCCTGCCCGCTGGCCGACCCAAAAAATCTCGCCGGGAGAGTGGCTAAATTGCTCACCACCTCCTCCTGATGGGACAGCGTAGTGTAGATATGCTGAGGAGGGAGGTATGGGCTTGGGAGCCAACGATCCCCGTAACCTTTAGCGTGAGCGGTCGGAGACTACTTCATAGGCGCTCCCAGGTCGGCCTTTCCGAATCACAATATACAATTCTCCAGGCCGGTCGGTTCTGCGGGCAATCATACATCCATTGGCGATGGTGCATTGGGCGGCGATGTTATTATGTTCTTCCTCCAAACCATCAATTATCAATTGACCTGTGATGTTTCTCCTCCAAGTTGCTGATGGCTCCGTCGGCTGGTCCATCATTTACAGGTTACGGGTTATTGGTCCAATTCTCAACCCGAGCCAGGCCAAGATCGATTTCGCAAATAGGCTCAAAGGGGGTTAATTCTTGAATTCCCGTATATGAGGGCGGGGAGAAGCAATCTGTCGAATACAACCTGCAAATTACATTGAGTGTGGAGATCAATTGATATTTGCCGTCCCTCCAAATACCAATTGATCAGATGAGTGCGTGCTCTGGGGTGGCTACTGTTGTATGGATCAATTGTGTTGCATATTGGCGTGTATTGGCGTGTATCGTTGGCGTTGGGATGAAAGAGATGCTTGCATTTTACACTTCAGGCACAACCCTTTGACTTAGTCGAGGGAGGGGCCGAGAAGAAAACGCAAGAGTCTCCGAACGAGAGGAAAAGGAGAAAGAAACACTTCATTGTTGAAACCCGAGGGTTGAGGACTGAGTAATACCCCAGGCGTGCGTGGACGTGCGATTAGTGACCAATGGACAGGTTGCAGCCGGGTTGTTCTTGGCACACGCTTCGACGTCAATATTGACGAGACTCGATCTACATTTCTCGGCGTAGAGTTCCTCATTGAGACGGAGACGATCCATGGCTTATCCTCGAAGCCGGGAGGGGAGGGGACGTGATAATACTTTGCAATGCCGAGAGTTAAGCAATTTGATATATTACAACACTTGATCGGATTGATTTGATTTATTCAAATACATAGTTCAATTGATAGAAACAATAGGGACAAAAAAGTGCCACCATCGATCCATCGCCAGGCTGATCTGTTGGCTGGTTCTCTCAAGTACAGGGCCACCTAGTCCTGTCGTACCGTCGCATAGGGAGTTGAGACCATCGCAAGGAAGGGGCAGGTTCTCAAAAGAAGAATATCAATGCGTCGCAAAAAGCTTGGTTCCCGCCCGCACGGTGAAATAGTCCTGAGACACTAGATAGAGTGAGTGCCAGGCAATGTATCCTTTTATTACCCCCATCCTGCCTGTGTACTCTTGCTACTCTTCCTACTCCTCCTACACTTCCTCCTCCGACCCCCCCCCCTTCCTTTCGCCCATGTTAATAGTCTCAGTATTAGACTTCCAAAATACTATGTGCGGCGGTTGTATACTCCGTCCCTGTTCCCGGCGAACCCAACGTTTGCCGATACTCTCCTTCCCCCTTCATCCTACTTCGTAGACTTCTCTCTCAACCTGCCATATCTGCCCCAAGTCTGTCTCCTTCTCGAGGTATCTTTTACCTCTTCGAATACCCGCGATCTCGAATTTGATTCTTCACTTATACTCCCCTCGCTTTCGCCGAATAGATCGAGTGCACCAAGGATAGCGACTCAGGCCTCTCGAGGCCATCACCAGGTGTCCACGACACGCCGCGTCTTGATGTAACGAGTAAGAAGAAAGCATCGTAACGGCCCTCATTCGAAGCAGCGAGGCCTCCGCCACCGATCGGCCGGTTTTTCTCAACTCAGACAGAGATGGACAAACCGAATGGAAAGCAGGCTGAACTCAACCCTCGGACGTCGATGGCGGCCTCCATGCGCCTGTCCGTTGTGGGAGACGAAGAGGGTTGCGATGTCTCGGCGTCCTTGAGCCCGGACGCGGCCTTGCGGTTGTCAATCGCATCACTGCCGGGCCCTGATTCGACCAGTTTTGCATTAGGCGCTAGGGAGCCCCAGATCCCTCTCCAGAGTCATTCCATTTCCGATACAGCGAGCCGACAGCGCCCAAGCACGGCACCAAGTCGGCCTTCAAGCATCGCGAAGCCGCGACTGGTGGATTCTTCATTACCAAATAACCTAACTCTTCGTACGGATCCAGAAACCGCCGGGGCGCCTGTAGCAGCCAACCCTGCGATCCAGGTTGAGGCGCCTTATGAGGGGCCCTCGGGCCCTTCACACCCCTATCAAATGTATCCACAGAGACCTACGAGCGTTTCTACCATCTCAACATCGGCCCCGGGCCATGAACGGGGTTACTCGGGACCAAGAGACCCGGCACATCCCTACACGCTCTATCCACAAACTACGGCAACGGGCGATGTTGGGCAACTCACCGCCATACCAGTAGGATTTCCGAGCGTTTCAAGTACTTACCAGCAACGAGCTGGGGCCGGCAACGAAAATTCGCCAGGTTTTGTCGCATCTCTTGCCCATGCAGAAGAGCTACCGCCGTATTCTAGGTATCCTGTTAATGACTTCAGCACAAAAACCGGGGATGTCGAGCAGACTACGGCCGTCCCGGCCGCAGGGGATCCCTCCGCGCTGGAAAACAACTCCCCAGCCCAGGCCCAGGCCCCGGCCCCGCCCCAGCCTCTCCCAACAGCGAATGCTCCCTCTGCCGTTGCGCCTATACAGGGCGCCGGGGGGATCGGTTTGGCCACTAGGGATCCGGAATTTTCTTCTACCTCCTCCGATCTTGACTCGCCGCGCTTATCAACCCGCAGTTTCACATCAGACGGCAGTCAGCAGGAAATAAACTTAGCCCCTAGCGAAATCGAAAATGAAAAGGATTCGATGAAATCATGGCAGAAACGGGCGACGAAGAAGATGTGGGGCATCGTGCCATACTGGGCAATCGGACTACTCGCAATTGCCCTCGTTCTCATGGGCGTAATATTAGGAGCTGTAATCGGCACTTTCCTGTCCAAACACCGAAAGGGTGGCCCGCCGAAACCGTAAGACACAGCCCATCGACCTCGCCATCTACCTTGCGCACCCTCCTGAGTGTTCTTCTCACCTTCTCATACTAATATCGCGTATACAGGCCCAGTTTCGCCGACTCCAACTTCACTCCGGGGGTCATACCACTTGAGGCCGTTCCACCTGACCTGCCAGACCTGGAAATTGGGGAATGGAGTCTTCCTCCCTTTTTCCTGGCCAGCCTCGCCCCTAGCTCCTGCTTCACTATACCGACCCAAGCCCAGGCATGGACCTGCAACACACCTTTCAATATCTATTGGATGGATGTGGAGAAGGTTTCGGACAGCCTTCCCATCGCTTCCTACAAGCTGAAGTTTACGACCTCCAATAGTAACACAACATGGAGCAAGTATGCGTGGGGAACCCGACCCCCGGTTATCCCAGACCACCAACGCTTAATTCTGGTCAACGACACGCGTGAGATGGGCTGGGGACCTGCGTGGTGGCTTAACATGACCTACGACAAGACGGTCGTTCTCCAAGAAGACAAATTTTCGATACCGACGGAGCGTAGCAGAATATTTCGGCGTAATTCCCCATCAGAGTCGGGTTCATATCCCCCTGAGACAACCGACGGCGCGGGCGATCGAAAGGACAAAGACGACCCAGAGAGTAAGAAGTGGCCTGTCCCGGGCCCTGGTTCTGGTTTCCCACCATATCCCGGGGCCAAGGAGGGAGACAAGCCCTGGATTTGCACCTGGCCAGATACCGTTCTTGAATTCTTTCTTTATCCCGTCCAAAACAACAGTTACAATATTCATCCCACTAGTGCGACATACCCTCCTTTTACTGGCTTTCCATCGGGATTTCCGACTGGCTTCCCGACCGGCTTCCCGACAGGCTTCCCTACAGGCTTCCCGACCGGCTTCCCTACCGGCTTCCCCACTGGCTTCTCCGTATCGCCAACTCCCTCGGCCCTAGCGTCTGATTTGCCAGCTCTCTCCGGGGAAGGAGTATCCGCCTCAGCAACCCCATCAGTAAACCCATCGGAAGAGAAAGGCGATAAGGAGCGCTGGACTGTACCGAAAATTCTCCCACCGTATCCCAAAATCATCAAAATATCTGAACGCCGAATACCAGGCCCTACAAACAAACTCGCGTCGTGCGAACAGGTTGAAGTTATTGATGGCGGCAAGGATTCCCGACCAGTCCTCGACGAGGAAGGGAATCCTGTTCGAGTCACCATCCCCGAGAAGCCGGCATGGACACCCCCTCTTCCTCACGATAGGCGATGGCTAGACGCAGCTGATCTCTTTACCCGAGATACCCCAAAGGAGAACAACGAGTGTGGGTGTGTTTGGATGTTTGAATAATTCGCCATCTGGAAGGCTTGTGCCTCCGATTCCATGCCCTACCCGCGCCGTGTTCTGGATCCCGCCCTCCTCTTTTATCTCATTGCCTTCTTTATGGGTTGTCTTTCTGCTATATATATATATACGCACACCCAAAATCGCTTCCTCACGCATATGTAATGGCGTTTAAATGGATAGCCGGAGCCTCACATGGGGCGTATAAAACGCCTTGATTCTTTTTCCCCTCACTTGGGGCGTCTGCTCATGACTTGCATGTATAAGAAGGGTGGCCCTTCTCTTCTGGAGTATGTAAATATTTGATTCTTGTCCACAATGTTGGGATACCATAACATGTATAAATTTCTCGTGGAGTTGAGGCGGGTTGGCGTTTTTTTTTTTTTTTTTTTTTTTTTCCCTTTTTCCCTTCGGGAAAGGGGGGAGGGAGGAGGGGCTGGAAGAAAGAGCTCGAATTGGCGGAGGAATTTGGTCGCCGATTCCGGCCCTCAAAACACAGCAAAGTAATACAAGAACCTCTTGTGTACAATATTTTTGGTATAGCCTTTGGCTACGAGTTGTTGGGGCTCGGGAACGAACAGAAACCGTAAACAGGAGGTTGGCAGCGAGCGACTCAGGAGGCATCTATAGCATACTCACGACCTTTAAATGTCGGCTGCAAGAATATCTAAGAACGAGTCTGCCATCTTCCTAGCTTTCCTAGCTTCGATTGCCATTTTCCGCGCCTCAATCTCCTGTCGTCTAGCAGTCTTTTGCTCCTCCCTGGTGAGCCTGTGGGACTCCGTAGCACGACGTTGCTCCTCCAGAGACTTCATCTGGGCTTTCCGCGAATCTTCGTCTTTGCTAAATTTGTAGAACCCTACCCCCTTATCGCGAATTTCAGAGTCGGCGTTGTAGTGGGTCGCCTCAGGAGGAGTAACGCTGCGATCTCGTTTCCGGGCTAGCTCTTCCATCTTCTCTGGGTCCTCGGGATTGAAAGCCATGGTTTGGATGGCATCTCCGTAGATGAGCGTCTTGGGGGCGGCTGGTCTAGCAGACATGCTTTCGAGCTCTTTTGCACCAGCCCAGGCTCTCTCGCGTTGGCTCTCCATTTTCGCTTTCTCGGCTCTTGTCCCACGCCGCGTGCGTCCGTATTCATCTTCATATTCTATAATCTCATCATCATCGCTCTCACCATCCTCCCCTGGAGCTGGTTCGGAAAAGTCACTGTCGAAAGATTGCTTAGCATCTGCTTCTGACCACTTCCTGTCGAAGTCTACAAGCGGCTCTGCCTCGTTATCCTTCGGAACATATGTGCCTTTTTTCATAGCTGAGTAAAGGCGCGCCTTTTCCCTCATCTTCTCTCGTGACCTGTCCAGCTCGCTTGGCTCCAAGTCCCCAGGTACCGTGTCTCGTAATCTAATGCCTTTCCCAGATTTTCCATGCCCGATATGTTGTTGGCGTATCCCCGACTCGGAATCTCCAGGGCCGTGTTTCTTGGACTCGGTACGGCGCCGACGGCGGGGAGGTGCTTTCATGTCTTGGCCGTCCGTCATTAAAGCTGTCATTTGAGCCATGAAATCAAGAGAACTGCCCGAGGTTGCCTCATCACACCTCCTTTTCTTGGCAGGGCGTTGGCCGTAAATATTACGGTCTTGAGGCATCGCGGTCTACGGCAGCGAGGATCCGGGTCGTTCGAGATCGGGGGGTTCAACTTTGGGTTGAGCAAGTCGGATGGTTCGAGCAACCTGACAACGTAGAAATGTGAAGGTAGTGCCGAGTGTGGCAATGATTCTGTTTGGTGAAGCCAACTGTTAGCCTGCCAAGCTACTGACGCTGAGTCATGCGAAAATGAATCTCGAGTTCTAGCTGAACCGCCTCCCCCCCCTCCCCCCAATCAATTGATTTACTAATGGTTTTTTGATGCTGGGGCGGTGTTGTCCAGTGCCATATACATCGAACTCAACCAGGGAAGCCGAGTCTTGAAGAGCAGAAGATCCGAAAGACGAGCACGAGCGCCGTAAAGGTACAATGGCGACAACGAAGAGGTTTTTGGTTGCAATAATTGGTAGGCTGGATAAAGAGATTTATTTCTATGGTGTTTCAAGGCGGAGAAAGATGCGCTAATTTCTGAGAAACAGGTGTTGGTGGTGTTGGAAAATGCTTCCTCCAACAGCTCCATGCCCTTGCGACGAGGCGATCGTCGCCAAAATTGGATTTGGTCTATATCTCCACCAGCAAGAAGTCAATCTACAACAAGGACTATTCGCCCATCGAGATAGAAGGCGTTGCCGAAGTCCTGGCTCGATCATCACAAGCACCGCCGCCAACCGACGAGCTCGTTGATTATCTGGCCGCAGCTCCTGCCCCAGTTGTTTTAGTAGACAATACGAGCTCTCAGGATATCGCCGACAGCTATCCCTTATTTTTGAGCCGTGGAGTGAATATTATAACTCCCAATAAAAAGGCATTCTCTGGATCATACGCCTTATGGGACGCCATCTTCTCCGCAGCGGAAACGTCCGGTGCCAAGGTTTTCCACGAGTCATCGGTCGGTGCTGGCCTGCCTGTAATCTCGACACTAAAGGACCTTATTGAAACAGGCGATAAGGTCAACAGGATCGAAGGTGTATTCAGCGGTACAATGTCTTTCCTCTTCAACTCGTTTGCCCCAACAGAAGGCTCCGGCGGAAAGTGGTCAGATGAAGTGCGGAGGGCCAAGGAATTAGGCTATACCGAACCCGATCCAAGGGACGATCTGAACGGTCTCGATGTGGCAAGAAAGCTCACAATCCTGGCAAGGCTTGCAGGCTTACCTGTCGCATCGCCCACTTCATTCCCGGTGCAAAGCCTTATCCCCAAGGAACTCGAGTCCTGTGCCTCGGGCGAGGAATTCCTCGACAAACTCCCCCAGTTCGATAAGCAGATGGAGCAGACAAAGAACGAGGCTGAGGCTGAAGGCAAAGTAGTTCGGTTTGTTGGCAGCATTGACATTCCTTCCAAAACCGTGAAGGTCGGGCTGGAGAAGTTTGACAGAGGACATCCCATTGCTTCATTGAAGGGAAGCGACAATATCATTAGTTTCTACACGGACAGGTATGGAAGCAACCCGCTCATTGTCCAGGGGGCAGGAGCTGGTGGTGAGGTTACGGCAATGGGCGTGACGAGCGACCTTTTGAAGACGATCGTTTAGGCATTAGGCATCGTTGGCGAGTGAGAATTCCCAGCCCATAGTCGAAAAAGGGGGGAAGTGGACAAATAAAACTTTTTCTGGCCAACGTCTTGGGGATAATCCATTGCTATGGCGAAGTGGGCTACGGTTGACGTTAAGGCGGAAACGTTCGTTAGGTCTTCGGCTCTTGTAACGTATCCAAGGTAGCTTTTTGCGTTGGTGTCCTGTGTCGGAGAGAAGATGACAGGACGCCTGGATCGTCTTGCCGCTGCGTGGTCGCTGCAGACCCCTGACGAACAGGGGATGCGGTCACCTCATCCGCCCAGTACGTCCTCCAGAGCCAGACAACAAGATCGAGAAAAATAAGGACCGCGACGGGCAGTAAAATTAAAACTGCAATGGCCAGCTGAAGAAATTGGGTCAGTAAATGGGGCCAGGTATTCCGCTGGCCTGGCGGGGTCATGGACATGACTGGATTGATGCTCACCGAAATCCACGATATTGAGCTAATGAAGGTGGACGGGTCACCCGGAAACAGAAACTGGTACGAAGACACCATCGCATTCATAGAACTTGCATCGATCACTGCTATTAAACAAGAACTCGCAGAGGCTGGGCAAGTAGGCGAATAGAACGCAAAATAATATCGAGGAAGCCTGAGAGGAAGCGAATGATATCGATGCTTCGTAGTCGAGCCTTTCTCATCGAAAGGGGTGAGAAGCTTCAATGAATCAAAAGCCAGCACCCTGAACACCTCCCTTTTGGACTGAGCTGGGATGGGATTCAGGAAATTAATTCCCTGCCTGGCAGAATTGAAGGTCTTGATAACTTCCCAGCTGGTTGCAGTTGGAGCATGACTTCGATCCACAAGTGTACCAATTTAGGTAAGCATTGCCCTCAAGCATCGTTTTTGCTTTCATATTGTGATTTTATTGACGGACTCGACAGCTTGATGATATTGCGTTGCCCGTGGTCATGGGTATCAGCCATCAACCTACAATTGACCGAGTCATTACGGCAAACCTCATCGCCTCCAAATCTGGCCTGAGATCGAGGCAAATCAGTTCACTATGTCTCGAGAAGGTCATCCTGAGCAGGGACCAAATGAGAACTTACCCTCGCGGCCTAAGAAACGGCACTACCGTCAACGAGCGCATGCCAATCCATTCTCTGACCATGAGCTAGTCTAGTACGTAGAAACGGCAGATCGATGAAAGTCATTGATGCTAACTTGACGAAAGCCCAACATGTCCGAATGCAATGGACTGGTCTTCACATTATCCCTTTTTCATTCCACCCCGGTCCACCACGGAGTCGTTTCATAAACAAATAGCGAGTCCTGAACTGGATGGGCAAGAAAAGCATGTGGAGATACTGGATATTGGCTGTGGTTTCGGTGGCCTTTCGATGGCCCTCTCCACGCTTATGCCCGAGACCTTAATCCTGGGTGAGCCGATCCTTTTCCTATCATTACAACTTCAAATCCGTGGGGGTTTCCTTTTTTTTTTTTTAACACTGAAGGCTCGAAACGAGAAGGACTTGAAATACGGTCCAAAGTCTCGCAGTACGTTAGGGATTTGATTCAATCCTCGCGAACTGAGAGTGCTATTGCGGGTCCCTATCAAAATGTTTCGTGTCTCAGAGCGAACGCAATGAAGTTTCTTCCAAACTTCTTTAAACAGGGGCAGTTATCGAAAATATTCATCTGCTTCCCTGACCCCCATTTTAAAGCCAGGAAGCACAAGGCTAGGATCGTTTCGGCCACTCTCAGCTCCGAGTACGCCTTTATCCTACATCCAGGTGGGATTATATACACAATTACAGACGTGGAGGATTTACATCAATGGATGGTCGAACATTTTGAGACCCACCCATCCTTCAAAAGAATCTCCCAAGACGAGGAGGAGAAGGATGAGTGCGTACGCCTGATGATGACGGAAACAGAAGAGAGCAAAAAGGTCGAGAGGAACAAGGGTCCGAAATATGTCGCATTATTCAAACGACTCGAGGATCCTCCTTGGTGAGGCTGCGGAGGGCCGGCGAATTGTCGGAGAATCCTCATTCTTCACCGCCCCGACAGAAAGCCACTACAGGCCTGACTCTATAAAATTGTCCCCAAAGCAGCTGTTTCTGCGTACCTTTGTAAACTACTTCGAGGTTTACATGCGAAGCAATACAGGACATTGTACACACCGTTGTACCTCGGTTCTCGAGGCATTGTTGAAGTTACATCACCCTTCGTTATAAACTAGCCGTGTATTGGCGATTAAGTAAGCATTATTTCATTTTGATTACAACAATACTTGTAGAGCCAAGACAGGGGGAACATCATCACAATTGTCGCTTCGGGTTAATATTGTCCTCCATTGAAGTCTTAGAAGGCCGAGTGCTCGGGAACTCTTCCTCTCATCCACTACCTGCCGCTGATTATCGATGGTTTTGTGAGCACAACACACAAGCATGCTCGGAATATTGGTTGGTGCCCTGCATCGCACTTTTCCCAGAGACCAGCGACTGTGCTAAGGAGAAGTGAGATGGTACCTACCACCTCCCTCTCGAATCATGGGCTTCACACAAAAAAATCTAAGTCTTGCCGTTATAGGAGCGTTTATCGCCTGGGGATATGCCATTCATTGGATCCCGGCATTACGTTGGGTGGGATACTCGTTCGTATTTGGTGCCTCTATCACTCTTCTCCTCCTTACGACTCCTCTGCTCAAAGCCAGGAAACCAAGTCGTGCAGGGCGCATGCGCTCACCACGACCTTGTGGACCGAAGTTCCTTGGTCCGAAAACATGGACAGCCGAGTTAGACGACTTTCGATCCAGCCGGGATTACGACCCATCCCCTATATCGACGGATTCTTTGCAGATATCCAACTCCTTTGACGAACTGATCCACCTCATTCTTCGTGATTTCGTGGCCTCCTGGTATTCGCAGATCAGTAGGGATCCATCGTTCCTAAATGAGGTGGATAAGGCTATTCGGCTAGTCGTCTTAAATATTAGAGATCGGCTTCTCGACGTCGATTTAGCTGATGTGATAACGGCGCGTCTCGTGCCTATCTTTACCACGCACTTCAAAGACTTCTACACCGCCGAGACTGCTGTTCGAGGCCGTAAGCTGAACCGGTCAGTTACAGAATCGGAAGAGCTTGATCTTGCTATCGCATCAAAGTACCGCGATGGCAGGCTCCATGTCGCCGCGTCTCTTTCATTCTCCGATACAAAGCTTATCCAGCAGGACTATCTTAGAACGCTTGTGGAGGGTATTCTTCCGAGATTGCTACCGGCTCATCTTCTCTCGAGCAGAGCCGTGTCTACCCTAGTTAAAGAAATCGTGGCGTGTGCGGTACTGTCACCGATTGCCCAGGGCTTGTCGGAACCCGATACTTGGAACCAAGTGATGGAAAATTATGGGCGTACCATGCTCCAAGATAGGTCGACAGTGCGCAAATTGAGGGCGGCCCTTGATCAACATGCCTCTCCTGTTCCGAATCCAGAAAGAGTGGTTAACTTTCCCAGACTGTCACCTGGTGATAGCGAAAGGAAATTCGAGAAGTTCATTCGCGCCATTCGGAAGACGAGCAATCTCTCCGATGCACGGCGGTTCCGCAGCGAAGTATCAAGTCAGTTTAAGAAGGATTCACTCGAAGATAACCAAGATCAGGTCTACCTCCGGCGCTTGGAGATGGGAAAGAGAATGCTTGACCAGCGAGTGTATCACTTAGCAGCTGGAGGCGACCGCATGGCACCGACGCCCTCTTTGCCACACTCGAAGTCCTCTCCGAGCGTCTTCAAGCTCGAAGGCGCCAACCTAATCGAGCTCCTCAGGGATTCTTCCGGCCTATCATATTTCATGGAATATATGGATAGGCAGGGCTTGATGTCGCTCGTGCAATTCTGGCTTGTTGTCGATGGGTTTCGAAATCCTCTGGAAGATGATGGCCAAGATGATGAACAAATTCCAGCCTCCCTCCCAAAATGGTCCAATTCAGACAGAATTGACCTACAGCAGATAGATGAGGCATATTTATCAAGGCCCGAGCTCAAGATTCCATCATCAGCCAAGTTCGAGGTAACCCAATTTCTACGAGCTGGGAAATCCGCGACACCTTTACAGTACTACAAAGCGCGAAAAGCTATCCTTACAGCCCAAACAACAGTATTAGAGGAAATGAAATCGAAATATTTCAAGCCCTTTCAAAGATCAGACTTGTTCTACAAATGCCTAGCGTCCCAAGAGGCTTCAACGAGCCACCCATTATCGGCTTCGGGTGTGCCAATCATGATAGATGCCGCATCCCGCTCAGGATCACTCACAGCATCACCCGGTTTGGGCCCTAAGCCTCGCCCTGCTGCTAAGGCAGCCCCAAGATTGGTGGGCGTGGATGGGATACGATCGAGTTCAATTTCAGATCTTCGAGCGGTGTCTACGGACGATATCGCGATTGGTGGGAGGCTAAACTCGTATAAGATCTTGGATGGTGATGTCAGCAATCCACTTTTCGATGAAGAATGCGAGAATGACGACATGATTGATTCCGTGCAGAGCCTCGACCAAAGCCACATCCAAGCAGCGCCCGACAATCAAGTCGTTCGGGCGGTTGAAGAGGCACTAAATACGATCCTAGAAGACGACAGGCCACAGACGGCCGAGGATCTTCGTGCTTCTCTTTTTGGAAACGATGACGGGGGGGGTCCTTTTGCCGTTCCAACTGATAGTGGCTCGCCCAAGCCTGCCGCCAGTGCGGGGAGGTCGTCACAAGCATCCAAGGAGCCGGAAAAACCAAGTCTCGAGTCCTTAGGTCTGGTTACTTCCAATTCTCGTATTGGAGTTTTCGTGGACGATGACCTCTTCACGGACGAGGGTACATACCTCCCGGACAATATTGAGGATCTCGATGATGCGGAGAATAATGACAACGGGGATGAGGTGCATGAAGCTGCTCCGGGAGACCTAGGTCTGGCAGAAGCAATCACTAAGCTCACGAATGACATCGACCGGCTCAACACCCAGGAAGCCGTCATCGACTCCCTCACGAAGAAGGCCGAGCTAACGAACAATATGGCGGAGCTGAGAATATTGCGCAAATCCAAGGCGAGTCTTCAGCGGGAGCTCAGACGCAAGCGGTTACAGAGGCAACAGTACGTGATCCAGGAGAGCGATAACAGCCTCTACGGACGGTCCACTGTCAAGATAAAGTCCATCCGAGTAGGGAAAGAAGACGATGGGCGGGAGTATGCTTTGTACGTCGTTGAGGTCCAGCGCAACGCTGGAGAACAGGTGCCGGCCGCAACTTGGAGTGTGGCACGAAGATACAGTGAGTTTCATGAACTTCACCAGAAACTGAGATCGATGTATCCTTCCGTCCGTAGCCTGGACTTCCCCCGCCGGCGTATGGTGATGAATTTCCAAAGCGAATTTCTCCGCAAACGGCGTCTTGCACTAGAGCAATATCTTCAAGGCTTGCTTCTGCTTCCAGAGGTTTGTAGGAGCCGCGAGCTTCGTGCGTTCCTATCCCAGAGTGCTGTCGCTCATGGCCCAGAGCTGGTAGACAGGGAGGGAAAAAGGGACATGATTACGCGCTTTTATGACTCCGTTGCCGATGGGGTCGAGGATATTCTTGGGAATATACCCGTATTGGACCAGTTATCGCTGGCGGGACAGAACCTCATTGCAGCGGCGACCAACCAGCTCAACACTGCGGCGAATGAACCCGGCGGCGAAGGCAATATCCCAACAGAGGCGGAGGCAGAACTAAACGCCTTCGAGGATAAAGAGCTCGAACCATTCATCAAACCTATATGTGATATATTCCTAGAGGTATTCGAACTCAACAGGGGGAATAATTGGCTTAGGGGGCGCGCCGTTGTGGTCGTTCTTCAGCAACTCCTTGGTGGGACCATTGAACGAAAGGTGCGCGAGAATATCAAGGCTTTGGTGCAGGAGGACGCCATTTTACGATACATAAACCTCCTGAAAGACCACCTATGGTCTCGCGGACAGCTGATTCGGAACAAGCCTACGCGGACATCTACCGAAAAGAAGAGGTCCCGCAAAGAAGCCAGTCTCATGCTAGCGACTCTGGTGCCAGATCTTGCGGGTGGCGTGGTAGGGAGGCTCAATGCCCAGGCGGCGAGCCGACGCATATTTGCCACATTGAATAACCCCCGATTAAAGTAAGCACGTGGTCTATTGTCTGTAGTGCGGGACTCGTTTGCTAACATTGATCTACAGCTCACATCTTGTATTCACCCTATTAGACGAGGTGGTCGAGGTTGTGTTTGGAAGGCGACCGAATACAATGGAGCCATGATTTCTACTCATACGGAGTACTGAACGACTGCTACCCCTTTCTTCCCCTCTTCCTTCGGGGCCCGAAAACGGTTTTGGGGGGGGGGGGAGAGAGAGTGTGTGTGTGTGTGCGCGCGCGCGGAGCAGGAGGACACTTGTGAGGAATCGATTTCTCTTCTCTGTTTCTCCTCTAGATGTTTCTTATTAGGGGAAGGAGTGAGTTGCAGTGTAGAGTTTGCAATACGTATTCAATGGGTGGATAGAGGTTAGCTAGGGAAATTATATTATAATATTGTAATATCTAATGAAGTCAAGCAATCGACGCGTTCATGTTCGAAACACTTCGTCCTCCAATTGTCCAGACTAGGGCAGAGCAGAGAAAGCAAAGACCTGGACAATTGGAGTTTATGAGGTACCTTTGGACATCAACGTACTAAGCAGCTATTATTATGGCCTCAGGCAGGAACAGAGATAAATGTGTTTGGGCCTTAATCAGTGTCCAGTATGTAAGATTATGTACGAAGTACCAAGTGTGCAAATAAACTACAACCGCGCTTGCATAATTCAACCAAGTCCCCACTTCCCAGACCAACGCACTTGACCCAAACAATAATCTCCTCTCCAATATCGAACTCTCTTTCTTCTCAGCAAGTATCATCCTGTATCCTTCAACCACAACCTACCTATTCTCTCAAGCTCGCGCACAGCCGGTCCTCGCATTTGGCCGGTAAGATTATTAGGCTCCACCCCGGCGACCGGATCTGGAAATACCTCTCGCAGTTAACTGGCCGCCGTCTCATTCGTAGACATGACGGAGGTTTCTGCAACGCGGCTCTACCTAGGAAATCTTCCCCGCAATGGTTAGTCGCAGAATATGATGCCCTCTTCAGACCTGCACCGGCGGGCCGACGGTGGACTGGCCATAAACTCCGCCGGAATCCCTCTCAATCTAAAGATCCGACCACTTCGTTCTCATGGATGCGACTGGATGCACCTCAATATCTGGCCGGCTGCCTGCACCCCTACCGTCAACCGCTAACTAAAAGCCCACTCGAGCAGTGTCCAAGGCCGACATCGAAGCCCACTTTTCCAAGTATGGCAATGGGAAGATCACTGAGGTCAAGCTCATGAATGGCTTCGGCTTCATTGAGTATGAAGACCCGTTGGATGCTCGTGATGTTGTACCTGGTAAGGAGATACCAAAATGGACTTTCATACACCACGCATCCGACCAAGGATCCTCGTTGCTAACATGGCTGTCGTCTAGCTTTCCGTGAGTTTATCCGCCACGGCTGCCCACGAACGCCCTGCCAACACCCTGCATGCTCCTCCCGCTCCAAGCTTGTATCAAGGAAGAATCCCTATGCTGACCAGTGTAGACGGGACCGATTTCATGGGAGAGCGCCTCACTGTTCAATTTGCTCGTGGAAATCGTCATCGCGAAGGGTTTAGCGGGCACGAACGCGCCCCTCCCCGACCGCGTCGCACCCCCCATCGGATGCAAATTACCGGGCTACCCAACGACACTAGCTGGCAGGTCTGTTAATATCGATTCGCCCCTTCTCTTTGGACTCCAGGAGTGTCTTTTCCTCCGTTTGATTGGCCGGCTTCTTGCGTTCCACTGCTCCTGGCACTCTTGTTGAGGCTGCTCTGGCCACTCTTCTTCCATCAGTCCGATATGCCTCTCCCCCCGTTTCCGTTCCTTGTTCCACTTCGCGCATGGATGGATTATACTCTACCCCCCCCGGCATACACGTCGACTTTGCATTTGGTACCGGGATCCGCATCTTCCTCCCGGTGTTGTCCTTTCCGTTCATAATTCCGCGTCCAGCCTTTCGGATGCCTCCATTCATTGGTTCTGCTTTGGTACCCTGCGCAGCCACTTACATGGAACTGGAAATAGGACCTAAAAGACTTCGCACGACAATCCAATCTTGACGTGGTCTATTCCGAGACTGGCCGCGATGGAACTGGACGAGGGTGCGTCTGCGCAGCTATTTCACCCAACCTTAGAGAGATGCGCCTGCTAACTCACCATGGGAAGCTTCGTGGAATTCGAGACCGCAGCAGACTTAAAGACGGCAGTGGACAAGCTTGATGGCAGGGAGTTCAAGGGCAACGCCGTTTCTTGCATTTCAGATGTACGCCAACGTAATCCCCCACCCCCCCGAAGGTCGCAACCGGACATTCATTAACATCGCCATGAGTAGACACAACCAGATCCACCTCCCCGAGAACGTGCTCGGTCCCGGTCCCCTGGGAGACGTCCCTATATGCACCCGCAGGACGATTATGATCGTCGGGGCCCTCCTCGAGGATACAGTCCTCGCCGTGAGGGCTATCGAGATGGCTATCGGGAGAGAAGCCCCGGTCGACGACCACCCCCACCTGACTACTACGATGATCGTAGCAGAGGCTATAGGTCTCCACCACGCCGCCCTCTTGACGATTACCCGCCGCGCCGCGGCTACGACGATCCTTATCGTCGTGACTATCCCCTACCTGCAGACCCCTACGCAAACGGTAGGCCGTACGATCGACCTCCTAGGGACTTCCCCCCTCGTGACGGGGGCTATCCTAGGGATGGTTATGGACCAAGAGACTACGACCGGGGCCGATACTGGTAAATCTAATCCTTTACCCTTGTCCGAATTGAGCCTTGACGAGAATATTAGATCCACTTTATGCGAGTTCACGAGGCCGAGATAACAATGGCGGTAACGCAGAGGCGTGGGCTGGTGTAACTTTTGTAAAATGAGTGGTGTGTCTTTGGTTGTAAGCGAGAATGCATGATTCCGTGTGTGGGAGGCTGCGACAGGCGTCGACAGCTCCGTATATGTAAGGAACGAGGTTAAGGCTATGATGGCGTGGGCTTTTCGTCTGATTATTAGGGTAGAATGAACAATCGTCCAATGTCATTGGGAGTTCTTAATGCCGCTCATCGAACGGTCCTGGCGGTTTGCCGTAATGTGATGGTATACACGTATTTTCACCCCCCTTCTCTCCCTCTCTCTGTGAAGACTTGATTTGGTGTCCCAGGGTAGCGTTCTCTACGCAACGAACAGACCCACTACTGGCTTCATGACATATACGTAAACGCCGACCGGGACTCGTCGTAATTTGTTGCCGAGTGACCCTTGGTAACTGCGCAGTCATAGGATTTTGCTTTTGTTCCTTTTGTTCACCCTACATGATAATATATATACAACATTGTAACAACTGCCCACATTTCACTTGTTGCTCGCGAATGACGTGGCGGTCCGACGAAAGGGGGGTTTTGGCGCCCGAGATCAAGGGTCACACGACGCATGGGTCTGGCGAATGCTTCGGACATCAGGCAGTTTTCCTCCATTGCGAATGGAGGCCAATTAGACTGCTAATAGTACCCGCCATGCCGACAAGACCATCATCGAAGCCAACCCAACCAAGAGCCGAAGTGGGAATTGTCAGATCGCACAAGTCGGAGAAGAGCTGGAGGCGGCTGGCCGATCTTTCGCTAGTCCCGCGCGTTAGATACCAAGGCAAGACGTGGGTAGGAGCTTGAGCACAAAGTGCTCTGTGGTCTAGGCGACATAGAACTTACATGGCAATCTTCTTGCTTTCCACGACGCCTTCACCCTCCTTCTTATCTACGCGGGCCTCCCGCCTGCGTAGGATGTGCAAAGTGTAAAGTTGAGCCACTATGCTACAGAGGATACCGACGGCCCAGAAGCGGTATGCTTCGCGCTGGAGGGTCTTGGCCCTTTCCGACTTGCGCACACCTAGCGCATCCAGAAGTGTGGCCAAGTCGCAGGACAAATAGCCCGCATAGCCAAGCTGGCGGCCAACGGTTGCATAGCGCAGCACGGGGTCCATGGTTTTGTTGTCGGCGGCAACTGCAGCGGCTTTGAGGTGTTCGATATTCTTCCCAGCACGGAATACCTTACGGGCGAGCCCAAACTGTCGCTTGAGAGCGTCCCAAGGAGCTATCTCGGTCTTAGAGCCATTGGTACGAAACAGGTACCAGGAATAAAACCTGGCGAAGTACTGGATTGTACGGAGTAGTTTATCACGGCCCACCGTAGTTGCGACAAATTTGAGATAGTGGGAGACCGTGGGATGATAGACAACTGCGTCGGCGACCATGATGAAGTTTTGCGCAGCCAGCGGGACACCCGGGGGTATAAGGGGCAACAGCAAGGAGGAGGGAAACGGTCGGTAATTGCGCAGTGATTTTAAGGTGGGCGTAAGAGGCAAGCCGATTCGGGTTAAGAACGGCGCGATGGTGATAGCGATAATGATGGCGATGGTGATGGCGACGGGGGAGGGATGGAATAGGAAGGGGGAATTAAGGAAGCGAATTTGAGAATCTCGGAGGGGCAACTTGAGCACATGTCGTGCCGAGGTCTACTTGAGCCTAGGAGCATTTAATCATTTAACATTGAGGTTGCAAAGTCCGACATTGTGAGGGAGCCATGGCACCGGTTCCATTGTCTGCCATGATCCTAAGCCGTTGGTCGATCTACCCTCGACCAGCCCTCGTATGAAATAGAGGAGATTGGAAATGTTGACCTTCATCGATGGTCAACCCAACAACACACAGCACACGCGACATGCCTCAATGTACGAAGTGTGTGGAGCTTTTTGGTCCTGGGTGCGCAAAATCCTGCGTTCTGCTCTGATTGGCAACCGACCGACGCACTTGCCGGGCTGGTTATTTGTACTTCGTGGCACCTTGCTTGTTATATCTATACTCATGCCTCCCGCACCTCAGTGGTGTCGCATTGAATGAGAGACAAGCACGAGTACTTCGGACAAGGGCGGAGGGTGGGACAACCATGAAGCATCGGCTCGTTCCTCAGCTCTGCAGCTTGATGCCGAGAGAGACTTGGTGTCGCCGACAAGCCTTGGCAATCTGTCAATTCATGAAGATTTGGATCAAACAGAACAGAGTTCATTGCTTTTAAGAAGCTTTTTTTTTTTTTCTATTCTATTCTATTTTATTTTGTTTTGTTTTGTTTTACAAAGGTATTGAACATTTTTATCCGTCCTCTGCTGGGGCGGCGTACCTCGGTATTTTCACCCCTCATCCATGTACGCAGTACAAAGTATCATTTGTATAATATGTACGAAGTATCATACTTGTATACGTATGATGGATCATGTGTCCGGTCGGGGACAGTGTCAAATGCAAAGGGGCACTGAGCACTGAGCACTGAAGGGAGTCCAGTCGTCTCCGAAGCCTCGGGTGCTGCCGGCTTATCAATTTTGGAGGTTCCGGGAAATCCTCTTTTCATGACGTTTGGATTTTATGAGCCCTCCTTGCCGGCTTGTAACCGTTCTCTGACTGTCTGAGTGGCGGAGTGCCGTGCTCGGTCCATCCAATCCGACCATTGCATCATCAATTGATGGCTTCTTTGTGCCGGCTACTGCTTTACTAGCCTCCGATAGCCGCTCCATGGCCCGAGACGAACTCCTCTATTTCCGGGGTAAAGGGAGGGGAGGAAGCCTCCCGCTAACTGGCACGATGATAACCTTGATGCCTTGGAGACTTCGCTTCCGCCGTCTTTCATTGAGTCTGGACAGACGCAGAATCACCTTTCCCTGGCCTTGGATTCTATCGCCAGCCCTTTCGTCACAACACGTTCTTCTCAGGTCGTCGCACTTACGATCAACGTCCTGCGCCTGTCTCTTAGTGATATCATCTTGAAATCACACCAAAAGTTTTTCACACACCCTTCACTCTGGTTCCACTCCCCCTCACTTCCCTGTTCCCTCAAAGTCCCCCCTCACACCGTCGTCAAACATGGCTGGGCAGAACGGCAATTCATCCGGCTCGGAGATGACTGAGAAGGTCAACACGAACATCATCACGCTGACGCGCTTCCTCACCGAGGAGCAGGCGAAACATAAGGAAGCTACGGGAGATTTCACGTATGTCCTTGCTTCATTCACTCTTTCCCCGCTTCCTTGGTTCCGCTCCTTGGAGCATCGGGGACTACCCAGCTTGGGATCTCGACGATCTGACCGATAGTTCATACACCTAGCCTGTTGTGCCACGCATTGCAGTTTTCCTTCAAGTCAATTGCCTACTACATCCGCCGTGCTACTCTGATCAACCTGACTGGCCTTGCTGGCTCCGCGAACGTTACCGGCGACGATCAAAAGAAGCTTGATGTCATTTCCAATGAGCTCTTTATCGAAGCCATGCGATCTTCGGGGAAATGCGCCGTCCTAGTATCCGAGGAGGAAGAGAATGTAATCTTTTTCAAGAACAACGCCGGCGCTCGGTATGCCGTTGCATGTGATCCCATTGACGGAAGCTCGAATTTGGATGCCGGCGTCTCGGTTGGTACGATTTTCGGTATCCATAAACTCTCCGATGACTCCACAGGCACCAAGGAAGATATCCTAAAGCCAGGCTCCGAGCTGCTCGCAGCAGGGTTCACCATGTACGGCGCGTCAGCCCAGCTTGTGATCACAATGAAAGGGGGCACTGTCAATGGCTTTACCCTCGACAACGGACTCGGCGAGTTCATTCTCTCACATCCAAACATGCGATTGCCACGGTCGAGGGCAATCTACTCGGTGAATGAAGGAAACTCACTTTACTGGGCAGATAATGTCAAGTCATACTTCAACTCGCTGAAAGAACTCCAGGAAAACGGCAAGCCGTACAGTGCCAGGTATATTGGCAGCATGGTTGCAGACGCCTACCGTACACTTCTGTACGGTGGCATTTTTGCCTATCCCGCGGACAAGAAAAGCCCCAAGGGCAAGTTGAGGATTCTCTACGAGTGCGCCCCAATGGCAATGGTCTTCGAGAATGGTAGGTGGTGCCTCTTCCACCCCCGCCTTTGGTTACATACTAACGCCCATCGCAGCTGGCGGCCAGGCCGTTGATAGCAACATGAAACGAATGCTAGACGTCGTCCCCGTAGACATCCACGACCGGTCGGGTATCTTCATGGGCAGCTACGATGAGATCGAAAAAGTTAAGGCATTCCATAAGTCTTAGCCTTTGATACGACACCGGCTTCCGTTCCTTGAAAGACCCCGTCACCTGAGTTGTAGATCTCTTAATAGAATGATTTCGTGAAAACAGAAGAAGTATCCACATGCCCAACAGCTCCGAGGAGATTATACCATATTTGGGATAAGTCGAGGAGTTGTTGACTTCCATATTTTGTAGTCCTCGCGGTGACCGTACCCTCGGTCGTATTTACCTTCGCTCAGAGGAATCCCCAGTACCCTCGTCAAGATTATATAGGCAAACAAAGGGCTAATATATGGCAAGGCAAAAACCACGAGGCGTCCTTTACTGCTGCCAGGAAGGCCAATGGCAACCGGGACTGGTTCTGACCAGAGAGTGCTGAAAGCCGCAGTGGCAACACCAAACCAGAACGTGCTGTCCCCAGAGTAGTGAGGGTACTGCCTAATTCGAGAGTGAGCGATATGTTCCTATCCTCGTCAGGCGAGCTGGGCAGTCTACCTCCGAGAGAAGAGACCCCGTCTTATAAAGACTTCGTCGTGCTTCATCTCCCGCTTTTCCCTCCGCCATTTAGCCCTCTGGTGGTCCGTCGCCGCCTCGGTCACAAAACCAGCCAGTGCCACGGTCAGACCGAGCAGTTCGAGGCTTGAAAGGCCTTGGAAAGGAGCCAAGACTGATGGGGGAACTGCGTTGACGCATATCACCGGCATTGCACAACACGCGACCCAGCAAACTCGGCCGATCCAAACCATGCTAAAGTGTAGAGGGGAGCCTCGGATTGTGTCGAATCGTGCATCTTTTCCATCGCGGAGTATCCGCGCGAAGAGGAAAGATCCCACTTCCATGCCCAGTTAGTAAGTAGGTTAGCTCCCCAGCAATCTTCGCCATTCCTTGGCAGCCACACACGGAAACTCACACCTGAACGCCCGTAAGGCTACAAAGCCAGTGAGGATAAGCTGCCTCCGGTCACAGACGGCTCGAGATGAGTTGATCCCGGAAAGGTTATTGAGACCCTCCCTGGCCAAGCGGGTGGGCAGGGTGTCATAGTCCTGCCTATTGGAAAGCGTGACATCAACGTTTTCCCCGCCAGACGAGCGCAAGAGACTAAAGATACAAGCGGCAAGAAAAGCGAGAGCTCCGCTCACATCGTATCAACGCTCGGTGCCGACGACGATAGATGGCAGGCCGACTACTCCTTGAATGAAACAAACAATGGTGAGAGTGTCCCGTATTAACACCAGAACATTGTCCTGAGTCGCCTTGGGAGTGTCGTCGGCCATCCTGATCAGATCTTGGCCGAATCACGATGGTTGAATCCGATTTTCGGGTTTACCAACAATCCTACTGCGGGCTCCTGCTGAATTCCAGAGACGTTACCGAGACAGTGACAGAAATGCTGGCTGTGGACTGGGCATATGCTAGTTGCTGCCCGTGAAAGGGGGATGAGAACTTTATGGGACGGAAGAACGTAGTTCCAGGACCTCGAGTTCAACACGCCATCACGGTTAAATTAGTTCAGCCCATTATCAGAGTGTCTGGCCTCTAATTTTCACTCGTCTTCCAGTTGGTTCAGTTGTCATAATAACAGCTCTTTCATCATCGGTTCTCAACCCAAGAAATTGGGTTTCGACTCATCCATCGATTAATAACGGAAGCGACAACAATCAGTTCTTGCATTGGGAAGTTTTACAGTGGCTTCCAGCGGGAACGGTCCAAAGAGCCATTGGCCACTAAGAATACATCTGCTCTTTTGATTTTGATGTGCGATGTTGCCGTCAGGGCTACACCGATTTGGCTCAGTATGGTTATTTTTATATCCCCCATGTTAATAGTAATTTTCTTCTTTCTCTCCTTTTTTTCAAAATTTTATTTTTATTTTTATTTTTATTTTTTTTTCCCAGAATAAATAAATAAATATTCCAGTGAGAAATGCAGATGATTAGATGTGAATTGTAATATAGCTTAATCTCCATTTCACTAATGTCCGCATATCCGAACGCCAAACGCTGAACCAGAGCCATCTCCAAAAAGCAAGCCTAACTTCGTTCCAGGCGTCAAGCACTGTAGTACACTCTCAACTGAACGTTCCGCCACGTAGTGTGCCTCCTAAACATTGATAAACAATGAATATTAAACAATGGCGGCGAGACAGGAGAGAGGAGCGCGGCAGAAGGGGAAGGAAAAAAGATGGAACAGAAAAAGCAGATTCTAATATCATCAAGATTCATAATAAAAAGCCGTAATGAGTTACTGTTCCCTCGTTGGTTTGTGAGCAGTAGAAAGACATAAATGCGATGCGGTAGTTCTCTCACTTCCGTGTTAGTGGAGATCTACCTGGGCGGGTCAGAGCGGAAACAAAAACGTCGGTCGTCAACCTGCATGATGATGGACCATACCCGGAGATCCGGGCATCGAGAGAGGTGTCGTGGGATATTCGTAACCAGCATCTGAACAATTCGCTGAGTGGTCAAACGAATGGGTCAGTGGTGGGGTCTGAGTACGTTGTTAGCAAATTGTAGAGAGATGTCGACATGGGTGTAAGTAGCGAATCCAAACATACGTGGGCACCTGGGCTGTCGTAATGAAGTGTAGTGTTGATGTCTATGGCTGGGATGAAGCCATAACTGCTGTAGGCAGAAAACGAATCATCCGGGGTATAAAAGTCACGTTTTGCGTCATCGCCAACGTGTGGCATGGATGGGAGAGTGGTTGATGGGGTCCCGGAAAGATAGTCTGGATAGGCGTCTACGGTGTTGGCCGTGTAGGATTGAATTGGCACAAAAGCAGTCATAACTGGCTCATTGCAAGGCGTGTAGGGCGAGCTGGGGTAAAGGGGTGGTGTATTAGACCTGGCGCGCCCGTCCCATACAGGCAGGACACGATAATCGTCATGCCGACTGGTGGGCTTTTGTTGGCTTTGTTGAGAGGCTCTTGACGATCTTTGGTTCTTTGCAGGAGCAGGCTGCTGGCGTTTCTGAGGTTTCCCCACACTCGTCGTCGAGCCGTGCTTTCCCGCACCAGGGCTCTCGTCACTGGCCCGTCTTTCAAGGTCCTCCAGTCGTTGCTTTAGCTTTTTTCCTTGACACAAGACAGATGTGTTAGTATGAGCGGAAACTTAGTAGCGCCGATGCAACTTTCTTCGAGGTGCCAATCGAGGGCCTCGAGGGGTCTGTGTGTGCACGGTAGTCAACGGGGGTTAGTGGAAGACATACGGTAATTGCGCTGGGCAATTCGATTTTGAATTCTTCTCCTTTCAGCAAGATCGGATATTTTTGTCCAGTCCTCATCTGGGTTTGCCGAACTGCTAAAGGCACTACTCATGCCATGCTGGCTAGCCGGGAAGTGCCTCTGACCTGGCAAAGGCGGAGGATATGAGTATTGGTGTTGGGGCATCGCGACGGACATTGGTAGGAATTAGGAACGGTAATGCTAGTTAGGGAAGGCAGGAAGACGTGTCTTCAACACGGCAAACAGGATGAGATGGTGCCCAGGAGAAATATGCCACGGAGCGAGAGAAGAGAGAAATAGCCTGGAGCTGGGACCTTTAAATAACACATCTCGGCAAGGTTCGCCGAGGGGAGAGCCGCCCGCATCTTTATGTCCTGCGACCTCATTCTATCCCCACCTCCCTGGCCCTATAGCGCTCGCTCTCCCATGCAACACTGGCATGTGTGGCTATAATTGGGTGGTGGGAAGGTCATCCTGCATTCGAGGAAACCGCTCCAAGGAAGCCAATCCTTCACGTAGGGCTTTCCGTATGTACACTCCTGTCGGCAAACATGGGAGGAATGAAATCCGAACGTGCCGTGGCGGCCGAAAGATGCTATTTGCGGAAGTGTTACGAAGTACGAAGTCGAGGGGAGTGAGGGGGAATGGAGGGGAGGGAGTGGGCTCCTGCTGCGGTGGTAGGTCAGTACGAAGTACTTCATAGGGCAGACGACAGGGTGCAACATGGGGAATGGTTTCGGTTGGTCTGGATCGGCAAAGTCCCCGGTGCTACATTAAGGTTGGAGAACGAGGAGACACACATCACCATGCGGATAGCTATCATTTGACGGTTTAAGAGACGTGGGAAAAAAAGGGCGTGGTCGTCGGACGGATGACCGCTTCGCCCGGAATCAATGGATCAGGATGCCACGCAAATGTAAATTGATGGGCGATCTTCGTTCCTCCGCGGCTGGATGCCGCCCGAGTGCAAGGTAGGGCCAACCAGAACAAGTGCAGTACCAAGTACTACTTTGCACGTAAAGTGCCATTGCCTGGGTGCGGGGCAGGGGTCTCTGCCTCTCCAATACTCCGTGCTTCGCAGCACGCACAAGCCAGCCGCGCCGGGGGGAATGAAGGATGACAAAAGCAAATGGGTCGAAGTCACTGAGTCAAAGCTCCGAGAAGATCCTGTAGAGCCGGAGGTCGCGAAGCTGGTGGGAAGCTCAGCGAATGCAAATCGTCCGTCCTTGTGCTTGACGAGGAGGCTTGTGCCTCGTAGGGCTGTGGAGGTGTGTCATAAAGAAATGACCGAATGAGGAGGTGGTGGCGGCCGACCCCTGGAAGTGGTAGATAAGCCAGTGGGCGACGTGATTGGCCGACGAATTTCAGAAGCGAGCAGTGCAAGGGTATAATTATCAAGCCAGGTAAAAAGTACCCCATTGATGTGAACGAAGTACTTTCCTTCACGTGGTCGTGACATCCAAAGTGCAGCGTCAACTCCACAGGTGCTTCGCACTCAGTACTACTGCGTAGTTTACTTGGGAAGCCTTCAGTCTTGTTTTCTTGCCCTTTCTCTTTGTGCTTCGAGTCTCCTCCTCCTTTTCCCTTTTCCTTTGGGCGACGTTTGACTGACGGGGGTTGCGGCTCCTGGTTAATAATTCCCGTCTTCGTCGTCCGTGCTCCTCAGATGAACTTAGTTTACTTGTCGGTGGCAGTGCTAGCCACGACCTCCCTGGCTGGGCCAACCCATGCACACGCTCTCGGACTCCTGACCAATGGGATGGAGGCACTATTGCGGTTCGCGAATTGAGACGGAGTGGGCTGGGAGGACAGTACGAAGTACTAATAGCAAAACCAACCTACGTGGCATTTGTGTGGGAGTATATGGACGAATACGACAATGCGTGCACACAACGCTCGTGGAAAAGGAAAGGAGGCGGTACTCCGTAGTACTTCTTCCACATGTGTGACGGAGTAGTACACCGAGAGTACTTTCGAAGGACCCCACACCGTTGATCCCCTCGTAAGTGCTCCTATCAAGGGGCTCGCCCAGCCACAATGGGATCGGACAAAATTACGAATCAGGAAGTAGTCGAAGAATAGGACCGAGTACTGGGGACTCGAAAGTCCCTCTCACAAATATCAATAATGGTGCCCAGCACTTCGAAGGAAGCGGGGTTATTACACATACACCAGCGTGGCTATTCAGCCCTGCCATTCTCCTTCGACTGGCCTCGAGGAGAGGAACCATTGCGGAGTACAAAGTACTCTACATCGGTACTCCACAGTTAATTGATTGCTAAATTTGTTTCGGGGCTATGCTAATCTCGCAAGGAAGCATCCTTTCTCTTGGAGAGAAGTTTCCAGGTCCATGGATGCTATCGGCATTGACCTTGGCCTCGTGGTGCACAGTCCAGCCAGGCGTGTTAAGGTGCTGACAGGAAGAACCAGTTGACGTTCTCATCTGCCTTGGCCTGAAGGAAAACGGCAAGGTGTACCACCCTGCAGCGTACATGAAGCCACCCGAACCTGCGTCCTGATTTCTTCAGTTGCGCCGACGTGAAAACAGGCAAGCAGTCGAGGATCGTTTCCTCAGAGCCTGGACCTCGCCCACACCCACGGTGCTGGATGTGAAGGGAACGCTGTTATGGGCTTGTGGATTGGGAAGCGGTGCTAACTGTTCGTAACCACCTTCAACTAGCCCAGCTGGACTTGCCCTCTAAGCAGCGGGCGAGACAGGAAGGGTATTTCGAGAAACTACTTCGTAGATGGTTCTGGACTAAATGAACAGGATGCGAAGGCAGTTTGCAAGGCTCGGCCTGTAATTTACTGATGAACGAGGATGTGTCGAATTCCGTCGTTGATAATACGCCAAGGCATAGGAACGAGCAAGCCGATTGTCGTACAAGTACGAAGCACATACGAGTGGAGAGTACTTCGTAGAGGCGGAACTTTTGAAGCTTTTACTCATTATCGAGGAAAGGTCCAACAAAAACGTACTGAGGTACCCTGGAGATTGGTGATACAAAGGTACTTCAATGACTCTCTTGGGACTTTGCAGTGCGACAACCCAATTGTCATTATGAAGTACGGCCGTAATTGTACACAGGTGTAATTAAAATCTTGCTCGTATAGGGCTGACCTATCAAGGCCTTGCATCAAAGGATGACGATGCACGGTGCTGCTCATGTACTTCGTACTTCGTACACAACCTTGGTCCTGTATGTTTTTGAGTTCCATAACTCGTGGTGCATGAGCGTACTAATACTAGTACTACACAGCATTTATGGTACCTATGTATCACCTGCAGGCCTGCCACCGCCGTTTTTGGCTGGAGAAAGTCACTATTGTTTGGCAAAACGGCGGATTTGTCTTTTCCCGGTAGGGCTGATGTCGACGATGGCACCGAGGTCTTCGCCTCCCTCTCCTCCATCTTCATTGGAGCACGCGAAATACATCCAATTACCAATCCTCCGCTATTTCCCCAATTGCCTTGCAGACTTGCATCATATCATGTATGCAACATTCGACAAGCACTCCCGTAGCCCTATGAGATGCAAACAAATCAGTATCCTTTGCTGCGTCGAGGTCGGTGGCGACCTGGAACATTCACTGCCACAATAGTAACCTTAAAGTCGCCAACTCACCATGATTTACCTTGTGTATGATGGGACAAGATCGTGAAGACAGCCCCTCAGTTCCACTGGACGACAAGGCCACTTACTAATGACATGCCATGCTGATTCAAAGTAACACAGGGAGCATATGAGCAAGCCCACAAGTAGCTTGCCGTGAAACCTGTGATTTAGAGCGAGGAAAGAAGATGTATCATTATTTTATTCTTTTTTGTTTCTCTTTTAATCTAGAGTACAGGGGGGTATAATGTATTCGTTATGACCAAGGCGACGTGCAACTAGAGGAATGAAGACAAATTGCCGAGGGCCAAGGAGGGCAGTGCTCTCCAGATGGATATGATATTGACGAGGTACTTCTCATCAACCCCTCCTATCTAACATGCTCAGATATTAGTCATTATTGAGATTTTCACTTATCTCAACCTTCACATCTGTTGCATGTGAGATATAGCTAGGACTGACCTGCGCAAAGCACAGAAGCATAAGAGGGGGGAGGGGGCATAGTGTAGTGCAAGGTGCGAGAATGTTGCTTGTTTTTGTTGAAGTAGGGACGCCCTGAAGCCTGAGATATTTGACTGTTTATGCAAAATTCCCTAAGTGAGATAATGGGAATGCTGCACTGAGGACGTACAGCTAGAGGCCCGGGTGATTCCCACTACCATGATCAACGACATTGTCCGAAAGGTTGATAAGAAGCTGCGCAAGGCACCTTTTCGTCGCGGCGTCATCTCGGAGAACCGACGAGAATGTCGCATCCCGAAGGGGTTCTGGGAGACATTGTCTGAGAGCCTCTCGTGCTCGAGCATTATCACTCAGTCTAGAACACGAATAGATGTCAGCGAACTGAAGCATTGGTATCGAGGGAGGCCAAGATTGGAATACACCATACCGAAGAAAACAGCGGACGACATGCTTCAGAAGTCGCGCGGTTTGCTGCTCAACAAGTTGGTTGACCATGTTGCTCAAGACGGTGCCAACGGCGTAAAAACGTTCGTATGTTGCGCATATGTAGTTGAGGCCATTGTCGTCGAGTAGAATCTTCTGGACAATGAAAATAGCCACAGTCTTGCTGAGTTCCGAACCCGTCTCCATGATACGGAGACAAAGGGGGATTATTTCCGTCGTGAGAAGGAAATTAATGACTTCTGTGGAGTCATTTTTGACGAGGGCCCCAATGACACCCAGAGAGGTTAATCGAAGGTATTCGAAGGGCCTTGATTTTGATGTCGTGTTCAAGAAAGGATACAGAAAGAGGGGGATATGAGCTATGGCCGTTAGAACGCGAGAAAAACACAAGCAAGTTACCAGATTGGAATTCGGGGCAAGACGCTTACCGTTGAGGAAAAGGGTGCGGGTCTCGTTGTGTGAGGCAACACATTGAAGAAGAGCCAAGGCGTTACAAACACGGTTTGAAGCAGCGGCGGTGAGCTGAGACGGGTTGAGAAGCGTGTAGACAGAAATAATTTCCTGTAGCAAAGATGTCATCACTCCTGAGAAAAGGCATTAGCAAGAATAAAATAAACGCTACATTCCTAGATGACTACTAACCGAAGGAATGCCATAGAATAAGCGCAAGTTCGGGCACCTGTTCCCGCTTCTTGCTTAGCTCAAGGAGGGCGGCCTCCCTTGTATTCTCATTGAGCAGATCCGCGATATAAGCCATTGTCCTTCGATTATCTTCCGAGATCAACGGCTCATGACCGGTATCGTGACCATGGGATGCAGATAGCCCGCCCAATGAGTTGTGCATAGTGGGAATCCGACTGTAGTGCTGTTGCTGGGCTGCAGAAACAGCCGCAGCCTGATGTTGCTGCGTGGTTTGCAACCAGGGGGCATCCCCATGGGGGTACAGCTGGTGGTGCCCGTAGACGTGTGTTGGCATCATTTTCAATGTTGGCGAGGCTGCTGTTTTCTCCAAACCATTCCTCGGAGCCTACATCCGTGCGAGCTTCTCGCTTGTCGTGTGGAGGATGTGACCTTTCTGCGACGCCGAGATTATGAGAGGGCTGGATATCGTAACTTGGCGTTTATGGCGGGGCCTTCGCTTAAAGGTTATGGTGATTCGATTCGTGGAAGAGAGAGGAAGGAAATTTTCATTGAGAGTTTGGCGTCGCTTAGGTGTCAGGAAAGCGAACGGGTTGATGAGGATGAATAGTGCTTTCGATGGGACCCAAACCTGGGGTTTCAGGAATATATGGTTAATTATCGGCTAAATACGATCACGCTGGCTCAACAGAACACACTAAAATTACACGTATGGTTGGAGTGTGTTTCGAGGAGACGCATGTCTCAAGGTACAGAATTATTACAATAATAAATGAAGCATGCCTTCCCTTGGCTTCAAAGCCCCGACGACCTATATAATAAGTAAACATGTGCCCTAGTAGGATAAGCCCCATGGCTTTCGTCGAACAAGTAATGCCCCTCCCGTCATGTCATTCAAGACCCCCCTGATTACACGTCGGTTTCACCCCAGTGGCTGCGAAAAGTTAGGCTTGCGGGACTGCCAAGATGAGGAGAAGACAGGAATTCAAAGTCTGATCTCCCTGAGTATTTGGTCTGCCATACTCTTGTACTGCCAGGTATTTCCGGCTATGCGCTTAAATTGGATACCGTGAAGGGATAGCAGCGGCACCTTGACAATAAAAATTTCGAATTCCAGGATCATGCTGCCGCCAAGGTCACTTTGAACCTGGGTTGTTGTTTCGCCAGCTGCGCGCCGTGTCCCAAAACCATGGTCCGGCGGGCCACTCCCCTCGGAAATATCAGAATTGGAGGACACGGCGTCGGTTACGCCTTTATTTGGTGTTCTTGGCGTCATTGGGGGACGGTCGAATTCACGCATCTCCTCTCGCTCCTTGTCGACGCCTCCTATCAAACCTCCAAAACTAAACCGTCTCTTATGTCCGGGAGTGTGAATGGGTGGGCTTGCTGGTTGGTCAACGACCTTTCTCAGGTCAATGCTCGGAGTATGGCGACAGCTGAACCCGCCCCTGATCTCCGCATAATCAACGCCCAACTGACTAAGGACTCTCTTGAGTTCGGCGCGTATTTCTGGCACGGATTTCGGAGATGTCGTTGACACACTGAACAACCCCTTCAAGAAGACTGGCTTAGCGAGGTCTGAACTATCAAGCCTATCGGTTGAAAGACCACTTTGCTCGCCGTGATCTTGGTCTGTTTCCTCCGGAACGTTGGCCTCCCTAGCCTCTTCTCGAAGGAGTCTTCTCCGTTGGATACTTTCACGTCTGGCATGGCCAAGGGATTTCGCGCGTACGGAAGAGGACCTTGGTTTAAGGTCTGGACCGCGCTCCGATGGACCGCGCTCATATATAGCAGATTGGTCGGACCCACTTGTTGGTGGCGGATCCTTTGAAATTCGGGCTGATCCCCTCCGTCTTAGGTCTGCAGAGTTGACGCTGGTGGATCGACCCAGGCCCAACCTTGTATGACGACTTCCGCCGCCGGAGGAGGCCGGGGGACTTAATAGATCGCTATGATGTGGCTGGCTCCCACCTGTGCGAAGACTGGCATAATCTTCACGATCCCTCCTGCTTCTGCGAATACTAAAGCTCTTGCGAGGCGTCGGGGGAGATTCCACATCGATTGGAGAGTGTACCTGTACGACTGGTGGGTGAGAGCGATCTTTCTCTAGTCGCTCGGGCTCTCTCTTCTTTCTGGTACTAAACCGCCGCAATAGACCGGCAGCAGTTCCTTCCTTCCGCTGAGGCACATCAAGACGAGAATCAGGTGGCTGGGCATTTGTTGGGGATAGAGCAATCTTGCGCATTGCCTCAGGTATTTCATCCTCACCATGTGTGCGGGCCCGTGGTCGTGAGCGACCGCCGGTCGATTTCTCGCCGGGCATTTCGTAAGCTGCCGTATTTGTGTGTGCTTCCTGGGGGGGTGCGATTTCCGGTACTGCGTTGGTCTCTTTATGGTTTGTGGGTGATGCCGGGTGTGATGTTGTGACAATACGCTCTCGTTCTTTTCGCTCGCGGACAAGGTAATAGATCGAGATCAGGGGGCTGAAAGCATTAAGTGGATCGTTGCCGAGCTGTAAAACCTCCGAACTCGGCGTGGATAGGGTATCTCGACTATTACCAGAATTCCTACGTCGGTAGAAGTCGAATCCGAACCCACGTTTCTTTTCGATGTCTTTGGAGGGTTGGGGCAGCTCTTTATCACGCTGGTATAGACGAATGGCGCGTTGGTATTCTTCGGACTCTATCGTCCTGGTCAACTGGCTTCTGATCGATTCTGGGGAACCGAAATTGAATCCTGTCATGGCGTTTATAATGTCTTGGTCGAGGGGTAAACTCAAGGGCTCCCGAGGCGGCAAATAATTGTCTGGGGGCCCAGGATATCCTTTCGTCATCCAAGCATGGTTCAGCACCTCGTGCATGGTCGCTCTCTGCCGAGGGTCTGTGACCAGCATTCGCGACATCAAGTGCTTGCAGTCTGTTGACAGTCAGCTAACAAAACGGGATGAGGGATGTCTTAAAACTAGGGAGTAATACCGGAGGAAAGCCAGGAAGGATAATCAACAGCACCCTTCTTGATCTTTGCATGTAAAGCCGGCATGCTTTGGTCATCAAATGGGACCTTGCCACAGACAAGGACATAGAGCACTATGCCAAAGCTCCAAACATCGACTTCAGGGCCTGTGTAGGCACGCGCCTGGAGCAACTCGGGGGCAGCAAAATAAAGGCTTCCACAGAACGTCTTGAGGTGAGATCTAGGAGAGAAGAGGTTGCTAAGGCCGAAGTCGATGATTTTAATATCGCCAGTCTTGCTGATCAGAATGTTTTCAATCTTCAAATCTCGGTGCACAATACTATTGCGATGGCAGTAATCAAGTGCGCTAGCAATCTGTCGGCTGAACTTCCGGGCTTGCTTTTCCTTCAGCTTTCCATGAGATATTATGTAGTCCAGCATCTGCCCACCGTTGACGAATTCGAAGAGCATATACCAGTGGTAATTCGTCCGAACAACGTCCCGTAAGCCACAGATGTGGGGGTGATTAAGCAGCGTTCCGATTGCAGCCTCTCGGGCAGTTCTAATTTCTTTCGAGTGATCGGCTCGTTCCTTGTCTGCTCGGCTCTGGTGGCCTTCATCAGTTGAGCCTCTCGGAATGATTTTGCAGGCCGCCTGGTAGGGAAACGGTTATCGCATGTTCGCACGAATGTGTTAGAGCAACGACGTCCTAGAAGGGACACAAACCTGTTCCGTCCCGTCTTCTTTTCGGGCCAACTTGACTTTTCCCATGCTACCAGCCCCGATGGTTTTGCCTAGAATCCACTTCCCCGACTGGGTAGGGATCGTGGTCCTAGATCGGCTGTGTTTCGCAGATGATGCAGGATGTCGGGTGTCCGATGCATGAGCGTTAGGACCAGATCCTGCATCATTGGGTAGCCCTGCACTCGCAACCATGTCGGCTGGCGGACGTAGATGGTGTTGATGGGGTGCGTGAGTTGATCGGGTACTACTTCGTCGATTAGGCTGTGATGTCTCAGGGCGAAGTGATGGTGGGCTCTGTGGGCTTTGGCGATTGCCAACGTCCGAACGCCTGTGATGATGCAGCCGCGGCTCAAAATTGGTCTCTAAGTCATTACTCTCCTGGAAAGGACGCTGTGCTGGCTTCTGTCGCGTATGATGGACGGGCGTTGAGGATGGGAGGGCATTCACGTTGGAGGGTGGCGGATGAGTCCGTAAGGAACTTGTCCGTGCGAGGTCAATTCTCTGAGGCCCCGAACTGTTCATTGTAGCCTGTAGGTGCGCAGTAAAGGAGGCAACTGAGAGATCTGGTAGCCTATCCTTGGTAACTGATGGATACCACCAGCTGGGCTGGCGTTGAAACTCAAAATAGAATTAGACGAATCGAATGGTGAATGTGCTCTTGACAACTCCTGGATTCAGTGTAATAATAGAGTCTTGCCGTTTGGGCCAATTTCAAGCCACACTGGCTCCTGACAATGAAGCATTATTGCCCTTGGGTAGGCTGTTGGGGGAGCCAACCAATACGAGAGGGCACCTTCGCAGAGTGGCGTTCGTCAAACATTGCATAATTGCACAATGAAGCTAGTGATTATTATTCATTAATACATTATTACACTATATCGAAGGTGACAAGCGGGTATTATTACCATTTCTCTCACCTGAGATCCCATCTGCTTCTTGCCATGATATAATCACACCTACAAATTATCCCGTTTCTATGTCTCTGAAACGTCCTCGCACAGTATTCGAATCGAATGGGAAAGATGACAGAGCCCCGTTCGTCTGGTATGGAACGCCAACTCGCGACACGATCAGTGACCACGGGAAGTACATTCCCTTGTACAAGCAGGAAGTGAGAGACGACCGCGGTAGGAAGCGCCTTCACGGTGCCTTCCGGGGCGGGTGGAGTGCAGGGTGAGTGTTTTTCCTGTTGACAAGATGTATTAAACAGTTCTAATCATATTCTGACTCAACCCATGCAGATTCTATAACACTGTCGGTTCAAGAGAAGGATGGGCTCCTTCTCAGTTCATTTCGAGCCGCGCCAACCGTCATAGTGATTCTTCGAAGCCGCACCCGAAAGCTCCCGAGGATTTTATGGACGAGGAGGATCTTGCCGAAGCCGCAGAGGCCCAACAGCTTCGTACAGCTGAAGCATTTACCGGAGTTGGACAAGAGAGCCATTCCAGAACATCAAGGCGTGGTCTTGTGGGTCTTCTCAGAGGAAAGAATGATACGATGGGCGCCGTTCTCTTAGGGAAAATGGGATGGAAGGAAGGCCAAGGCGTTGGACCGAAGGTTCGTAGGAAAGTTTGTCTTGGTCTAGACGGATCTAGCAACGATATTCTCCCTCGGGGAGTCTCCGATACCTACCTTTTCTCGCCCAAGGATATTTCCCCCGTCTCATCATACAGAAAGCCTGACCGCAGCGGTGTCGGCCATGGAATTCATATACTATCACCAAGCTCGCACCCACCTCTCCGTCGCGGCCACAATGTAAACCGGATTGAGGACGAAAATTTATTTAGTCCTACTGCCTTCGTGCAAAAGGCGCAGGGTGACGCGCCCTTCGCCCGGGGTGGCATTGGGACAGGTATCTCAGACGATAGTGATTCCGAACACGAGGACATTGGCCCCAGGTTAGTGTTTTCTGGCAGAAACCGGGGGAAGCGAGTTCCAAAGAAATACCCATTGAAAGGACAGGCGTTACACCATGCCCATATAAACACGACCAGCAAGTCTATCAAAGTGGCAGGTCATGATAGGCTGTCGCCGTTGACAGGTTTCATCTTCCGACCATCGAAGTACTCGGACACGAATTATCCCTACGCCCCATTCCACTACCCACAACCCCTAATTATTCCAAAGTCATGGGACGCCACCCGGTGGGCGGTGGCGCAACCGTGCTCTGCTCGGTCACGTCCTTCTGCCGATGCCCCATTTTCGACGCCTCGCGATTCCAACGCCAGAGCACAGATGCTGGGAGAGTCGCGGCTTCCTGGCAGATCCGTCTTCGACTACATGACCGCTACTACCAGAGACAGACTCGTCGCCATAACGAAGAATAGAGACCTACCAGCAGCAGGCGAGGTGCTCCCTAGGACCCAAGCGAATCACGTCCTGCGGGAGAGGTCACCACCTGCGAAAAGGTGGGCACCTCATCTTAGCCAGGAGGTAGCTAGGGCTGCTCTCGCCAGGGATCGGGTGGGGAGTGGCCCGTATATGGCTAACCCTGGGAAGCGGGCAAGGTATCATCAATTCCTTTCCTACAGTTGCGGGCTTCTCGCGGAAATGCCCTCCAGACCAGAGGACATGAGTCAGGTAGACTTCGCACAAGAACTGGAAGAGTTCGCGAAGTGTGCGGAAATATTCAAGCCCATGGTTGGCCCCATAGCCTCGCGCTTCACGACCTCATCAGTATCCGCCCCAATGCCGGCAAGTCAGTCAACGAACCCATCACAAGGGACTGAAGTTGATTTACAGGATACTGCCTTTGACGCAGCTAAGCTAGGTATGTTTGGTATCGCAACTCGGTCTCGAGCTTTATTCACCCCTCAGCAATTACTGTGTAAACGTTTCAATGTGAAACCACCAACCCAAGCCAAGGGCAATACCCAGGAATCTCGAGCCCAAGAGCCGAGGCCGGATGCCATGATAGCCGTTAAGCCATCCTCGGCACCAAGTGCCAGTCAGTCTATGGCCGACGCGCCCGGCAGTACGAAAGATTCAATCGTGTTCCGCCCTCCCACGCAAGTTTTCACCGCAATATTCGGCGATACAAGCGACGAAGATGCCGCTATTGTTTAGCAGTCACAGTATTATTACAGATCAGTATTAGAGTTGTGAATAAGTTTGAGCGATCATTATGCAGTCGATTCAACAATGAAATGGTGTCTTTGCAGGTATTTCTTCGTTGCGGAAACAAAGGAGAGTCAAAACACAAGGCTACTTTTCTCAATTTCATATTCAGAATTGAATTCGATTTAAGGTTTGATGATCGAGGCGGGGCGGTTCCACCCAATCAAAATTAACAGCTAATTACGACTAAGCGCCGTATTTTCCCGATAATTGTCCGTGACCAATGGTGATAAATGCCCCAACCTTCTTCTTAGGAAACTCCACTGCGTCCCACTCACCCTGTGTCTCCTTGATCCTTGAACATGCGAGAGTGCAGTGCTTTGGCATTGCTGTCTTGAAGGTCCCGCCCACCTCCTAATAGCGCTCTGTTGCTTATAATCGACGGTCATCATATTCACGATCCACTTTTACGAGACACAATACTTTGAACCGCAACCACGTTGTTCCCTAAACAGCCACCCCGGAACGGGCAACCCGTGTCCTTCTCATCGCCGCCAACCTCCGCCGACGACGGCGACGTGAAGGTTACTGAGGACGACCTCAGATCTCCTAGTGGGGCCCAGTTACAGCCCCCAATCTATCCAGTTTCAGAAGCTTCATCTTCTCGGCCCCCTCCATTCTCTTCGCTCTACGACGACCACATTTGTGAGGATAATAGACTTGACGAACACGAGCGCCACTCGCAATATACCGACGAGCCATTGCATACAAACGAAATCCCCCAGCTTTCTTCCGTTCCTGCCTACGACCCCGGAAGTCTCTCGATCTCTAGCGACTCGCCCATCTCGCACCAGTGTATTCAATCCAAATCGAAGCAAGACGCCAGTCGGGATACCAAGGCAGTTTCTTCGAAGGAAGACGAAGTTGAACCACCCCCCGCATATTCAGAAGGACCCAGTCCCCTTCAGTCATTTACATATCTAATGGCTACCGCCGGTGGAGCTTCAAGCATAATTACTCAGGTGCAGCAAGGTGGCCCGCCTACAAATGCTATAGGAGGTATCATACCTTCCAACCATTCATCATTTTATTGTCCTTGTCATGATTACTAACGTCCCTGGTTGAGATGTCGGCGCTGATGAGACCATTACCATGGACCTAAGGTAAATATAATGATTTAAACGTTGCGGAACTCTCATCGCCAACATCATTTAGGGGTACCCGATTTGTATTGTCAAGAGACGAGCTCCTAACGCTCCCTGAATTCGTTCTTCTTTCCCTTTTCCCAAATGGCCTTTTCCCAGAAGGTCATATGGGCGGATTCTCTGACGGGGATGCTGTCCAAGTCGATGTGAGATACCACCCAAATGGCATGCGCATATAATTGCCTAACGGTTCCCTTAGTATGATCCGGTATCGCTTCAATACATGCTAGATTTCTTCCGAGATGTGGCCCAGGCCATCCCGGAACCTACCCAGTCTCCCCCGCACGATGGAGATGGAGTATCAAATGAATCAAAAGATGATGCCTCAAGGAGGGCGGGGATTATAGTACTTCGGGAAGACCTAGACTTCTATGCTATCCCGCCGCAAGCTGACATAGGTCCGGCCGAAATGATCCAAGTCAAGCGAGCCGCAGCGTCTGCACTCTTGAAACAAGATGGAATATTCTCAGGCTTAAAACGGAGTGACGAACCTGGTACGACAGAATCTCATCTGATAGAGATGCTTACGGCAGGGTAGGTCACCTTGATGTTAGTAACGGCAGAGTCGGCAGAGATATGCTTACATTTATCCACAAGGGGCTTCAACCGCGAGGACAAGTGGGGTCATCGCGCGGGGGAACCAAACAAGGCAGTTGTGTGCAGCCTAGCCCTCGCACGGCTGCGCAGTGATATCCGTGGCACAGAGATGGGCGGGAGTGTGGTTGGTATGGCGCAGAAGCTGCTCCTCTTTTGGAGAAAGCCTGCCAGGAGATGCTGGTGGGAGGGCTTGGAACTGGACAACATCGATGGGGTGGATGGTAAGCTAAAGGTGTGGATTAGGCGTGTGTGGACCTTGGAAATGAGTGTGATCGGGCTTCGATGAAATATGGCTAGGGAGGCCGGAAGGCGGTTCACCAGGCAGTGTTCTCTTGGCACATTTACAGTATCAACGCCTCGCGCGCCCCGACACCTGCGCTTACTTCGGTGGCATTCGACGCCAGTTCAACGTCGACGGACCCTTGTGCTCCGCTCCGAGCACGCCATAAATGGGACAGCTTTGGAAATATGTGTGGTTAGAGAGAACACCTCTTGGAGAATGGGAGGTGCATTGCGGGATAGTAGTTTATAGGGCTATAACATAAGGGTTTTGCTTTAGCATACGCAAAGTCAGAGACAAGGTATTCAAGTTATTCCTCGATGGACTTGACACACTCCCAGTCCCCACTAAGGTTTTCCTTCCACAAAGTTACCCTATTATCCGCGCTGCTCGCTGCAAGAACATTCCCGCTCAGAGACCAACTGACTCTCCACACTGGAGAATCAAAGTTTAATGTCTTACAAGCCCATTGGCCATTTGTGCTGGGATCCGAAGTCCATATGCGGACGGTCTTGTCTTGGGATGCCGACGCGATGTAAGACTTCTGGAGCAGAGAGGGGGACCAAGCCACGTCTCTCACCCAATCGGTATGCCCAGAAAGAGGTTCATGTTCCAGGGTGTACGTTTGTGTAGCTCCGTCGTAGATCCAGATCTTCAGCAAGTTGTCACAGCCACCAGTGACGAATCGTCTAACACCCGTTGAATCAGAGGGAGGGGAGCTCGTCATTAAGCTACCGGGGTTGGTAGCAGGAGCCCAGGAAACGGAATTGACCCCGAGGCCATGAGCAGGGAATGTCCTATGATCAAAGGAGTTATCTTTGAACTCCAGAACGCTCACATTGCCGTCAGAGGATGCGCAGGCAAGGAGACAACCCGACTCGTGAGGCGACCAGGAGACTAAGTTGACGGATGCTTTGTGGAGGGCAAAATCGAAAATTTTCTGCCATTGGCCGTTCTGTTCCCGCCAGATAAAAACCTTTCCGTCATAACCAGCAGATGCCAGAATATTCCCGTACTTGGGGTGCGCCCACGATACACACCAAACAGCTCCTTCGTGTCTATTGGAACGATAAGTACCCGCACGGAACCGCTTTGCGTTGGAGTAAAAGGTATTATTACCCTTTCAATGTCTCCAGGAGGCGCTGGGATTCGCCATCAATCTCAAAAATCTTTATCGTCCGGTCGCTCGAGCAGGTTGCCAACCTCCGGCCATAATAATCAAGCACCGCATCATGCTAACCGGATCGCACATGGTCAGCGGCATTCGGCGGGAACAGCTCTCTACACATGTCTGAATTTACTTACAATCATATCATCATGGCCTGGATTCGGCATTGTTTGTGTGGACTAGCCTCGTGTTAAATCGACCGGCCCCAGTGACTTGGTTGAGTGCTTACCATGTTGGAGATCTCGAGGTGACCCACCACGGAGGGTTGAGGGGTTGAGGGCTTGTGTGATGTGTGAGGTATCAGCAGGTCGAAAGAGGGTTGAAAGAAAAATAACAGCTTTAGTTGGCTATGGTGAGACTCTGCAGAGCAAAAGAGACAAGTGAAGCTAGATTATCTAGTACTATTAGGGGAAGCGCATTCTGGGAACAGTGAGATCAATGCCACATCACAGGTTTGAAGGCGTGTGCCTCAATGAATGGTCAGAAACTCCAAGATTCTTACATAATAAAAGAGGATCAATGTATAACCTTAGCTTCCCTTCACACATCAAATATTTCAAAAGAGCCTTGAATTACCAAAAAATAGTTTACAAGTCCATTAAATTCACGATGGTTAAATTAAAATACGACATCATTTATGGTATTTACAAGCAGATGCATGTCTTAATACAATCAATATCCATGTTTCGGTCGAAGATGGTGGTGAACTCATCAACTGAGAAAGAACTGGGGAATTTTTACTCCTCTGCCCATTTCTGACGCTATCGAACCGAGGCACATCCAAAGCCTCGCGAAAAACCCACTTGTATACAAAACGAAACATTCGCCACGACAAATATCCAACCTCTTCTCTTCTCAGAAAAATAAGCATCTTACTTTTTACGAACGCATAATGTCAGATAGCTCATGCTCCGGCTCTACGCCATTGAAGGGCCTTCTCAAGCAACAAGACCATGCAACGCAACACGATCGGATCTCTAGTTCAGCCCCGCCACATGAGGTACAGTATCAATCGGACCCTTGACACCCGCCTTGATCCACTGTACCCATCTCACACTTATCGCGATAACTTCTTTGAATTCGAAAGCGCGACAAGAATACGTGGCTAACTCCTAATACAGTCCTTTCGACAGACTCCCAATTCGAGCCCGGGTCACAAGGCGTTTACAGACTTTGTCGCCGACAACCATTCAATACCAGCGGCTGGTCCAGGACTGATTCATGCGGGATATCCGAGCCCATCGCAGTATAGGAACCCCATTTCCATCGCTCATCCTCATCCCGTTGCGGCGCAACCCCTCCAGGCTCAAACTCGCGAGGGCTGGGCAAAAGAATTTGCCGAACAAGCGAACAATACCCCTTTTACCCATCTCTCTACTGGGATCGATGGATTCCGTACGGCGTCAGCTCTGGGCACTTCAACCTTTCTCCATCAACAAAGCAGAACAACTGTCATGCGCCAGCCCGCGCCTTACGCACTGGTGAATCTTGACCTCCCTATAGCGGAGTTTTCAACGCCCAAGCTCGGAGGTGGGGCGGAGATCAATGATTGGATGAGAGTGCACATGCCTCAACGAGAGGACTTCGAAGGTGTGGACGAGGCCTTGCTGCAGCTCTCTCATGAGCTGGAAGGATTCACCGTTCAACCTGAGCCCACGGTTGATCTTCCAGCGACCCATGAGGTAGATGGAGTCAGGTCATCAGGCTCCGAACTATTGCCGAAGAGTGATCTCTCACGCGATTCCATCCTGGAAGAGTCTGCAGAGGCAGACACCTTGCAGCCCGGGATACCAGGCTCATCAACTGTCTCAGACGTGGCAAAAAAGATATTGGAAACTGTAGGACACGAGGACGGTGACAAGTGGAAGGAATCGGCATTTCTTGCACTCATGCGAGATTTTCGCGACGGAAAAAAAGACATCGTAGAAAACGATATCCAGGAAGTTCGCATCAACAAAAGTTAATTCGCTTATATGAGTCGTAGAATATAACAGATTTACTGGACAGGTATTACGATGTTATGATCAATTACGACGTACCTTTGCACCTCACTAAGATAGAGAGAGGCTGGGTTTGGAAATAAGAGCTAAGGATGTTGATGTTGCTGCCCTTGTCAACTCGACCTTCCTCGTTGACTTCATGGTTGGAAGTCTGGCAGACGAACAGCGCAGGCGAGAGCGGCGTGAGTATCGCGTGTGATTCGCCCAGCGCAAGCCTCTAACAAGCCTGGCTAATATTAGTAGTTTACTGTACGGAGCACAATGTAGGCAGGCATCGCTCATGAACACGGAGGCAGTGCAACCCCAAGGCCCAGAGCTAGTTGAAGCGGGGCCTCGGTCTCTGCTTGATTGGTAATACCGAATATGATAGATTTGAAGCTAGCCATATCAAGAAGGTGTGAGTCATACCGATCTCACTCAGCCACAAAGTACTTGGGACATTTTGAAAGTACCTTTTCAACTAACAATCGCAGCGATTGTTTTGTCGGCGGCTCCGTACTGGTGACAATCTGGAAAGTGGGAGTGCTGGGCCGCCCTAAGGCCTATACAAAACGACCGTCGCCCGCACCACATCTCCTTTTTTTTTTTTCCTGAACTCTTCTCTTACATCAACCCATCTTCTCGAATCCTAAATGCCAAAGATGACCGAAACCATGCAGTAATCACTCTCCTCGTCATCGTGCTCACCCTGCATTCATTTGCACAACGGTATTTCTCTCTATAACATATATACTTGGCACAAAATCAAGCCCAGCAGCTCACCCACACGGTTGAACTGTTCTCGTCTACCAATTCTCCCCTAAAACTTCGCACCACCGCAACCATTTCTCAACAAGACGTTCCCGTCTTCATCACGGATTCCCTTCCAACATGGCGTTCCCCAACCCCTTCCAGTCTGCCGGTCCCACCCGTGCCACGCGACTTCCAACAAGCCCCTCAACACGACTTCGTCTTGTACGATCATCCAAGACCTCGAGGTCGACCTAATTATCCCAATCTTGCTTCGCCAAGCCTAGGGAGAGGACAGCGCGACAATTTCAATTCCCACCAGGCACGCGTTAATCCTGGGATTGGAAACACAATACCAAGCTTCTCAAGTGGACCCAGCCCCACGCCCGACCGCCTTTCTGCACGAGGGTCAAGTTCACAACGACCATCAAGATCTGTTAGCCGTAGGCCTCCCGTACCGTACTTTACTCATCGAACGGGAAGCTTGCCGCAGTCGCCTGTAAGGATGGATATTAGAGGTATGTTGGACACGACACAAACTCAGGGTTCTGTAGCGTCGCGAGTTTGATGAATGAAGAGGGACTAACAGGAGTGGTGTAGATCTTGAATTCGAAGATTTTTCGACGCTGGCTGGTAGTGCTGGAATGTCTGGCACCGCGTTTTCTTCTCCTGGCCTCCCTACATCGTATGATGTGGCGGGAAGCTCAGCCAGTTCAGTCACAAACGTCGGCACAGTGTCACCACAAGATCTTCTCGTCCACGAGCCGTATATGTCAGCACCAAACTCGACGGCGTTGACAGCGCTGACTTCACCATCGATGTACGACGGCTCGCCAGAGTTCAACGATGCTTTTAATATGTCACCAAGCCTAGGCAGTTGCGATTTTGAGACCGGCTCAAATGACCCCTGGTTTCCTCTCTTTCCACCTGAACCATCAATGGAAACCTCGGCTGAGTTTCATAACGCGCCTATTGCGTTGCAAAGTGGTTTGAAGGGTACAGAGGCCTCAGCCACTGCGAAGAAGCGAAAGGGCGCTGGCTCGCCTGGGCGGCACTCGTCTGTGGCTGGCGTCAATTCACGGCGGCGTGAGAAGCCCTTGCCCCCAATCATAGTCGATGACCCAAGCGATGTCGTTGCTATGAAACGGGCTCGCAACACCCTCGCGGCACGCAAGTCGAGGGAACGAAAAGCCCAGCGGTTAGAGGAACTTGAGGAACGGATTTCGAAGTTGGAGCAGGAGCGTGACTATTGGAAGCGGATTGCGCAGGAGCGGGGCGATGCATGAGTTGTGAGTAGCCATCACTGATGGTTGTGTTCTGCTAGTTTGAAGATTCCTTTGATTTATTTGTTGCAATGTCAAAAAAGCGGAGAGCTCTGGCTTTTTCTTGAAGGTTTTAAGTTCTGTAATTATTAGAGTTCAACACAGAGGACTGGGTGGTTTCTTACCTCGAGTATTAACGTGATTGGGCCCGCAATACCCTAACCATTGAAGGGAAAGAAATAAGAGACTTTGTAGGATTTTGTCTCTAACATCTGATGTAGGGAATGTAATAGTATGAACTACTGAAAGGGGATAGTAATATATCTTAGAGTCTTGCAGAGAAGATGTTACACGAACAATAGTAATAGATAGTAGAACTAGTAACTATAGGAACTAGCAACTACTAAAACTAACTATTACTAGTTCTCACCTAGACCAGAACTTTATATAATTATAACTAATATATATAAAAACTATTACTAATATATACCTATCTTAAAAAAAATAACTTTTCTTTATTATAACTTATTAAGATATTATAATAATAAAAAAGGAGATATTAATAAAAATGGAAATATTTTTAGAATTTTATAAGTATAAAGAAATAGAAAAATATTATTTCTTACTATAGCTTAAGGCTATGTAAGATAATTGCAAGGGAGTGACAATTAGCACAATAGACCAAAAGATCCACCAGTTCCAACACCACATATTAGAACTGCTCCCTTATATCTACTTAAGAACCCTCTCAATCATGGCGCGACCAGCCACTTCTAGGTATTCTATTACAGGCTATAATTATTTCTTTTTTTTTCTTTCTTTTTAAAAAAAAATTAAATTTTTTAATAAGTTTTTTAAGTTTTTTAAATATAATAATTATTAATTCTTTTTTTAATTAACTTTATTATTATTATTTCTATTAAATATTACTACTATACTACCTTAAGCAATATATAATTACAAGCTTAATAGTAACCTTACACTACTATATATAAAAATAAACACTCCTATACTTACTTACTAAGAAAAAAATAATAATCTTACTTTCTTAATAGCTTACTTACTTAACTAAGAAATCTAATATATAATCTTACTAGTAATAATATATCTAATATATAAGTAATTACTTATTATATAAATAAAAAGTAATAAGAAATAGAATTAATAACTTTTAGATTTAATACTTACTAAAACTAATTACTATTAGTTCTAATTAAAAGTAAAACTCCCCTAAATATAACTAATATATATAAAAAGTACTTTTAATATATATTCTCTAAAAAAGAAAACTAACTTTTACTATTATAAACTATTAATATATAATTTATAATTATTAAGACCTTTATATTTATTATAATTAGTAAAGCTATTTTTAATATTAATAGTATTACTATTATAAGAATATCGATTATAATAATTAATAATATTAATTCTTTATTTTTTTAATTTTACTATTATTTAAAAAGATAATTATAGTATTTCTATTATAATTAAATTAACTTTAAATTTAAAAATCTTATTTATAATAACTTTTTTTAATAATATTAAAGATTTTATAAATAATATTTTTTAAAGAAGTATTTTATTAAAGCTTTTAAGAAAATTATTTAATTTAGAGTCTTTTAATTATTCTCTCCCTTTATCTAAATTAAAATCTAGTTAATTAATTAAAGTCTATCTTCTTTTAAAGCTATTTATATTAGTAAAGATATCTATAGCTTTTTATTTTTTTTTAATAAAAAAGTTTTTAATATTAAACTATAATTTTTAATTATCTATTAACTTACTTTTCTTTCCTATTAAGATTAAAAATATATTATTTTCTTTTTTTTTTCTTTTTTACTTTCCTTAACTACTTTTTCTTTCTTTTTTATTTCCTCTTTAACTTACTTTATTTTCTACTTAGCTCTTTTAAACTTAAAAAACTTACTTTATTTTATATCTATATTCTTTTTTTAATTAACTTTAATTTTATTATCTTTTATAAATTATCTTATATAATAACTTTAAATAATTTTTTTATTATTTTATATATATAAATATTCCCTATTTAATACTTTTATAATCTATAACTTTTTTCTATTTAAAAGTCTTTTATAATTATAAAATAGCTTTATAATATATTTTTATTAATTAACTATTATAATATTTAATTACTATTTCTATAAGTAAAATTATAATAACTTTTTATAAAAACTATTTTTAATTATTTAACTAACTATTTTTTTTTTTATTTTTTATAATATTTTAAATAAACTATATTATTATTATAATAAATACTTTTATATAATAATTTTATTAATATTAAAAAAGGCCTCTACTAATTATAATAAATATAGAAATCTTAATAATTATAAGTTATATATTAATAATTTATAATAGTAAAAGATTAGTTTTCTCTTTTAAAAAGTATATACTAAAAATACTTTTTATATATATTAATTATATTTAAAAAAGTTTTATTTTTAATTAAAACTAATAATAATTAATTTTAATAAATATTAAATTTTAAAATTATTAATTTTACTTTTTATTACTTTTTATTTATATAATAAATACCTTCCTCTTTTATTATAAGTTATTATTATTAATAAATTTATTTTCTATTTTAAAAAAAAAACTTTTTAATTTTACTATTATTTATTTATTTTTTATCTTTTTACTAGATTTTAATTTTTAATATCTTTACTTTTTTTTTATTATTTTTTATTTTTTTTTATTAGTTTTTTTTATATTTAAGTTTTTTTAATAAACTTTTCTTTTTTTTAAATTCTTTTAATATATTTTTTATTACTTTATTTTACTTTTTTTTTATTAAATTTAATTATTATTATTATTATTTTTTTTATATTTTATATTTTTATTTATTTTTTTAATTTACTTTTTTAAAATCTTAATTTCTATTTTTAAATTTCTATTTTTTATTTAAAATATTATATTATTTTTCTTTATTATTAACTTTATTTTTTACTATTTTTTACTTATTACTTTCTACTTTATTTATAATTTATAAATTTACTTTTTTTATTTACTATATTTTTTTTTTAATATTATTAATTTATTTTTATTATTTTATTATTTTATTTATAA